CTTGAAGATCCATAACAATGACATGTGCCATAGTTTTACAACTCTGTATGTTCATAAATCTGTTTTCTGCTAAAGCCTTTTCTTGCATGCTGATTTGTGTCTGAGACAATAGCAGCAAAAGGTTGGTGCAATTAATCTGCACACAGTAGTCTATTTCAGATGTACTTTTTGTCATATTATGTACTCGGAAAGCACTCCAGTAAATGGACTAGCAGCCATCAAAACCCTGCCAGGACTCTTGGTTGGTGAAGCCTCCTTGCCATGGTTTCTAAATCAACTCCCACTCTTGTATCTTTACAAACAGCATGGTCTATAGCTAGAAGCTGTTGATACTCCATCCTCTTAAACTGCTTCACCTCTTGTTATAGATCAAACTGTGGTTAGTGAATGGCACAGAGCTGTCTTTGTAATCAGTAGCTCGCTTCCCCTTTCTTTCATTGTTTTTTTTTACTTCTGCTTCCTCTTCAGCATATCATAACACCACCAAGGAAACAGTCTCATAATCTATCTCCTTTGTCAGGAAGGAAGCCGTATCTAGCAGGGTGCCAAGAGTCTAGCATGGCAACATTTCCTCCCTAATATGGGTTCTGTTTTATTTAATTATCTGACACAAAAGACTAATATGAAATAATGGCAGTGTACTCTTATAGGTAAAGCATATAATACTGATTCTAAAGATTTGATAGTACAAATAATACAACAAACATATATCTGTACATATTGGAACAATGATAACTGTTCCCCTTCCTTAGACAAAGGGATAGTAGACAGTAATATGAATTTAAAAAACTAAAAGAAAAAGACAGTGAATATTATTGACTTTCATGCCAGTATGGCTGAAAAACTGCTCCTGGTTTTCACCCAAACTTTGAAAAATACAGTACAAGCTGCTGAAATCTATTCCTTAAAATAGGTTGATTTCAAGGTTATCTGAAGGACTGGATCTTGCTACCGGTCTACAAACCTATCAATGTCTCAAGAGCTTCTGAAGAGTCTCTTTTCACTATCCCTCCACCTTGGAAAGTAGATCTGATTATAGGGGTGCCAGAGTGAAAATATGAGAGTGTTCTTGTGTTTTTAATGGTCGGCAAAGGTATTGCGTGTTATTTGGTTGCATTACAAGCAGTGATGTGAACTTCTCCAGTTTTTCCTGTGATGATCTTCTTTGGTGGGAACACTTGAGAGGGCCTTCTCAGTGGCTGCTTCCAGGCTCTGCAATTCCCTTCCTAGAGATATTAGACTGGCGTCCTCCTTGCTATGCTTTCATAGGCAAGAAGATCTTTTTGTTTTAGCTGGTCTTTGAGTCCTATGTGCTCAGAGGGTGGGGCTTTTCATATGATAATTATTCTTATTATCTTATAAGTCCAATACCTAGGTGATTCATTTAAAATACAGATTACAATCCAGAGTGTATTAATACCCCTACTGACATGGAAAACCCAATTGCCATTAATAAAAAGTACAGAATAAAAATGAAAGGCAGAAAGGGGAAGTGGTAGAAGAAGGCAAGACTTAAGTTTTTCATATGATATCACTATCAGATAATTTCGTCCTGTGTGTGACATGTCATTAGCTCATTTCTTAATTTTAAACTTTTCTAAGCTGATTTTTGGAAGTAAGGCCAGCTTGCCTGATGTGAGAACATGTGCAACCTCACTTACACAACCTGACTTGTGTTCCTGCAAACAAATTGCTTGAAAATCATAATTTTCAAGCCAAAATTTCAATTTGTTGAAAGTTGTTTTGCATTTTCTGTGCAATAAGCAGCATTTTCTGTACAAAACATTTTTCCTATGCAGAAATAGTTCCTCAGAATAACGCCCCTATTGCAGAATTTTCTATATAGAAAATAATACTATTGAGTAGAAATGCTTTTTGTGCAGGAAAGTCTATTTTCTGCACACAAAAACCTGGGGGTTTTTTGTGCAAAAGAATTTTGTGTTAACTTTGTACAAAATAAATTCCAAATTGTGAAAATTCTCGGCAGTGCATCTTTTGTTCTTCTTAAAGTTTGCTAGCACTAGAAAAAACATGTTTTTGACCAAATTTCAATTTTATTAAAGTATTATTTCAATTTTTAAAGCTAAAATACCTATGGTAGTGAACAAAATGCAAACCAGATCTATCTAATGGTTATGGTGATGGGTTGAGATTTATGGGATCTAGATTCAAATCACCATAAAAGTCACTTGTTAAATTTAGACAAGTTCCTTCCTTTTTAGCCTAACTTACCTCAAAAAGTTGTCATTGTTCTGATGATAAAGTGAGGAAGAAGAGAGTCACCTTGATCTCATCGGAAGCATTCAAGTGTGAAAATAGTAATGTAAGAACAAAAATGTTACAATATGATAAAATGTAAACATCGGAAATCTGCATCAGTTGCAATGGACAACAGCAGACTCAGAATTAGCATTTCTTAAATGCTCAGATGCCTTCCCTCTTGGCTGCAGTGGGATTCCATTATGTGACTATCCATATTGCAGAATTATAGAAGTTTGACACCACATCAACTGCCATGGCTCAATGCTATGGAATTCTTGGATTTGTATTTTTGTGAAATATTTACCCTTCTCTAACATAGAATTAAGTTGCCACAGCAAACTGTAAATCCCAGTATGCCATAGAATGGAGTCAAGATGTAAAAGTGCTATATAATTTTGCAGTGTGCGTGATCTCTAAATGTGCAATGCTATGATCAAACTAATGACTGAACAATTTGTTCTTGGGAGCAAGAAAGGAGCATTTCTTTTTTTCATTCATAATAAGATGGGTTTATAAGACTCATAGCCTAGATGGAAACAATTCACAATATTCTAGGAAAGCTTAACAGATGTTGTGGACATCTGCATACTTGGCATGTGGAATATTTTTTAATGCCAGTAATGAGTCTACTGCCCACTGTAAATGCAAACAGAAATACATACATCTCTCTTCCTCTGCAGTTTTGCCTTAGAGGAAGCAGAAAAATAAACTTAAGCCAGCTGAGCAAGAAATCCCAACCTGCTACTGTGCTGGAATACAGGCATGGTCTTGATTCATTTTCTTGAGTCACTGGGCGACTCTTGGTCTCATGGGCATTTTCTGCTTATGAACCCAGGGAGGATGTGACCTCTACTCATTTTTCCTCCTTCCCCTTCTCCCTTACAAATCCTCTGAGAATTGGGGAAACTTTTAGCCTCGGAGGAGATGGAGATTGACAGTGATAGACCCTATTTTTTTCCACTGGTGGAAGCATTTGAGTGCAGTTCTGCCCAAAGACACTCCCATGAATGGAATTAACAATTCTAGAGTGAACCCATTGAACCCATAGCGTTTCTCCCCAGTGAATCCATAGCCTTTCTTCTCCTGCTGCCAGGCATTTTGTTTACTTGCCATTCGATAGGCCATAGTTTATTATGAATGAAAGCAAATACTGAGAGAACCTTAGTGACATATTATGCATTATGTAGAAAAGATTTGTTGTGTTGTATATATCAACCAGTCAGTTGGAAATTAGGTTCAGTGAAGTTCAGTCAGTGGAATGAAACATGCATTCCACATTTTAGTCAGAGCTTTCAAGATGCAGTCTGAGGCTCTGACCTATTTGAAGTGTTGTCATTGCCACTGTTGCCATGCCTTCAAGTCATATCCAACTTAAGGCAGTACTAAGACTGAATACTGAGAGCTTGTGACTTGTCCCTGATCACCCAGTAAATTTTCATTTCCAAGCAAGAATTTGAGCCCAGATCTCCAGAGTCATAGTCCAACACTAAAACCTCTACACCATGCTGGGATTCAGTATTTTGAAAAGTGCCTTTAATCCAGGGGTTCTTAACCTACCCCCCCCCCCCCCCGGGGCTTGAATGCAAAAAAAAAAAAAAACAAACCCCTCGGCTTATTATCTTTATTTTCTATGATCTTTAACTGAAATGTAACGTTTTGTTCATTTATGAATGTATGCAATAAATTACAGTAGTACTGTGGTTCCCCATGAAGACCCTCACTGTTTATCCCTAGTTAAGCCTTTTTTAGTTAGAGTGATTATTATTTTATGTACAGTTTTTGTGGGGTCAGTCTAGACAGCCTCTTTAATTAATTCCCTTTCTCTGCACTTTCAAGCAGGAAGTAGGGGTGGAGCCTCAGACAAGGCACTTCTGGTTCTTGAAAGAGTCAGCCTTTTCATGACTTGAAGGTGAACAGAGAGGAAGGATGTTAATTCCACAAAATAGCACGCCCAGTCAGAGCTGTATTCAAATCCATTCAGAGTTAAATTTTGAGACCATCTTAGAGATAGTTGAACACCATACAAGAAAGAGACAATAAGAAGAAATAAAAATTCAAGAGCCTCAGTTCAGCCAGACTTTACCTCTCCTCATAAGGATTTTGCAGTGAGACTCAGGAGGAGATAAAATCTAAAATTCTTGTCAGTTAATAAATTCTTGTTTGATTCAACTGTATAGTATCAGATCTGTTTCCTGCGCAACCAGTTCACCTTCCAAGTAGTTAAGATAGTGTGGAGGCTGAAGAAGTACTATTCATATCATATTAGTGGTTTCATATCTAAATAAATAAATAAATAGAATTTCTAGCCAGATAGGTCTTGAGCCTCAATAAACTACAAAAGCAGGAATCTATGGAATTCAACCATGGCTCTCAAAAGTTGAACCATTGTGCTATAACTGTGTGGTGTGAAAGGACCTCAGAGAACAATTAACTGCTAGGCATTTCAACCATTATAAACCTTCGAACACTTCACTTATAAACCAAACATTTTCCAGTTTACAAGAGCCTGTTCCATCATGAAGCTTATCACTTTGCAGACACAGAGTTTGGGGTTTCTTCATGTTTGTTTTAAGTTCATTATTTTTTATTAAGTTCTTTTAATTAAACAATGACTCAGTGATTTCATTTACCTTTTAATTACAGTTTTGGCATGGTCAAATATCTGAAGTAAGTGTTTAATACTGCATTATAACATGCTAGCTCATTATAATATCTTTCCTTTGTTCTCTCATAAACAGGTTTGAATATAAGTTGCAGATATGCAGGGGTTTTCCATGTTGAGAAAAATCATCGCTACAGCCTCACAAGAGAAGATGCCATTGCACTTTGCAAAGCCCTCAACAGTACCATCCCAACATTTGAACAGATGAAGAAGGCATATGACCTCGGGTTTGAAACCTGCAGGTAGGAAATGTTTTTGGGGAAAATGAGTACAAACAATCTTTGTTGTGATGTATTCATTTTTGGTGATCATTTTAATTAATTAATAAGTACATTCAAGGGAAAGCACATTCTTTCAAGTGAGTCTACTTTAATTCTTCTTTTAATTGTGCTACAGCCTCCAATATGGGTGACACTTTTAAAACAAAAAAAAATCCCCTCTATGTATACAAGCAATTTTTAAATGCTTAGAACAGGCTTGCAAAATAAATCAGTATAATTATACTTGACTTTTAAGTGGTAGAACAGTGACCAGCCCTAAGACTATCCAGCAAACACAGCTGAGTCAAAACATCAGCCAGATCTCAGCTCACAGAGGTAATTATGGTATTTGTTACTGTTCTGTATCCAGTTCTTTTTGGCAGCAGTATAGATAAGTACAATAAATATTTGCAAGTCTCCTGCCCATCCTCATAGACTTCTGTGCCACAGGGCAAGTTGAACAGTGGTCTGGCAACTTCATTGTCTGGAAGACATTGTTATGTGCCCTAAGCCCAAATTTAGCATGTGCCTAAGATGATTAGCATATGTAATGATCTGTAGATTGCTTTCCCCATGTGTGTTTGGGAGCATTATTTAATCACTTTGATAATCCACATAACACTAAATAGAATTTTTAAAATGATACACCTTCACAGTCCATAGAGTAAAACAAATACATTGACTACTGTCAGAAGGCTGAACTACTGCTGCCTTTGAATTTTAAATAGGAGTATTATTTTACTGGACTATCTCCTCCTCCAAGCCATTCTTGGACTTTATTTACTGTACTTTCAATATATCTGTCTAAATTCTCTAAAGGCACCAGATCCCATCTAATCTTGAAGCTAAACAAGGTCAGCTCTAGTTAGTAGTTGGATAGGAGACCATCAATGAATGCCAGGTTCTGTAGGGTATAATTTAGAGGAAGAAATGGGCAAGGCCACTTCAGAGTATTCCTTGCCTCTGAAAACCCTGTGAAATTCATGGGGTCACCATAAGTCCAGGCAATTTGAAGACATATACACACTTTCATTACAACAGAGACAAATGCAACTTCATTGGAATGGAAAGTAATTAGCTTAATTAGTATGGAAAATAATTGGATTAGCTAGTTAGCACTGAGGCAAAAATATCTGAACAGCACAAAATAAATGTCAAGTGCATTTATTATTAGTTACACTGTTTCCAGGAGGCATTCTCAAAAGGTCTCCTACAGTCCCCTTTGCCCATAAGGCCAATCTTTCATTACACTTCCTTTCTCAGAAGAGATTGTGAGGAGAAAAAAAATCTCTTTGAGAATGGTCCAGTGAAGCAGAACTTCTCATCATATATCTCCTTGGATTTAGCCCCTTATTGGGCTAAGCTGGGTTTAGCCCACTATCAATGTCTTTGTGTCCATTTGTTTGATTCTTTGCCGGGAGCGCTGCTTGTAGCTATTTCTTAAATCTCTTTTCCAGCATCACTATAGTGCATATATGTTTGGATGTTCTACTATCTTGAATCAAAGAAAACATCACTTGTGGCTTACATATTGATACTCAGGACTATGAAAGAAAGAAGAAAGGAAGAGCCATAATGGATTTGATCTAGATTTATGCACATGTAACTAAGCCCATGGGAGTGGATATCAAAACCTCCTTAACCATAGTAGGCTGTCAGATGCTACCAGAGGTTTTCAATATTGTCTTACAGTTGATTAAAAACCATAAGTAAAAACTAGACAAAATTTAGTAAGAACATACATATAAAAGTTATTTTCAAAACAAGTAATTGTAAGGTACCAAATCCTATCTGATCTTGGAACCTAAGTAAGCTCAACCCTGCTAGTATGTGGAGGAGAAGGCATGAATACCAGGTACTGTAGGCTATGTTTCAGAGGTAGGAGCTACAACATATCTCTGAATATTTCTTGCCTCAGAAAATCCTATGAAATTCACAGGCAACTGACAGGCAAATACACATTAGGTTAAAACTATTAACATTCATTAAAGAACTTCATTATAAAAACCAACACAACAACACAACACAGCATTAAAGGCCCAGCTTGGTAATTTTGAAAAAGCCTGATAAAATCCCAGTGTTTTTATTTGACAATGTTATGCTTCAGTGCAGAAGCAAGTAGCCTAGTTCTATTCTTATTGACTTGGAAATCAGCTCCACTCAGTTCATTTCCAAGTAATATATATAGTATTCATATGGAATTTTAAAAAAATGAATGTGAATAGGGGCCTCCTGGGATATAACCATTTTTCTAGATTATAGGGAAGGAATATGAATTTTCTCATTGCCATTATGCAGGCAGAGTTAATAGGAAACAGCATCTTGTTCACTAAAGTAGCCATATGTTCCACCCATGACTAACATTTAACTTGGTGGACATGAATCACATAAGTGGATTACAGTTTTCTGGACTTCACTTAAGAGTGAACTGAAGTTCCCACAGTGGCCATATCTGTTGGCCAGGCCCAAAGTGGTAGCAGCTCTTTAAAATATTGGGTTGGGGTGGAAAGCTATTTTATTTCACATTAAACTCTCTCAAGCAAGATGTCAAGGAAACCAGTCAATGAGGAGGAATTATACATTTAACTTTTATACATTGGACTGCAAAACAGTCTGAAGTCAAATGTATAATTTATATGATTTATGAGGTCCCACATGTGATGAAAAGCAGAATAACAAGGGGAGTGTTCCGTGTTTTAGCTTGCATTCCATTGACAAATTATTGCTGTATTTCAAGCTTATTTTAAAGCTTTGCCAATTTTGAGAGCGGTGTGTTTTCTGTAATTCCAGCACATATAGTAGAATTTGATCCCTGCCTCTCTTTCATAACTATACTCAGTTGTTCTTGCATCTAATAGTGCTGTCAGTTTGTTATGCTGATAAGTTAAGAAAATTTAGAGGGTGTCGATTCTCAGAGTAGAAACAGATTCTATAATTACACCTAGTGAATCCATTGATGCAAGACAGCACAGTCTTGGTAATTCAGAACATAGAGCATGCAGTGCTAGTGTTTTTGGATCTTCCCAACCCTGTGCAGAATCCATTCCCTTTGCTACATGCTAGTGCAGTACTTATATGAACAAGCCCTGTCTTGATTGTTGGAAACACTGAATGTATAAAGTTCTGTGAATCAGAATGGACAAAATGTGGTCCTGTACTTATATGCAGCCAGCCAAGGATGTTTCTGTGACCCTCAACAATCTTGTATTCCTTAAAACAGCCCAAAATGCCTCTCCAAACGCAGCAATTTACCTTTTAAAGGTAAATTGGATGGACTTTTTTTTTTGTTGTGTCAGGAGTGACTTGAGAAATTGCAAGTTGCTTCTGGTGTGTGAGAATTGGTCGTCTGCAAGGACGTTGCCCAGGGGATGCCCTGATGTTTTTGATGTTTTATCATCCTTGTGGGAGACTTCTCTCATGTCCCCACATGAGGAGCTGGAGCTGATAGAGGGAGCTCATCCACGCTCTCCCCGGATTTGAACCTGCGACGTGTCGGTCTTTAGTCCTGCTGGCACAGGGATTTAACCCACTGTGCCACTAGGGGCTCCAACTGGCTGGACTGTTTCAAGTCAAATGTAGACATGGTTGAGAATCAAAAGTGGTCTTTAGGCATTTGTTTTATTTTTCTTCAATCCATGTAGCCCTGGGGGGGGGGGGGGGCGGGCACCTTCTGCCCCCTAATATAATAGTGTCCACACAATTTAAGAGTAAAAGCAAAAAATCCCCTTCCGTAATGACAGGATAAGACAAGAAATGGGGGAGGTCAAAATTGCCTCTATAGTAGGCGTTCCTTAGGCGCTATTTCTGAGCTGCCCACTTGTATGCCCCTACCTCATTCCCCCTTACCATACATGCACTCAGATATGTTGTTAACATCCAAGTGAATATTACTAGTTAGTAGGATTTCAATGGCCACCTCTCTTAAGCAGGATCAGGACAATGTTCGTAGTATACTAATCTCAGGTAATAAGAGCATATTGGTCACATTATAGCAGCTATGCCTTGCCTTTATTTAGCCTGCAGAGACCCTCCAACTGAGCATGCTCTGCATAGCTAGCTGACAAATGCCTTTATATGAGCCTAAGTCACAGAGTCCAAGGGAATTAGCGGTCAGGTTCCTGTGGACTAATTATGGCAAGCTGAATACTCCAGCCTGCAGTCCACGTAAGCTGTATGAAGATGTGACTGAATGCGGCCCATCGCCCAATACAGTTATGTACTTACCCCACCTAGCAACTACGGTCCTAAAGCGGAGGAGAATTACTCAAAGCCCAATGCATTTAGTCTTGCCCATGCGACAAGCAGGACCGGAAGACGGAGCTCTAATAGAAATTGCTCGATTCTAATAGAATTGTCAGATTTCAAGACTGCTTATTTCAGTTCAGAGTGGAAGGAGGAACCTTAGGGCAGTGGTTTTCAACCTGTGGGTCCCCAGATGTTTTGGCCTTCAACTCCCACAAATCCTAACAGCTGGTAAACTGGCTGGGATTTCTGGAAGTTGTTAGACAAAACACTTGGGGACCCACAGATTGAGAACCACTGCCTTAGGGCATGAGCAATGCCTTGAAAGGTGTGCTAGACTCTTGTACGTGTCTTTAGTGCTTAATTTGTCATATTGAAGGATTTCACTAGGGATCATCCCTGGGTCTCTGGTATTGGTCTCAAAGATCTCAAGAATAGTCCTGATCTGACAGTCCTTGGTAATAATGATGTGGGATATATGTGGTGAGTGCTAATGTGTATGGCAGTGTTTGTAACCCACTGCAGGTAGCAGCTGATCCAAACTTTTGAGAATAGGATTTCTATAACTTATTTGCATTTGCTGTATTTGTAACATACCCAGTTCTCAATGCTTGTTAGGAAGCAAGACAAATAATAGAGTGGAACATCTGTGCAAATTGTGTGTCTATGTTAAGCATAAATAGAAATAGATGCATACTGGAAGATTGAGGCTGTAAAAGATGAAGTTCCATCAAAGGTGTTCTGTGGTAACATACAAATCTATATGTGTAAGTTATATTCTAAGATACACTAATATCATTCTGTTTCCTTCCCTAGATATGGTTATATAGAAGACAAAGTTGTAGTTCCACGGCATACTCCTTATCATCTTTGTGCAGCTAATAATACTGGGATTTATATACTTTCTTCTAATGTATCTGATCGATATGATACATATTGCTTCAATTCATCAGGTATGTCTTGGTTAATACACATGCTTTCCTATACTGACCTAAGAGTTTTCCTTATTACAGTTCATGAAACAGTAGAAATAAGAGATGAAAGAGGACAGGAACCAGTAGACTGCATGCCTGCAAACCTTTTGGCCTACTAATTGTTTTATTGCTTGTATTGTTGTGTTTGGGCTCGGCCTCATGTAAGCCGAACTGAGTCCCTTGGGGAGATGGTAGCGGGATACAAATAAAGTGAATAAATAAATAAATAAATAAAAATTAAAATTGTCCATAAATAGTACCCATATAGTAGGTGTTTCAAATCTCTTTACATATCTTGTTTTTTGCCTCAAGCTAACAAACAAACAAACAAACAAACAAATAAATAAATAGAAGAGGATGTCGAGGGTGGAGAGCTTTCCCCTGCTCATGGCTTACCTTCTCAGTACTAATACTTTTCTCAGCTGAATTCTAAGTGAGTTCACTCATGATAGAAGTACTTAAGAGGAAAGTCTACAGACTGGTAAATTGTAACTACCCTCAACCAATGTTCCTTTTGCTGTAAAACATGAACAATGTTTTTATTCTATGTCAAATGGATTTGTGGGCATCTGGTCTTAGTGAATGGGTTCTGTTCCCATCTTGTTTAGTTTGGATTAGGCACAGCAACACTATGATGGAGTTAAGCTACTTGAGCAGTAGAACAGAGAAAGAGCTGAATTGTAGTCCAGTTAGCAGCCTAATAAAAACTTTCTTTATGGTGCTGTCTGAAAGATCAGGAAGTTTCCAGCTACAAGCATCTTGACTTCCTAGAATAGTTAGAATGTAGATGCTGCTTTCAACACATAAATGGTACAGGATGTATTTTCTTCTAATGCAGACTTTAGCCTTTTACAGATGTGTGTGCTTTTGTTATAATAAGATATTAAAACTTTTTCAAACTCCAGCCCACGTTCGACATTGAAAGAGCATAGTGTCCATGATAATTCCAAATTCTGACAGGTGAATTTAGTATTGAATGATGGTTGAATTCTCATTGAAACTGTTTTATTGTAACTTTTTATTTAGAAACAAGAGATAAAGTCTGTGACCCAGTGATAAAGTTATATTCTGCTTGGCCAAATAACGGAAGTACAATAGGTAAGAAGGGAGTGTTATTCATTTCATTTCAAGATATACTTTATAGAATTGGATATAAGACTTGCAAAGTTGTTGCTGTTGTTTTGATACTGTTACCAAGGCCCACCTCTCTTCCAAGGCTGCTTGCAATATTACAGAAGCATGAACATAGAACTGCAGGCTAAATGCACACAGAGAAGGACAGAGGGGATGTTTTTACATGAGAGTTTGGGGTGTGCATTTGCAGCTGTTTAACAGCACAAGTTCAGGCTGTTTACTGTACAATGTTGTTGCAAAGCAATAGTATCGCAGAGTTTCCCACATAGTTCAATTTTAATTCACAGTGGAAACCTATGAATAGGTTCTTAAAAGTGAGCCATTCCACTGTTAACAGCGATGTGATGGGTAACTAGTTCTGCAGCAGTGGTGGGCAAGTTATGAACATAAACTTTCTTCACTCCCCTTTCCTGTGCTCATACTGCAACTCTTCAATTTCTGGCAAGCAGATAGAGAGGTCCTCCAGCTGCATTTACATTACTTCTCCCTTTGCCTCCCTTTTAAAAAGTATTACTTTTATTTAAATTAACTGTGCAATTTTGCAGATGCTTCCTGGTGCTATTGTGGTTTCCTGTTGGTTGTATAAACATTCGCTACTGGGATATACTACAGAGATCTTTTGAAAAAAATACTGCTTTGTGTATTCAGTTACATTTACACATATACTAACAGCATTGATTTATTAGCAAGGATTCCCTTTTAATGTGGAAACACTTTTAATTGTGATGTAGTATGCTGGATTCAACTGGACAAACATTGTTACTGGTTGAAACCCTAGGTGTTATAATGTTATGGCCCCAGCAGCCAAACCCAGTCTTGGCACTGATAACACCATGGCAGCATAAACGAATGTGTATATGACAGAATAAAAACCCTGATTGTGATGATTTTTCTAAATCATTGAAACCACAACAAAATTGTGATTTTTATTAGTCTTCCATGAAATCAGACACTCCATTATTAAATGTGTTAGAAAACATGTTGCTTTGCTTTTCTAGTGGGTTATGCTATTTTATGCACAGTGCATTCTGCAAACCATAGAGTAAAACAATACTGAATATGTAGAATACATTATTGCTATTGATATAACAAGGATGGTTATTTCCTTGAAGAAGAGTTATCACAGTTTAGGATTAGAATACAAGCCATGGATCCATTATCTGCTGTTTCATTTATAAACATGCAACAGAATGTGACTTCTCTAGGCATGCTAGGTCCTCCAGTGTGACTATGACATTATTAGGCCAGAAATTCTTCATTTCAATAGAGTTGTGTTGTTATCTGAGATTTAATTTATTATACGAAATTAGAGAACCTATACTTTGTATATACAGGGATTTTACTGTATTGTATTTTCTATATAAGTCATCTGTAACATTTTAGTAACTGATCTAGAGAATCAGAGTTGGATGTGAATATATGGAAAGTAAAGATTCGTGGTCCTCATTTGGCAAGACCTTTCAACCCACTGATTTGATTAACCCAGTGTGGATGCAGTTGAATACTACAGAACAAGCTGAACACTGGAATGGTCTCCTATCAGCACCTTTTTCTTTACTAGGAGAATCTCGGGAAAAACATCCTTGAGATTTTAAACTCTTTTAAAATTAAAAAACCAATGTATACAACGTTGAAGAACAGTGAAAAGAGAAAAGAGTGGGAAGTGGAATTATTGTTAGTAGATTAAACCATGACAAATATTAAATATGTCACATTTCTGGAAGTAAATTGAATACACATTCTCATTGGTTTCCAAAGACAAATAATTTCATTGGTCTTGTCGAAGGCTTTCATGGCCAGAATCACTGGGTTTTTATAGGAATTTTGGGCTATATGGTCATGTTTTAGAAGCATTCTCTCCTGATGTTTCACATGCATCTATGCCAGGCATCCTCAGTGGCAGGCATCCTCAGAGGACCTAACAACCTCTGAGGAAGCCTGCCATAGATTCAGGCGAAACGTTAGGAGAGAATGCTTCTAGAACATGGCCATACAGCCTGAAAAACCTACAACAGCCCAAACTATATTTAAGTTGTGTAAAATGATTTGCTTGTTTTTTTTCAACAGAAATTTTCAATGCAGATGGATCCCGCTATATTGAGGGACAGAAGTTCACAGAACGGCCACCAATTACTGACGATGAAATTACTGCAGGCAGTGGTTCTGCAAATGACAGACCAACAACAGATCCCAATTTCATCAGACATGGTATCTCCCATTATGCAGGTATTACTGGAATAGAATACAATGGAATTAAGTAGTAATATGAAAAGTGTCAACTATGAGCTAGAGTTGACTTCTTCTCCATTAATTTCCTATAGCAATGAATTAAAACAATGCTCTATGTGCGCCACCACAGATATATCCCTATGTGCATATTGCTATTCCACAGGCCTGCTCCTTTTTCCTGGCCATTTTCTGAATCTTCTTTCAGCAGATTTAGCCAATAGAGCAATTCCTCCAACATATTGCTCTGTTAGATTTCCAAGATCTGCTGGCAGATGAATATTTCTACCAGCAGAAGTGGATTTCACTAAGGAAAGCTTATGCCCATTCCTAACCTCCAACAGCCATAATACATAAATTTGGGTTGCTCTTTGAAAGTTATTACTTTTATTTCTTATGAATAAGCAGAGAGGACGAATGTCTTGTTTTAAAAATGAAGCTATAACAATAATTATGTATTGGTGGAACCTTGAAATGGTCAATGTCATGCTTAGTTTTTTATGTAACCATGAGTTTGGAATGGTGAATGGTGTATCTGTTCCAGAGCTTGACAAACTTTAAAGAAGCTATTGAAGGTTCTGAATTCTTCTCCCCAAATACCCAAAATAGGGTCTGCACCTTGAACAGCTCCTTTAAAGCCTGGGTAACACCCACGGTCCCATTTACACTCGCATATAATGCATTTTAAAACTGCATTATGTGGCAGTTTAGATGGGGCCTGATTAACAAGTGTGAGTTTCTGCCAAAGGGTTCCTGAAATTGGAAGTGTTGGCTAAGTTGTGAAAAAGAAAGAATTAAAGTGATTTTAGTTTACCAGAAAAAAGTGACAATTGATAAGAATTAATAATCAAAACGATGTGATTTTTGTAATAATTTGCAACTCATTCATTTATTCAAATACAGATCGTGTTACTCCGCCATATCATGTTGGTGCCAGTGATGAAGTAGAAGACCATTCGAAGGATCAGCACACACAACATCCTAGTAAGTCTAATAAATTATATGGGTGATTTTTGTGGACTCTGTGAAAGCTCTCATTTAACTGCTGATTAGATCCTACTCTTGTGGCTATGAATCACACATTGAATGCTCAACCTCCAAAGATATGTGTTCCTGGTAGATATGAAGTAAACTGTGTGGTAGAACTTGGACAGAATAAGGTCATTATGTACAAATTTGCTGATTTGTGGTATCTATACATGTTATATTGAGGTAGTGACCCGAGGAGTTGTGTTTTCCTCACACATAGCATGGAATTATACCTAATTGTCTGATCAGCATGCCTGAGCAAAAGGGAGTGGTGGATTATATGGGTTAGGTGCACACTCTGATCACACTTCATGCTCTGTGTATGGTGGTGGTGCATTGTGCATGTGTCTTGAACTTCACTTCAGAAACTAACCCTGTAAACTCTTACCCAATCTGTGATTAAAGATATGATTAATTAAACTGATATTCATATCTCCAGTGTGCTGTTCTATTAAGTGCCCAGGTGTCCGCATGTACTTTTGTGAAGTGATTGTCTGGAAAGGAATTATCAGGGTTCTTTTTTCCCTTTAGAGAGCTTTCTTCCATTTGTGAAAGAGCTTTTCCTTTTTGTTTTATTCTTCATGAGCACATAGTTGCAATATGTTTCCAAATACTAAGTAAGAGCAATGACCATGGTCTGACTGAGTGGGCAGTCTAAATGACTCATAAAAAGATGGACAGAATAATGCTTGAGGATCTCTTTCCTCCATTGATGGGTAGTAGAGGGAAATCAATCAAAATACCTGATTTATATGGCTTCACCTGGTTATTATATTCTTCCATTTTAGATGTTGCTATCTATATGTTCCTGGTGGGATATTAAATTTTGCATTCATCTTGGTTTTTTCTTAAAACACATCTCTTGAAATAAATGTTTATGATCTCCCAGGATTAGTGGCAAAGGGATTTTGACATTCCTCCAAATAGGAATGACTAAGAGATCATTTCCTCTTCTTCTATACTTATACCTAAATGTTTTCAAAGACCACAATTTAAATGGGCCTTTTTGATCCTTCACTAAAACATGTTTCTGTTTAGCTTTTGATGATGTGGTGGTTATTCTAGCTTTCCTAATAAACCTCCTTAGGGTGACTTCTGAATTTCTTAGACAAGTAATGAGATAAACTGTGGAAACCTAATCCTGGCTGGAAGAAGTGTAGAGTTAGGCACAATCCTTTTCTGCCAGCAGAAACATTCTTGGGTTGCTGTGGGGTTTTTTGGGCTGTATGGTCATGTTCCAGTAGCATTCTCTCCGGATGTTTTCCTTGCATCTATGGCTGGAATCTTCAGAGGTTCTGTTGGTGATGAAGCAAGTGGAGTGTAGAATGTCCAGGACAGGAGGAAGAACCCTTGTCTGTTTAAAGCAAGTGTGAATGTTCCAATTAGCAAGCTTGAATAGCCTTGGGTAGCATTGAAGCTGAACAATCAATCAGTGAGGGTATCTGCATAGAGATAGCCTAGAGGCATCCTATGTTTGGGAAATGTTAACTGCTGCTTCATTGCTTGCTGTCTGGAGTTCTCTTGCTTCTAATTGGTGTTCCTTATTGACTGTCTTGATTCTGAGGGGTTTTTTTTAATACTGGTAACTAGATTTTGTTTTTTTTCATGGTTTCCTTCTTTCTGTTGAAGTTATTCATGTGCTTGTGGATTTCAATGGCTTCTCTGTGTAGTCTGACATAATGGTTGTAGGAGTGGTCTAGAAGTTCTGTGTTCTCAAATTATATTCTGTGTCCGGGTTGGTTCATCAAGTGGTCTGCTATAGCTGACTTCTCTGGTTGAATTAGTCTGCAGTGCCTTTCATGTTCATTGATTAGTGTCTGGGCGCTGCGTCTGTTGTTTGGGCTGTATGGCCATGTTCCACAACAACAACAACACTTTATTTATATTCTGCTCTATCTCCCTGAGGGGACTCAGAGTGGATTACAGCATACACAGATAGGCAAACATTCAATGACTTTAATACAGTGGAAATAACAATGACACACAAATACACAGAACAAAGATAAAGGCTTCCCCTTTCATCTCCAGCTTCTGGAATATATGGTAGACTCCTGCAGTGGTTAGAGGATCCCTCTTATCCTTTGCTCAATGTAGCATTTGTTGAAATTTCTTTGTGGGCCTGTAGATTGTTTTGTATTGCTGCTGTTGTTGTTTTTGCTGATGTTTTGTGGGCTCGGCCTCATGTAAGCCACACCGAGTCCCTTGCGGAGATGGTAGTGGGGTACAAATAAAGTATTATTATTATTATTGTTGTTGTTTTTAGGTTGTGTTTCATGATCAGCTTCCCTATGCAGTCAGTGGTAAGAACACTTTTCCTGTAGGTGGATCTTTGTCTTTACTCAAGGGATAACCATGTAAGCATGTTTCAGTATGAAAAGGATAAGGATCTAGTGACACCGTTAAGGCTAGCAAATTTATTTTACCATGCAATTTTTTTTGGAATTCAATGCACTTCAGACCTCATCACATTGAGGTCAGTAAATTGGACAATAGTGAGGGGATTCTCCATGCATTGTGGTGAACTGGCATGGGGAACCCGTCTCTCCATGCCCTGCATCATCCCTCATCTCATTCTGTGGGGGAAGTGTCACCTCCTGACTTCACCCGTTCTTCTCAATGGAACATGGCAAGTGTCCTCTGTTCCCAGGGTTGCCTCTTATTACAGTTTGACTTCATTTCAGGCATGGAACCCAACTGGAAGTAGATCTACGTCATGTAATAGTATCTGGCAGATGTACCTGAAGTGAGGTTGAACTGTTGTAGGGTGGGCAACTTTGCCCATGTGATGAGGTAGTTAGTTAAATGTTTTAGTTGTGGAACAAAATGGAAAGGCTCATAGAAATAGCAAATTGTGACATAAACCTTCAAAGGCTTATCTGGTCTCTCAGGTAAACGTTAACCTAGTGGTGTCAAAGGAATACATTCCATCCCCAAATCAGATGCTTTTAAGTAAATCACTTATCTTCAGAAGATACTTTCATTACATATGTATATGTATATGTAATGAGATATTTATGTATACATGTATGTAACATATTTTGTTCCACAACCACACACAGAGAGTTTTTTCCCCTTTTCCCTTGTGATAGCAAAAAAAACCCCTCAAAAACATTTTACCCTGCTTCCTAAATTTTTTTATTTATTTTATTTTCCTCCTAACAGTTTCTAATATTGAATAATATGTGCAATTGGCAACAGGTGCAAAGGGATCAAGTAGCAACTATAAGAACGAGAGGAAAGCATAAGCTTTCATAGACTGAATTTACTTCATCAGATGAAAATGAGTTTGCCAAAGCTTATACTACAAATGTAGTGCTCAATCTTAAAGATTCCCTCACCAGCCTGGACAGACTAATGGCGATGTCTTTCAAAACTGAATTGGCAACAGAATAGTTGATGCTGATCATATTTGAATCTGGGAATATGTGATACAGGGAAATGGTGTGTTATTACTGTTAAATTAAGGACAGTATAAAAACGTGCTGAAAGAAAGATTGATATTAAAGATGAGAAAGAACAATATTTCAGGCATTTGAGCAAATATTGGAGACTTTTGCTCTAAAAGACGAAGAAGTGGGTTTGAATTTTGTTGTATATTTCATGTCTATCATTTCTATCATTCACATAGGTGAATTTCCTCACACAAAAGCATAGATAGCACAAGTTTAAATACTATTTTCCTTAAACAGAAACAATTGGCATTTGTGTAGAAAAGATTGTGCAATTTATGCTATGGCCTTGTCTTTTCAACAGTTTCAAAGCCATTCCATCTTTGTGACTCTTACCTACAAAAGCAAACTTTGGCTTGGATTTCTCTTTTTCTCTCCGACAGCTTTGAGCAAAGAAATTGCACAGTTTAGAGAGCTGAACTAGTTTTCAGAGGAAGGCTCATAGCTTAACCAGGTTCATGGAAAGGCAAACTCAAAATAATGATCAAAGACCTGTCCAATAATAGCACTTAGACTAATCTAATTTTTATTTTAGAGTCCTTCCGTAAATGCAGACGACAAATCAATTCCTCTAATTTATAAGCGACTAATTAAAGCTCTTCCAAATGCTACATGGCTGCAAGCTGTTTGATCTGAAACATGTTTTGCCTGTACGATTGTCTGTGTTGATACTATCACTAGGACGACATCTGTTAAATACGTATCTCGTGATTTCAGTTTACTGGGAATGCTGAAGCCAGAAAATAACACAATGGTCTTCTCTCCTCAGTTTCACTCTATAATTCATTTGAAAGTCATCCTGGTTTTTTGGAACTGTGCAACAGTGTGGCCCAAGGGTGGGGGTAGAGTCTCCTCCTGAGCCATTTCATGCTATCATGCACCCTTATTGTTTTGTGTGTGTATGCGGATAGACACTTGATCCTTGGAAGATGGGATGGAACCTCTCTGGCTTAAAATTTCTGCCTTGGCAATTGTCATATTGCCAAATGCTTAGATTTCAAATGAGCATTGGATGCTTTCCATCTTACATTGTTTGCCTAGAGTATTTTGCAGTGTGGACCTTCATTGAAAAGATAGTTGGATTCAACAACCTTAAAATGTAACACAGATACTTAGTGCCTGTGAACCTGGGAATTGTGGTTGATTGATAGACAATAATATATACTATTTCAGGCAATAACAACTAAATTGTTAATGTTTTAATCCATATGTGTCAATTCCATTCCTTGTGAATGTTTTGGGAACTTTGAGCTAAAATATAGAATTACTATCCTTAGAAAAAGTGTCGAAGCAATGATGTCATTTGGAAACATACATGATGGGATTTCTGGCAAGAATTTCTTTACTATCTTTATATTCATTTTTCCATTGCATTGCAATGGAAATTTGTTCTTTTGTTTCTCTTCTTTATCTCAAGGAGATCTTCCTCTTCCCATTTAATATTATCTCTTCTCAAAGTCTTTCTTTCTTTGGAATGCTGCTGCTTTTCTTCGTATCATTGAGAATGCTCTCCATCAGATTTACATCCCTACACTTTCTGTGATGTAAATGAATGCATGGGGAAATGATAGGACATTGCTCGTTTGCTGCACTGCTCTCATAAGTAGACGAACAAGACCCTACTCAGGAAGAGAAGTAAACAACTGTGAGAAAATTCATACATCAACTCTTTGAATCATCCTCACACCAGAAGATTGAAAACTCTCTGTACTGCTTTAGGCAAAACTGTGAACCTTCAGCCCCAATGTACTACATATGTTCTTTAATTTTTTGCTCTATCACAGATTTTTTTAATGATTAAAAATGCTGGTCTTTGCCATCCTTTCACTTAATTATGATAGAATTTGACTTGGATGAGAAGCAAGAAGATTCAGTACAAGGGCATAACATATCTGAATGCGAAGAGGATAAATATGGTAACAAGATTTGTCTTTCTGTTTTCTGGATCTGACAGATTGTTGATTAGTTGTACATATCCTGCAAGTAGATTCAGCTTTCATGTCTTTTTTTGAACAAATAGTGTACATATCCACTTGGTTGTTATTCCCTCAACTTGGTGTATTCTCAAACTCAGGAATATTTGGTATGCTTGTTAAAATATGAAGAACAGAAATGCTATTCAAGAATGTAGCTTGTGAATCTTTACTCTCCACTAGGAGGAAATATTGGGTGTATGATGAAGGTAAATTAATGGAGTTAGTAGCATAGCATATATTCAGTGTATTAGTTGTTCTGGCATCATTACAGCTGATGAAGTGTCCAACAACAGAAAGCATCATGAAAACTCTACTGAAGGGCAGCATATTCCTCAGGAGTTCCCTCTGTGGTGGCCACCAGAAGAAAATGAAAGAAGGCAGTCCACAATCTCTGGCAAGGGTAATACACTGTGACCTTTATGCTTGGTGCTTCTTTTAGACATTAATTTTTATATACATGTATGATGAGTTACTTTTTTCATGAGAAAATGCTTCTAGTTTGTTTTATGTATTTGGCTTGCTGTGTTTGTAAGCCTCAAACAAGCATTTTAGCCAGCCCCAAAATGGCTTTTGTTGTGCTTTTGTAATGCTGCCATGAACTGAGAGAAGTCATGTGATATATTCCTCAGGATATATAGAACTTTGTGCAGATTGTGACATGTAGAACTTTGTGCAGATTGGCTTTTGGCACATTGCTACATCTGTGCTGGCATGCAGGAAAGCTCAGCAGCACATCTCTTGTACACTCAACAGGTAGCCACATGGTGTCTGCCCCAGCTCATGGATACCATGATTACACACCAACCAGCTATAGCAAAGCACACACCAATCAGCTATAGCTAAAAGGACCCGTTCTTCTTCATTTGCTGTAGACCAATATAGCAATACCTCTGAAAAAGAAGGCCCCGAATGTCAGGATTTCCCATGGTTGGCTATGAAACAGATGTACTTATGCAAAGGCCAAACATTTTAATATGTGACTGTGAGAAGCCATTGTGTTTGCCTCCCACAAAACTGTATTTAGCCAAAATCCTTTTTGAATATTATAATATGGCTTATCATTTTAAAAAACAACTGTGATTTCATGACTAAATAAAGTAATTGTTGTGTAAATTTTTTTAGTGGATGTTATGCTTTTCTAATGTAATTGGAGGAAAGCATATAGTACTATAGTGCTTGAGTATGGGTTTTTTCATCATTTTCAGTCATTAAGATTTAGTCATGGCTTCCTTCTTTCTAACTCTCTTTATCTAGGTTTTTAAGGTTCCAGGCAAATCTAATCATATATTTCTGAGAACTTCCACAAAGACTTGTTGACAGGAAATAATTATCTTGTCAAATATTTATCATAATAATTCCTAAGCCTCATTGAATCCAGAAAGACGTTTATTTTGACATTTGTCATTACAATAACAATTTTCCTCACAAAGATTGTTTTTATCCTAGTATTGTTTGGATGGCTTTCTGAAATCATCCAATGGTGAACATCTACTATCACAGTAGTTCTCAACCTGTGGCTCCCCAGATGTTTTAGCCTTCAACTCCCAGTAGCTGTTAAACTGGCTGGGATTTCTGGAAGTTGTAAGCCAAAATACCGGGTAACCCACAGGTTGAGAACCACTGACTATCAGATTATGAATCATTTTCTAACCCCCTCGACCATCTTTTAAAATAAGAAATTGTAAGATAGCATTTTCTCAAACTCAGGAGCACTTTTTATGTGCGTCAAGTTCTCCATGCAACAGAAAAACAAATCTACATTTTCTGGGTGTTCTGCCAAATGGCTTCCCATGGCAACCTCTATGTAACTAGAGGTTGCAGATGATGATGATTTTGAACTGCACCATTCTCTTTGAACTAGAAAACAGTAGTTATAATGCTCATTGAGAAGTCTCCAAGGAAAGCACAATGCTTTGTATTTATCATTCCTTTTTAAAGGATTCTACACCATGTAAAGTTTGCACTGGCACACAAAACAAATGAAAGCTTCAATCAAGCATAAAACTTTAAAAAAATGAGCTCTCTTTTTTGGCTAATTAGGAATGGAAAAGAGAAAAAGAGAATGGTACAAAATACTATTATGGACCTAGTTCTGTTGGGGATTCTTTCCAAGTCTACTTTTTTGGTGACAATTAAGCTTTTTAGACTGTGATGTGAAAAAACAGGCAATTAGAACAGACATGAAATAGTACTTACATTTGTTACTAGTCCTTATTCTGCTTGAAAGCATGGCCACATAAGCTCAACTGCAGTCTTCATAATTTAAGAAGAAATCATTCATATTTTATATACTTCTCATGCAATTTGTACCTGAGTATGCCCTGAAATGCTTTGTACGAACTAGAGCAGGCATCACATTAACATAGAAGGGGGACCCAGATAGGCTTTATGTTTATTTGGTTTTCTCACCATTGGCTTTGCTTTATTATTTGCTTTATTATTGTTGAACTCCTGGTTTCCCAGTAGATCCCTATACCTTTATACTGAATTCTCCCTGGGGAATACCATACATTTCATAAATGTTGATTCCTCTGAGTCTCGTTATCTGTGTGAGTTATTCATGCCAGGAAAATTGGAAGAAACTCTGCTTTCTCAGATAAAGCAGCATAGTCATCCTTTATTCTTTCTTCTTATGGCTGGCATACAATTTTTTTAAAAAAAATTCAAAAGGGCATTGATGGAAAATAGCTTATTTAGGGTGCTTCCAGACAGGATTTAAACCTACAAAGAAATGGGTTTAAGTTCCCACGGGCTCCCATGCTGGAATACCCCCCTCTCAAAAACACCCCTTTACCAGGCCACCATACCTCCTTCTCCAGAAGCCTCCTAGTGCATATAAATGATGCACTAAGAGGCGTCTGGAGGGTGGGGGGAAGAAGGAAATCATTTGTCTGGAGAGGAGGCATAGCAGCCCAATAATCTTTTATTTTATTTTAAGGCTTGGGGGTGAAAAGGTGCAAGATGGTGTGACGACTGGCCCCCCAGGTAGTCCCAGGACTACCCAGTAGTCAGTTTTCTCTTTTACCTGAGGTGTCATTTAGATGCCTCAGATAAAAATCCAATAGGGCACGCATTTTGTGCTCTGTTTGGAAGGGCCCTTAGAAAATGTTAGCTTAACATTTTGTAAAGGCACAGCTCATTTAGCTATTGTCTGAACAGCTTTCATCCCTTCTCAACATTTGAAGGACCAAAAACACCCATCCAACAACAATGGAATTGCTCACTGTCCTTGCCCAGTGTTAATTGCTGTATTCCATTCTAAAAAAGTGGAGGAAAAAGAAAAAAGTTTAAAGATTTCCTAAAATATATACTTCATAGTGATATCAGAAGGCATAGTATTTATGTATGAAAGTGGATCCTCCTACATAAAGTTAAATTTCATTTATTCAGATATCTCAGTAACTATTCATTTGGACTGACCTTGCATTTTGTCTTGCTTTTAAGTATATATTTGTGATGTTCACTGTTCTCATAATGTGATGCATTGTGAACCATCAGATTACTTTCTATTGGTTACTCATATTCTTGTTGTTGGTAACCAACAGATGTCTGGTTAGACATCTGTTGGTAATTCTTATTGTTGATTATTATTATTGCTAGTTACAGTTTTCTGGCAGGATATCCTCAATCCTTTGGCCCAGTACTACAGTGCGATGTGAGAATATAACAGGATATTCTGGGTTAAATGCTACTGAGATGTTATTAAAAAGTTGTACCCCCCCCCCCCCTCCAACCACCCACCCTGGGAATGAAAAATAATATTACAAGTGTCTCTTCAGGGTTCTTACTTTCCCGTACCAGTGTCACTCTTTCATGACAGTTTATGTGCAAGATGAACAAAAGACATCTATAATTGAAGCAAAAATACAATAACTTTGTTACTATGCTACTTTGTTGTATTCTACTACCTTCCTGAAAATGCTCTTGCGTCATCTGCACTAGATTGAAGCTATAGGCTACCATCCCAGATTCTCCCTTGCTATGGAAGACCTCTAATCATTTTTTGGCCTAAATCTTAATTGACTGACTCAATTAGATATACCTATGGATTGTCTCCCAATTAAACAATAGATTCAATTAAGCAACTATAGTTGGGACTAACCAACAGAATTTCAAACCTTGGAACATATCTATCCTTCCTTGCAAGGAGAAAAATTCTGTTTCTTATTCTTCATTATGACTCAGCTTTGGAAATGGTACAGCAAATATAGGAAGATAATGAAAAAATTATAATATTTATTTGGATGAGGGAGAAATGGATAAAAAGATCAAAAGCTTACCGTCGGTTTACATCAATAAATCACTAGATGAGAGTTCTGAAGAAAACGATGATGATGGTGGAGGTGACGATGATGATGATAGTGAAGAAGGGTCTGGACATATAAATCCTGAAACAGTTATTGAGTGGGACAACAGTGGTGATCAGGAACTACAGCCATCAAATAACAGTAAGAACTAATTCTGCAAATGTATGCCGTGTGAGATGGTGAAAGTTAATACACTTTTCTCAGTAATACCTTATACTTCGCGATACAATTGTAGAAACATTTTAACTGCATTCTGTTTTGCTGTATGAGTGTTCTAACTCCATATCCTAAATGGGGAACCTGGACACTGGTTGCTGGTACTGTTCTTTTGGCATATAGTAGAACTGGATACTCAGAAAGGTCGATGAATCGCAAATCCTCCATTTTCCTGCTTTATATTTGAGTCTGGTTCCAGTTCATTGAGACCTAGCTTGGAATGCAATTCTGGTCTTTTTCTAGTATTTGTGCTGCGAATTTGCATTATAAACATTCACTTGATCCTTTCCATATTTCAGTTTTTAAAATATGGAATGAAAATATTGGTGAACATATTTTATCAAATGTTCTTTCTGCTATCACTCCGTTGTCTTTAACATGCTCGTGGCTTCTGATGAGTTTTGTAAATGTGCAGTTTCTATCTGTCATAATCACTGATTTCTGACTTTTGGAGTTAATCCAATGAGTAGCACTCCATAGCTGAACAGCTTCATACTTTGCTATCACTGAAATAGGGTGGTGGTTGGCTTTTGGTCCTCTTTTTAAATCTGGTGATGGTAACTAATCTGTTTGCCCTGTTTCTGACAATGTATGATTCTCCTTGCTTTACAGGTTAAAATGTAGTTTTGTAGCTTGATCAAAGTGTTTTTGTTCATTTGTCACTATTTGTTTTTCCTTTAGCTGATAGCAGTGAGGGGAGGAAATATGATTGCACTGAATGAGTCATGCACATTATTCTGAGGGGAGTAATATCAAGCCATAAGTCAAAGGACACGTTCTAAAGATGAATGTGTGTATCCACTCAGGGTTACATATTTTCTGAGATAACTTTATACAGCATTACAATTCAGGCTCCATAACATTGGGATTGTCAACTTTTTAATTGACCTTGATTTTGTGCCTTTAGCAGAAGTCCAATAAAGAAGTTTATCCTAATTTCCACATCTCAATCTCACAAAAAGCATTTTTTTTGCAATGCAGATAGCTATTCAAAGTCCAGAAACAAAACAAAATCTACAAAGCATTTATGACAAACTTCTGTTATGTGTGAAAATATTAGTACACATAATACTTGAGGTTTAATATGGATGCTTTCTGAAATTGATTAGTGTTCAGCATGATTATAGTTTAGCAAGGTACTGGTATGGAATGTGGCATTATCTGTCCAAAAACAAAAGAAGTAGATAGAATTCATCTCTTCCACACACTGTGGATGATGAGTGAATGAGAAAGGCACTTTCTCCACTGCACAGAAGCAAAAGCATAGAAATGAGCATCTTAGGACATTATATCTGAAGGTGGGAAAACATTAATTTAGCGGTCATGTTGTTGCTATGGATTGATTTAAAATACTCTGGGAGAAGAGTATCAGATAAATAGGACTAGCATTTTAATCTCTAAAGCAATGGTTCTCAACCTGTGGGTCCGCAGATGTTTTGGCCTTCAACTCCCAGAAATCCTAACTGCTGGTAAACTGGCTGGGATTTCTGGGAGTTGTAGGCCAAAAACCTGGGGACCCACAGGTGGAGAACCACTGCTCTAAAGATTGTCTTATAGATGGAAAGCTTGACAGATCTGCATGAATTTGTGCATGTTTTTGAACAGTGACTTTAAATACCTCAACCTCACAAATACCCGTACATATAATCCCTTCATGATAACAACAGCATTGCACCCATGAAATAAAATGGGAGCAATGCTAGTTGTTGGTGGTATATAATATATTCCACACAATATACCTATAATCATTGTCACAACAGCTGTGATCTCAAGCAAGGATGTCAAATATGAAGATACAACCCATGAACCATTGCTACATGGTGTATACTCTGGAAAGAGAAATGATGTCAAATATTCAACAAATGGCACACAGACGGCCGTGCCACATGGACATCCACATCTGGCCGAGCATGAACATTACTCCACAACTACTGGTATGAGTAATTAAGCACAATCTGTTTTATATTGGTATGAAATGAAATCTACTTTTTATAATATAAAAATATTGAAGTAGTTGATGGAACTGCTAGCTACTTTTTGCTGGTACTTCATATGAAGATCATATTTGTGATTACTTTAAAAAAGAAAGCAGGCATTTCTTGCTCTGTTTCATCTATCAAAACCATGAAACCAAAAGTTCAAGTAATAATTAACTTTGGGTAACTAAGAGTGAGTCAGAAGTGCCAACCTGAATTTATTTCAGTCCCAGAAGTTCCCTAAAATTTGTAGAAATTCCAAATGGGTGTATCATCCATGTATGACCATAAATTAAGGCAGTATTTTCTGTGCAACAAAGCCACACTCCTAGCACAAAACAGCTTTGTGTTGGGCCAATTTTCCACAGATTTGCTATTCCATCACTTAAAAGTTTTGTTGAAAAATGGCATCTGCTCAGAGGAAATGAGTTGCTACTCCTAGCTGACTAGGTTGTTGTTTCTAAGAAGTGGAAATTCCGCTAGCACTGAGCTTTGAGTGGCAGAGATTGCTGTGGGTGCAGGAGAGAAATTATATTATGCTAGCAGTTGTTTGCTACTATGACACTGGTTTGGCTCATAGCTATCAGAGCTCATAGCTGTTATAAAATCTGCTTAAGTCAGCTCAATATGTGACAGTGGAAAATGAACATGTTGTGATATTTATTCTCCTTGATTTAAATAGACAGTTATTTAAACCACTGTATGGGCATATTATCATACAAATGTTTTGAACCCGAGTGCATAGCTCTGTCAGCATTAACATGTGAACAAATTTGTGTACATATACTTTGCTTGACATCTTTTCTGGCAGATTATGGGCTACTTTTCTGTTGTTCTGCACAGCACTTTCACTGGCTTTGGTGGTTTGCTTTCATCTGTTTGTGGCTACTTCGTAATAACTAAAGCATGTATTTTGACTCAAATCAGACCATTATTTTTGATGCATAATGTCTTCTGAAATTTGTGATGCATTATGTTTTCTGCTGAATGGTGCAAAATTACTTCACTCTGAAGAAAAATCTGAAGAAAAATCTAATGGTGTGGTGCTGGTGTTGGTATTGGTGGTGGCTCATGATATTTCTGAACTGATCTCCTTGGATTTAAACAGCCATACCCTTACAATAAGGAAACCTACCTATCAAACTGGTTGAACTTCATCAAAGCTGCAAATCTGCATTAGCTAACCAAACCATGGGGCTTAGTGTTGGAACAAAGTCCAAGAACAGCAATATCAAAATGATAAGAAGAAAAAGAATATCACAACAGAGGAGTTTTGTGGGCCGAAGTTGCTGTTATGGCTCCAGATGGTACAAAGTTTTGACAGCCATCAAAAACAGTCTATAGATCAGTTAAGAGTGTGAGCTGTTGTCATTTTTTTTCTGCCACGGTTGCGGTTACATCCATCTTGCACTTGCTCTTGGTCTCTGGGGTACTGTCTGAAAATCAACAACTTGCTGAAATTATGGCGATGACAATTGGTGGCTGTAAATTCACCCGTACCTCCTAAACCTTTACCTGCTCTCCTCCTCCTCTTGCTTATGCATATAAATGAAAACACAAGGCTTGTGTGTGTGTTTTTTTAAAAAAAATGAGACAAAGAGAACAATCTGGATGGTTGTTCAGCAAGTATACTGGAACTGATTCCAAACATCATCATAACAGCTGTGTCTCCCAGCAATGATTTCTTCAAGCAGGAAGAGTCAAATGGGCTTTCACAAGATGGCAATCATTCTGGATTGGAAACCAAAGATACAGTACTTACAACAACTAACTCTTCACATCGATTGCATCCTGGACTTGTTCCATCAAAGGAAAGAGAGAGTACCCTGGAAAATGAATCTTTTCATCATACAGGTATCAGTATGAATAATGAATTGTCACACTCTAATTTGAACTCATTTTATATCTGAATAATTCAGTTTCCTGAATCAGGTTTCTGGACATGAGGTCATATAATTTAAATTAAAAATACACCTTTTAGTTATGAAAGTCAGAATTTTTGCAGGAATTATTTTTTTACAGAGAGGTGGTATTTTGAAATAGTGAAGTTTTTGGATTTTTCTAAATAGAGAACTCCTAAGCATGAAGGCTACTTTCCTGTCTCTTCTGTCATAATTGTTGGGTGGATTTTTTTCCTTTCAAGAAGAACGATGGAAAAAAAGTTGGGTAAAAACATGGGTGTAAATTGAAGACAGAAACTGCTGGAGGCACCACAAAAATTCACTTATTTGTGAAGGTACAAGAAAATCCTCTTGTACCTTTATGGAGGTACAAGAAAATCCTTACTTTTCCTTCCATTCGTAACCATTTGTTTAGAATTATTTACTAAATCAACAATTTAGATCTTTAAACAACTTAAGCATAAGAGGGGAAAGGAAGGCACAAGCATGTGTAGATTATGCTTCTTATTTTCCAAAGACATGGGACCCAAATGATCAAGGAACCAACAGAGTGATGAGTTTGGGTCATAGGAGAACTTCTGTGAGAGCTTAATAAACCCCTAATTTCTGTAGCATTAATATTCCTGTAAATTTGCATGTCAACCACAGATATGCCAACTTTCTCAGCGCAGTCTTGAGACTAGTATTTTCTTTGTCAGAGCTAGCCTATGTTGTTTTGCATGAGTCAAATGAAGCTCTTTCTCACACAAAATATATTATGTATAAAGAAGCTGATCAGATAAGAAGTTGAATTTTATTTGCTGGCTACCAGTGCTTCATGAGGGAAGCAAGCTAATTTCATGATACAGAGCAGTGCAGTATGTTGCATGTGTAGTTATATTGTCCACTTCCCCATATTATATGGGATCTGCAGCCTGAACCAGCTACTTTACTCTGCTTATTAACAGAACAAACTGTGATCTGTCTCATTAATGGGTTGTCTCAGTCACAAAGTAAAGGCTTCACAGTCACAAGGTCCCAGGTCTGATACCTGGGATCTATTATAACAAGGTGTCAAAAATTATTTATTTGACAGCCTATTTCAATTTAAACTAAGTGATTCTGGGCCAGTCATATGAACCCAACCTTCCTTATTATTTGATAATTATTTATTATTTAAAGTTTTTTTTTAAAAAAAATACTTTGTTATTGTTCTAGTAATCCAGCAATTCAAATCCCATTGACTGTCAGATTTCTGAAACAATATAATTGGCTAAACTGTATAGCTTGCCACTTTGAATCCCTATATTGGGAGAAAGTTGGGATTAAAAAATACATAAAAATATATAAAACTTGATGTCAACCTTTTGTAATCAGTAGAGCTAGCTGATTCTATCAAGGAAGTGTTGATTCTATAAAAAGGCTGTTTTCCCCCCAAGTGCTCTACATCCATTAGTCTGAGAATTAGTCATTCTATATTTTTTCCATATAAAAAGAAAATATGATACATTTACTTGGTCCAAATAGTGATTAAAAAGCTGTGTGCCTAGAAACTTTTGAATGATGGACTGATCTGGCGCTCGCTGTAGCCCTCTCTCCTCCTTTCCTTCCTTCCTCCCTTCCTTCCTCCCCTGGCTGAGTCAATTTGCACAGGCCTCATGTAGAGTCCCTGCTTACCAAAGCAGAAATTATGGTAGGAACTTCTGAATACCTCCTGAACGCATAGGATGCCCCAAAAGCAGAAGCAAAGTTCTACATCAAGGCCATTATCTATTGATCATCTGAAAAGGCAAAGTAAGAAGGTATTCACTGTTACTTTATTTATCATAATCACAACAGTTATATTCTTCAATGAAAGTGCTCAACATGGAGAATCACATCAAGATCACTTGCAACCTGTGGATACACCTGGACAGAGAAATGAAAGTAGTTCTGCCACAAACAGTACGATCAGTAGTGTCCTAGAGATATTTCTCCCTCCAGATGAGAGTGAAGATGAAAATGCATCTTCTCAGACAGGTACTGCCAGAAAGAGTATAATTCATTCATATGTTCTGACTGCCCAATGTAAAGGAAATAACATTCTTTAGAATTATTGTAGTATAAAAACATTCTTTTCCCTTATTTTAGAAATTAGAGCATCAGAAAAAAATGTGTTTAATTGAAAGATGAGTCTGCATTAAAATATTGCCAAATAATGTTTTCCCTGTCAATGGCAATTTTGGAAAGAAAGAAGGAAGCAAATTTTATTGAAAACATTGGATAGGAGATAATAGATAACCTTTCTAATGCCGTAGTTCCAAATTAGATCCCCTGCACCAGTGGCTAGTATTTGCATTTAAATAAATACATGCATAAAATTGGTGATCTATCCACATATCTGCATCAGTCAACCATGTTTATTAGGCTGACAATACATAGTTTGAAAAACTATCATAATGTTCAAATATTGCAAAGTTACTCTCCATGTCATTGGATAATAAGACAAAAGGTCCATTTAATAGGGAAGTGAAGGGTGTTACTATTCTTATACTTATTCTTTAAGATGGCAGACAGTCTTGGAGTATTCCTCCCCTCAGAAAATTCTATGAAACTCATGAGATCATCATAAGTTCGCAAATGATTAATCTTTACATTTGTACCTGCCCTTTTCTCTTTCGAGTGCGTAATGTGTGTCACTTCCACATTTTGCTTCTATAGGCCATAAATATTTGCACACATACATACATGCACAAATCCAATTTGAAAAATGCTGTTTACTCATTCCAGACATTCACTTGATGTGCTTCACATATGAATAAATACTATCTGGGGAAGCACCATTTTTCTTTTTATGTGCTTGCTCTTATAATCCATTTTAACTAGGTTATCAATGAGTCACAAAACCTTGTGGATTACAGCAATTCTGTTGGCATTAAAAGGCCTTTAAAATTGTTGGTTATATTAGCACTTTAAAGTGCTTATCCAGTAAAGTAGTGGGTGAGATACTTGACCTAGTTATAGAAATAAGGAAGTCTAAGACATTTTCTTTTTGCTCGTTTTTGAGTGCTTATGCCACTAAGAAAAAGTGCAGGGCTGAAAATATAACCCAAATGATATTTTAAAAAGCAGTGCTGCAAATATTAAAATGCTTCATTATTAAAACAGATGTGGTGTCTAACAATGGAATAAAACATGAAGAATCTACTGAAAATCCACTTTCTCATTCTGAATGGACCACTGAAGAAATATACTCTACAGACACATCAATCAAAGCTGTGCTGCCTGAAATTTTGCATCATCCAAGTGAAAATGAGCATAAAAATGAATCAGTTTATACAGGTACCTGTCTGAAAAGCAACTTTCCTTCACCCATAGATCAGTTTATTATCATTCACTATAAAATAAATCAGTAGGAATTGGGATTGCAACTTTAATTAGTGGTATATCACAATAGAAAAAATAAAATATAATTGTGAAAATGTGCCATTTATACATCCATTACTATAACAGTTGTGGATGCCACTGGTGATACTAATCACGAAGATTCTTCAAACAATACACTGATCCATGGAATCCATTCCAGCTGGAGCCAGGAAGACAGTTTTCCTGAAAATACATCTAGAGATAATGTTCTCTCTGACATCATTTCTCCAAATGAAAGCAAGGCTGAAGGAGATTCAGAAACATCTCATACAGGTACAAAGAAGAAAGTTCAATTCCACATCATTCAAAGGCCCTATTTGTGTTTGATTAAAATATACTCACCCTCATAGGATACAAAAACTGCTGAAGGTATTGTGGAAATATTTTAAACAAGAAAAAATTATAATCAATTAAACAATCCCAAAACCGATTTAAAAATACCAACAATTCACAGCTAGCATGCTCGACATAGAAAAAAAGCAGAACAAGCTGTCCTGCAGATGTTGGGCTACATTTCCTATCAACCCCTGCCAATCTAGCCAAAGTAAAAGAGGATGAGTGTGATCGTTCATCAGTGAAAGGCCACAGATTCCCCAACTCTTCCATATGTGCTTCTCTATGAAAAGAATTCTTGTGTAATCTTAGATTGGGTACTGATATTTCTCCAGATGGAATTCATTTCCCCCTTGCAATGTTGAGCACAGTTCTAACTTTAAGTCAAAGTTCTACTTGTGTCACCAAAAATTCAAATTGTCTCCACAAGTCTAGATTTCTAGACCTCAGAAAATTGGGAAGAAGGTTGTTTCATGTATCTGAGCTTAGTTTCAATGCACGGCACAGTTTGGAACTATGCAATGATATTTTTTTTATCAAATGTATTATGAACCTTCACTTTGCTTTATCTTCTCCATGCTTTAGTTTTCTTAATATGAAATACAACTATTTCTAATCATATTTTATAACTTTTATTTCTGTGATTAGTTGTTCTTAACATGCCTATGGTTTCAGATGAGTTTTTTTCAGATAGACAACAGATCTTATTTCATCACCGATGACCGATGTTTTGAAACAAGTACATGTGTTATGTACTTGTGCTTTGTTTCTTGTTCTTTACTTTTCCTTGGTAGACCTTTCTATTAACAGTGATAGTGCTGTGATTCCACTTTAACTGTCATGGCCACCTAACTCCAGAATGCTGGAGTTTGAGGTCAGATAATTATAAACTGAAAAGTCTGCCCTACCTGAAAAGTCCTTAAACTAAACTGCAAGATGCAATGGGATGGAACCATTGCAGTTAAAATGAAACCTCTGTGCTATAGTTGTGTAGTGTGAAAAGGCTCCAGATTTTGTTTTAAACTTCTAAAACAATTAGAAATTATTTTACTAAATGATAAATTATATAACTAGAGAAGCCTAAATCCAAATATCATGAGTAGAGTAGACCTACTAAATTCACTGAACTTTTATAGATATATTCATTTTATCAAGTTTTTATTGATTCATTGGTTCTTACCTATCTTACCTAATCAGGATTACAGATGTAGGCTAGAGTATATTCAGATACAGTATAATTCTTTCCATTGAAATTGGTGTCTAAGGTGTTACTGACTTCCTCTTGCCAAGTTAACCCAGTAAAATAAAACTTAGTTTTAAAAAAGCTGTGAAAGCACTATTGACCTAGTCATTTTTGCAATAGCAATAGTTCCCAGTGATAGTGCTCCCCATGAAGACTCTGCCCATGAAACAATTTTGCACAAAGGACACTCTGAATGGGAAAGTGAAGAAAAATATCTCACCAACACATCTGGAATTCATTTGGGGCCTGCTATTGTTCATCCAACAGAGAGTGAACATGGAAATGAGCCATCACTTACAGGTATTATTTAGTAAATAAGAAATATACAAATATTTAAATCCTTTTTAGTTTTTCTCTTATCTTACTAAAAATAATCAATCCTGATTTTGTTTTAATCAATGACCTTGCACTATAACACAGAATTTATGTATTACAGATAATGTGAGAAGAAACCATATAGCCTGTAAAATATATCCAATTATAATTTTAATCTCAAGAATGACATCACAGCTATGATGTTTCTGTTTGTGATCCACTTTGTCTATAAATTAATTTTAAAGTGTAAATTAATGAATTGTGAGTCAAGCAAACATATTTATTAGCTGCTTTAAAAAACTATAAAGGTTCTCAAACAAACTCTTGTGAGTTTATCTTGAGATACTTTTCTGCCTGCAATATTTTCACCAAATTGAAGAATCTCAAAAAAAGGAAATAATTCCCTAGTTAACTGTCAAATAAAGGAATTCCAAGTATTTTGATTTTTCTCATGTTAGATGAGAGATTACTGAATCTCCAACTTTAAGTTATAGGTAGCAGAAAACTAGAAGCTAGATGACAGCTAATTCAATAGTTAGGAAAAAAATTGAGAAGGAACCATGCAAATGTAGCATTTGAAAATATTCAACTCATCATTGCAACAGCTGTTGCCTCCAGTGATAATGGCAAGCATGAAGACTCTACAGAAGACCCCCTACTTCATGGCATGCATCCTGAATGGGAGAGTAAAAGTGACCTTCCTATGAACACAACAAGGGACCATGTTCCACCTGAAATTATTCCTTCAAATGAAATGATGCATGGAAATGAAAATGAAATATCTCATACAGGTACTCTACAGCAAACGGAATTCTAATCTATTTGTACTTTCATGAAGTACTTCTCCAAATGTGCTATATTGTTATAATGTCTCATGCTTTAACATTTGTTCAGCTATTAACATTATAGTCTGAATTTGGAAAATTTAATTTTTGAGGCTAGATCTACTAAAATCCCACAGCTTACATGTCTCTGTTTGCTGTGGGAAACTGGAACACACACACACACACCCTTCTTGAAAATAGGGACAATATTTGCTCTCCTCCAATCTGCTTGGATTTCTCCCATTCTCCAAGAATTCTCAAAGATTATTGCCAGTGGTTCTGAAATTATTTATGTTAGTTCCTTCAATACTCTTGGGTATAGTTCATCTAGCTATGGAGACTTGAATTCATTTAGAGTAGCCAGGTATTCCTTGACTACTTCTTTGCCTATCTTGGGTTGCATATATCCCCTATTGCCTCGTTTGTCCCATATTGCTCAGTTTAAATACTGATTTCTTTTGGGAAAAGACTGAGGCAAAGAAGGTGTTGAGTAATTCTTCCTTTTCTCTATCTCCTATCAGTATTTCACCATCCTCTCCACACAGAGGCCCTACTGTTTCTTTGTTCTTTCTTTTTCTACTGACATAATCAAAGAGCAATTGTTTGTGGTTTTTAGTTTCTCTGACAAGCTTGAGCACATTTTGTGCGGTAACCTTTCAGAAGTTTTCCCTACTTGTGTTGGTTATTTGTTTGAATTCTTCTTTGGTGATTTCCCTGGTTTTCCAATTTTTGCATATGTCTAATTTAAATACATTTCTCTTATTGTTTTGCTAACACTGTTTACAATTGTGCCTTCAGTATCTCACTTTGAGGAACTCCTATCCATCATTAAATCTCTTCTTTTTCCTGTTCATGGAATTATGCTCAGTATTTTCTTATCAGCATTTGACTATCTTTAACTGTAGTGCCTATTACCACATTGCAGGCTGCTCTTTAAATTAACCCATAAAGTGGTTTCTAAAAAGGTTTTTAAAGTTATATAACAATAAAGATCCCCCTCGCCCCCCATATGTATTGAATTGAGCAGAAATAAAGAATTACATGAATACCAGAAATAAGATGGCAAAATAGAAATGATCAGTGTAATACATCATTCCATAAATTAACATGCTTTTCTTTGGGGACACATTTCACCAATGTGTTTATTTGGTTTACAGTATAGTGGACTGTTCAGAAAATCAGAAACTGCCTATTGAACATGCTATGTAATCAAACTAGGTCAAACTTGTCTCAATAAATTGTTTAGTGGAAAGATTACATACATCTAATCCAGCAATATTGTAACAGTTCTTGTCTCCAACGGTGGTGAAGAATATGAAGATTCTATGCAAGATTCACCGACTGACAAAACACTTACTGGCTGGACCAGTGAGCCCAGGCATCCAGCAAATCAGTCAAAAGATTATTGGGTGCCTGGAATTATTCTCCCAACTGAAAATGTGCATGGCGAGGAAACTCCACATAAAGGTACTAGTCAGAAAAGAGAATTCAGACATTCTCTTTCATCACAAGTTAGATCAATTAATATAATGGTCTAAGTCAAAGCTTTCCAAATTGTGTGTCTTGACATGTTAGTGTGTCAGTTGCAGTGTGTGTTGCATGGATGTAATAAGAAACCTCAGAGCCAATGTGAAATAAAAAATAAATCATTTTTTTAAAAAAAATTAAATGAAAGGTTTTCACGAGATATGTTATATCTCCATACATTTCATTATTACAATTGATGTATGTGTACATATATAAGGGATTGATTTAACTTCTGGTATGTTAGTAAAGCTGAATTACTATGTCACAAAATGACAATTGTCTAAAAAGTGTGTCACCAACTTGAAATGTTTGGAAAACTGTGGTCTAATACTTCTAACAAGAATCCTACAGGCATCAATGCCTAAAGTCTAATTATTCTCCCTTGGAGAAGGTGGTTATGTAATAGTTGCGGATAATGGATTACAAATGTTATGAAAAACAGTTTTCAAATCTACGATTTGTTTTTTTTATTTATGCTTTCAATAACTGTTTCTAGTGATGAAAATGCAAGAATCTATAAAAATTCTAATAACTGAAACATGTGATTAAAGCTTTGTGGAGCAGTGAAAACTAGGGGGAAAAAATCTAGAAATAAATTGGTACCTTTAGCTTTCCTAAAGAAAGTCTGGTATGAAAAAGAAAACATCAGACACAGATATGAACAGAACAGATGTCCCCTTCCCTATTCTACTGCTTAATTCCCCTTTTTTCATATTTTATATCAACTTATTTCCATGAAGGACAACTATATATTGATGATGAATGCTCATTAGGAAAATTTAGGAAGTTCAAAGAAAACTGTGGTGGGAAGTTTGCTATGCAAGTATTATAGAACATTGAAAATTTACCCAGCTATCAATTACAGGTTCCAGTGAAGTTTCCAAACCTAAAGACACTTCTCATAATCTGCCTCATGAAATAGATAGCACAGAGAATAAATGTCTCTAGAAATTGTTCCTCCAAGTATACACAATAATGAAGAGAAAATCTTCCCTATAAGTAAGAATATTAAAATATTTTTAATTACATGGGGTCTGAGAAAATAATTTGAATTGTCCTATAATTGTACATCACTGGACTATTCTTTTTGGCAATATACCAAGTACAATATCTGCACACAATCTATATAAAAGGAAAGGTCTTGTGTAGGAAATATGAATAAGACTGAGAATATTGTACAAGGAGTCATGGGGAAGGGATTTTCTTGGACACCAATGTATATTTTAAATATCCAAATCTAAGTTCATCATTGATTCATCAATCAGTTGTCATTCACAATAATCTTGCAGACTCAGCTCAACCTCCTATTCATCAGCCAGGCTCGGAGACTGAAGAAGTATATTCCACTAGTATTTCTAGCACCGGGGTACTGGTGGGAATTTATAGTGAAAGTGAAAACCATCCATTATCTACAGGTATTGCTTTAAAATAGCTCATTTCCCTATTCTGCATGAAATGAAATGTAACTGCTGAAATGCAACGTTTATTTCACTGTCATACTCTGAATAATGTCCACATCCATAGGGTCATACTGTGCATCATACTGTGCATACATAGCATCATACTGTGGTTCAGTTTCATATTAATTAACCAAACATTTCTATGGTGACGATTTCTCTTTTTCTTAAAATGATCAGTAGGGTATGAATTATACTATATTTTCTATTAATGCATGATCATGCAAATCATGTATTAATTAATGATAATGTTTAGGGTTTGTGTTTCACTATTCTTTGTTTACTTTTAGTACACATGTTCAAATTCATGTAATGCTGACACTGATGACATTCAGTTGGTAACTGTGTTGATGCATAATGAAATTAACATGTAATAAAATATGTAGAAAACTTGAGATAAATATGTGGGGAGGACTTGGGAGGACAATCTCGAAGGAAATTGATATAATTCACCAAAAGGCATTAAGTCACATCTAGCAGGGTGATGGAGGATAACACCCAAATTATTTTCACATCTGTTGATGTTATGATTTAGTCACTGGACTCCCTAGCATACTAAATCTATTGCAGGTATCATACAGTAATCACAAGTGGTACACAGATTAAACAAGACAGCTGTTGAATGAGTGGGATGGGACTTGTGAACAAAATCAAAAATGCACTTTCTAAAAACTGCACATTGTAGCATGTCCTTCCAAATGAAAATCTCAGTACTGACACATATTTCAGTCTTTTGTTTGGATAGTAGCAAGCATATTGAACCATTAATCTGGGAAAGCAGAAAGTGGACTAAAAAGAAATGAGGTTAATAGAGTTGCAAATGTTACATTCTGAATTATTTTGCCATTGTCCTAGATGTGGTCTATGATGGGACCAAAGAAGATACAACCCTAGAACCTGTGAGGCAATGGGTTAGTGAAGACAAATACACTACAAAATCTCCAGCAGATGTCATAATTCCAGGAATTGTTCCTCGGAGAGGGATAAATCAAAAAAATAAAACTGAACATACAGGTATCCAGTAGAATGGGGTGGGATATTTTTTACCCTGTCCATATTAGGGGAGCTAACTTTCTTGTCCGGAGCATTCTAATGGATCCATGGTTCACTGGGGCCGCAAACCCCAAGTCAAATTCTATTGATTACATCTTATTTGTTTTTAAATACAGTAGAGTCTCACTTATCCAACCTTTGCTCATCTAACGTACTGTATTATCCAATACAGTCTTCCTCCTGCCCGGATCCACAACTGTTTCAATACATTGCGATGTTTTGGTGCTAAATTCGTAAATACAATAATTCCTACATAATGTTACTGTGTACTGAACTGCTTTTTCTGTCAATTTGTTGTAAAACATGATGTTTTGGTGCTTAATTTGTAAAATCTTAATGTAATTTGACATGCTTTTCATTAATCCCTCCTATTATCCAACATCATCACTTATCCAACATTCTGCTGGCCCATTTTTGTTGGATAAGTGAGATTCTACTGTATATCATCATGTTGTTGTTGTTCATTCGTTCAGTCGTCTCCGACTCTTCGTGACCTCATGGACCAGCCCACGCCAGAGCTCCCTGTCGGCCGTTACCACCCCCAGCTCCCTCAAGGTCAGTCCAGTCACTTCAAGGATGCCATCCATCCATCTTGCCCTTGGTCGGCCCCTCTTCCTTTTGCCTTCCACTTTCCCCAGCATAATTTTCTTCTCTAGGCTTTCCTGTCTCCTCATGATGTGGCCAAAGTACTTCAACTTTGTCTCTAGTATCTTTCCCTCCATTGAGCAGTCGGGCTTTATTTCCTGGAGGATGGACTGGTTGGATCTTCTCGCAGTCCAAGGCACTCTCAGAACTTTCCTCCAACACCACAGCTCAAAAGCATCGATCTTCCTTCGCTCAGCCTTCCCTAAGGTCCAGCTCTCACATCCGTAGGTTACTACAGGGAATACCATGGCTTTGACTAGGCGGATCTTTGTTGCCAGTCTGATGTCTCTACTCTTTACTATTTTATCGAGATTGGACATTGCTCTCCTCCCAAGAAGTAGGCGTCTTCTGATTTCCTGGCCACAGTCTGCATTTGCAGTAATCTTTGCACCTAGAAATACAAAGTCTGTCTCGGCCTCCACGGTTTCTCCCTCTATTCCAGTTGTCAATCATTCTTGTTGCCATAATCTTGGTTTTTTTGACGTTTAGCTGCAACCCGGCTTTTGCGCTTTCTTCTTTCACCTTGATTAGAAGGCTCCTCAGCTCCTCCTCGCTTTCGGCCATCAGAGTGGTGTCATCTGCATATCTGAGGTTGTTAATGTTTCTTCCAGCAATTTTCACCCAACTTGGCATTCACAAGCCCCGCACATCGCATGATGTGTTCTGCATACAAGTTAAAAAGGTTGGGTGAGAGGATGCAGCCTTGCCGTACGCCTTTCCCAATCTTGAACCAGTCTGTTGTTCCGTGGTGAGTTCTTACTGTTGCTACTTGGTCCTTGTACAGATTCCTCAGGAGAGAGACAAGGTGGCTTGGGATGCCCATCCCACTAAGAACTTGCCACAATTTATTATGATCCACACAGTCAAAGGCTTTAGAATAGTCAATGAAACAGAAATAGATGTTTTTCTGAAACCCCCTTCCTTTCTCCATTATCCAGCGGATATTGGCAATCTGGTCTCTCGTTCCTCTGCCTTTTCTAAACCCAGCGTGAACATCTGGCAACTCTCGCTCCATGTATTGCTGGAGTCTTCCTTGCAGGATCTTGAGCATTACCTTACTGGCATGAGAAATAAGGGCCACTGTACGGAAGTTTGATCAGTCTTTCGCATTTCCCTTTTTTGGTATGGGGATATAAGTTGATTTTTTCCAGTCTGATGGCCATTCTTGTGTTTTCCATATTTGCTGGCAAATGGCCTGCATCACCTTGACAGCATCATCTTTTAAGATTTTAAACAGTTCAGCTGGATCCCGTCGTCTCCTGCTGCCTTGTTGTTAGCAATGCTTCTTAATGCCCATTCAACCTCACTCCTCAGGATGTCTGGTTCTAATTCATTCACCACACCGTCAAAACTATCCTCAATATTATTATCCTTCCTATACAGATCTTCTGTATAGTCTCGCCACCTTCTCTTGATCTCTTCAGCTTCTGTTAGGTCCCTGCCATCTTTGTTTCTTATCATACCAATTTTTGCCTGAAATTTACCTCCAATGTTTCTAATTTTCTGGAAGAGGTCTCTTGTCCTTCCTATTCTGTTGTCCTCTTCCACTTCCATGCATTGCTTATTTAAAAATAGTTCCTTATCTCTTCTGGCTAACCTCTGGAATTGCGCATTTAACTGGGCATATCTCCCCTTCTCCCTGTTTCCTTTTGCTTTCCTCCTTTCTTGGGCTACTTCCAGTGTCTCAGCAGACAACCATTTTGCCTTCTTGGTTTTCTTTTTCTTTGGGACGTACTTTGTTGCCGCCTCCTGAACAATGTCTCGGACTTCTGTCCATAGTTCTTCTGGGACTCTGTTTACTAAATCTAGTCCTTCAAATCTGTTCTTCACTTCCACTGTATATTCGCTAAGAATGTTAGTGAGATCATATCTAACTGGTCTGTGTATTTTCCCTGATCTCTTTAGTTTTATTCTAAATTGGGCAATAAGAAGTTCGTGATCTGAGCTACAGTCAGCCCCAGGTCTTGTTTTCACCTACTGGATGGATGTCCGCCACCTTTGGCTGCAAAGGATGTAGTCAATCTAATTTCGGTGTTGACCGTCTGGTGAGGTCCATGTGTAAAGCCGTCTTTTAGGTTGTTGGAAGAGAGTATTCGTTATACACAGCGTTTTCCTGGCAAAATTCTATCAGCCTGCGTCCCGCTTCATTTTGTTCTCCCAGACCATGCTTGCCTGTGATCCCAGTTGTCATTTGACTTCCCACCTTGGCATTCCAGTCTCCTGTAATGAAAATAATGTCTCTTTTTGGTGTATTATCCAGGAGGTCCTGCAGATCCTCATAGAACTGATCTACTTCTGCTTCTTCAGCAGCTGTGGTTGGGGCGTATATTTGGATCACTGTAATGTTGAAAGGCTTTCCTTGCACTCGAATTGAGATCATTCTGTCATTTTTTTGGTTGTATCCAAGCACCGCTTTAGCGAATTTCTTATTAATTATGAAGGCTACTCCATTTCTTCGATGTTCCTCTTGTCCGCAGTAGTAGATCTGGTGGTCATCTGATGTGAAGTGGCCCATTCCAGTCCATTTCAGTTCGCTGACCGCCAGAATGTCTATCTTTAGTCTTGACATCTCACCAATAACAACATCCAATTTGCCCTGGCTCATAGATCTTACATTCCAGGTTCCTATGGTGTGTTGATCTTTAGAGCATCGGATTCGTCGTTCACCTCCAGTACCGTCGGCCGCTAGCCTTCCTTTCGGCTTTGAGCTAGCTGCGTCATCACATCTGGGGCTAGTTGAACTTATCCTCTGCTCCTCCCCAGTAGCATTTTGGCCATCTTCCGACCTGGGAGTCCCATCTCTCAATGGCATACCGACATATCTCTGGTTGTACTGGTCCATTTAGTCCATTTGCAGCCAAAGGGGGTGGTTTGCCATTGCCTTCCCCAGGGATCACGCTTGGTCTGACCTCTCTGCCACAACCGTCCCGTCTTGGGTGTCCCTTCACGGTTTCACTCATGACATCATTGAGGTGCTCAAGCTCCAGCGCCCCGACAAGGCGGTGATCCTTTGCTGGAGAATGTAAATATCATCATACAAAGGCTGATTATTACAACAGATTTTTACTGGAAAAAATCAGGATATAGTAGCACATGTTACCCTTACTAGTGAAAAATAATGTGTTGATGGTAATCAACATAAACAACTTATCAGCCTTTGTAACTTTAAATGTAGACTTTGAAATCACTTAGAGAATATTCCTAGCTTAATATTATTTAATCCTGTAGGTATTCATATAATGCATGACTTTACCTTTACTGAGAGCATTTGGTAATGTCTGTATGGAAAAAGTAGCATGTGAATAGGAAGTGTGGTCATAGCTAAATCTATGTGATTGAGGTTCTTGCAATAGATTCTTTCAGTAGTATTTGGTCACCAAACCTAGAATTTGAATAATACATATTCTCATTAATCCTGTGTCTGTGCATTTAATAGGTTGACACTTCACAAAGTTATAGTTATTCTACTACATATTATTTTGCATTCCACACTTCTGAGAGTCTAGTGATGTCTTTAAATATTGTTTTTCTGTTTGCATCTGTGTTGGGAATGTTTGAAACCGCCAGTGTTGTAAAGAAATGAGTCCTTTTGGTGATATTGTTATAGAGTAGATTGGTTCTAAGGATGCAGTTGTTGTGCTTTCTTCAATGTGAAATGATATCTCTACTACTAAAACAACCGTAATATTGTAGGAAATGACATTAGACTAATTATTCCTATATTTATTTGTTCATGACATGTCGAGGGAAATACGTACTATGGAAGGTATAGCTCTACAATGATAAAGCTTTGTATTTCTATAAAAAAGCAAATACAAACCAAATATAAATATTGTAGCTCTTTTGCTCCATTTCATAAAGGATCTTGATGTGTTTAATCACCTGGTGGGATTGTTGGGGTGGCATGCATAATCTTTCTCCTATGACATTTCCATATGTATGCAGTCTTGAACATGACATTATTTACCAAATGTAAAAAAGGAAAGTAAGCTCATTTCCAGAGCTGCTGATATCTGAACTTCTTACAGATGCTTTTTGTCTTTGCTTTTTAGCCTTTAATCTCATTATTAGACCATAACTATTGGAGGTAGTCTAATAAACCACAGCTTTGAGCAAGAAGATGCTTTTGTTTAAACAGAATAGAATCCATTGTTAGTAGGGATTTAGAAGAAGAGATTTTGATTTTACAAATGTTTGGCTCATGCTTGGTTCAACCATCATACAACAGCTGTGGCTGCCACTGATGGGTCCAAAAAGGAAGAACCAACACAAATGCCGTCATTGCATGAAATGAATCCTGGACAGAGCAATGGAGATGAACATCTTCTAAATAACACTCAGGATTATATGATACCTGGAGTTTTTTCTGCAGTTGACAATGGTTCTGACAGACAACCATCAAATTCAGACAGTAAGGGTTACATGTTCCATGACTTTCACTTAACTATTTCCTTCGCTTATAAATCACTATGCTGGGAATATGGTGTTGAAACTATTAGAATCTAGATGGAAATACATGCAATCTCTTTGTCTCATGTGATTTCTTACAAAATCTCTAAAACTGGAAAGTTATTTCAATGAATACATTTGCACTTGACGCTATGTGATTCTTTCTAAATGCTCCGCTTTGGGTTCTTGGGTTCTTTGGGTGAAAGATTGGGTTTCCGCAACCTTTTCTCAGCTTCACCAAGGATCTTTTCAACTCAAAAAGAACTTTTCCAATAAATATCACTGCTGACAAAATGACAAACAAATATTATTCATTTTTCTCTAATGAATCATGTGATTGAAATTAATGGGCTTCACAGAAAGTGAGCAACTAGTGCAAACATGTAGGTAGTTAGCAAACAGATTCAAATGTTGGCAAATCTTAGACAGTGGGACATTTACATCAAGCAGATCTCTGGCCTGAATCCAATTGCTAGTACTAACTATAGTAGACCCATTTAATAACCAGGTAAGCAGTAAGTCAACATTTGTGTAAATCTTATTTATTGGATCTACTTTATTTATGACTAGCAAATGCATTTTGGCCTCTGGTTTCAACTGGCAGAATAGGTTCTGTCATCGGAAAAGGTTTCTACTAATCCCAATCCTCTTCAATTGGCACATTTTTAATTGGACTGCCTATTCCTTAAGGAGGGATGTTTTCCATTTAAATATGTTTTCCCCACTCAGTTTCAATACATCTGGAAGTATGTATCATATTGTGAGTTCAGGGCAAAGATGGGTTGAAAAAGGAGAGTTTTCTTCATCTATCTCCTTGGGTCCTTGGAGAAGGGAGATGTGGTGGCCCACATGAATCAAATACTGTACAACCACATATCCATGGGACCAAAATCTGCTGTTTAATTTATCCGCATCCGCATCCAACAAAACATGTCCTTTGTAAGCATTTTCTAGGTTCCCCAGCTCAACTGTATGGTACTTTTTAGCCAAAAAGCTATTTAAGAGTGCGTATGTGTAGCAAGGGGGAAAATCACATGCACGATCCATTGCTATGTACTCTTCATTGGTGGCATGATTTCTATGGGGCTTTGGTACTGCTTACATATTCTAGTCTTCATGTAGAAGAATAACAGCATATCATCTTGCTATCAAAGTAATCTCTGGTAATCTCTCATATTTCCTTCAACAATGCATTACATTTCTTTGTGAAAATGTATGACCAAAGTTTTCAGGGTAACACAAGTTCTTGCACTTGTTTCATATAGGTTCCAGCCCAGGTGGACATGGAAGGGGAGTGTCCCATTCAGGAGATGTCACACCTCAACCGGGAGGGTCACCCAATAGCCAGAAACGAAGGGCTGTCATACCAGGTTGGTTTTCAAAACTCACCATTTATTTCTGACTTGAATTAAAATGGAATGTGTCAACATTTCCTATGTCCATGCGGGAATTTGTGGGTTTGTAGCTAGTGGGTATGATGATAGTGAAGAGTTTCCAATCCTTTGGAGATCCTCCATCACCCCAGGGAGGACTGTAATCCTGTTTATTGCAGCCTTTTCAAATGTAGGTAGGGATATTATTGGATCAAGGAGGGGATTCCTGTAACTTTAAGCCTGGGTAGATGGTTCCATTGTGAAGGTCATAGATACTGATTTTACCTTACCTTCCAACCCCCAACTTTCAGCCATAGTCTGAAAGTTGGGGTGCTCTTCTGTGACTCTAATCCTGCTCTGGGGAGAAAATAGCTTTTTTGAGAGGGAAATGCTGAAGCTGAAAATTCAAGATTTGGAAGGTTTTGACAGAACTTTTTAGTATCTCCTCCTGTTCCGGGATCTATTCAGGATCTATCAGCTTGCTAGTGTATCCTTATTCACAACTGTAGGTGGATAAAGGGGCAGGAAATTTTATTTTTGTATGAACCAGTCCCTTGTTATATATGCATTTGATAAATCTATGTAGCATAGATTCATTGCATCAATTGCTGAAGGGTGAGTCAACAGTAATGTAAATTCTACTGATTCAATAGGAGTACTCTAATGGGAACTAAGTTGGATTTGGGCCACTATGTTAGTTGTCTGGACATCTGACAGGTAAACTAATGTTTAATTTTCTTTTTAAAATAAACTTCTGCCAACAGATTGGCTTATTGTAGTTGCTTCGCTCTTGGCGCTGGCACTGATACTTGGTGTTTGCATTGCTGTGAACAGTCGAAGGAGGTAAGGAAGATTTTTTTGTAATTTTCCATGTCTTGTTGCCAGCTATTTCTACTGCTACCACATTCTAAGGCCTAATATTTTTAGTGAATGCTTTATGCAAAGTCTTCATGGGAAAGCATCCAATAAGACAGACAAGTAATGAAACTGAGCTGTACTCTTAAAGGGGTTAGTACATATAATGGCACTAACTAGCCCAGTATGTCTATTATCTATCTATCCATGCATCCATCACTTTTGCCCTGGCTGGGATTAAGGCAGCTCATAAAAAAACCAGAAAATTACAACAAAGACAAAGAAAGTTAAACAATACAAAATTTCAAATTAAAACTATAAAACTAACAGACGAATTGAAACCATTAAAATATTCCTTTAAGACAAAGATTAAAAGCAGTTTATCACCCTAAAAAGCTCTTCTCTTGTTAACATTCATTTCCCAAAGTCTTGCTGGAATAAGGTCTTCACCTGTCATCAAAAAGACAGAACGTAACCTCTCAAGGAAGGTAGTTCCAAAATCTGGGAGCAGCCACAGAGAAGGTTACTCCTATGTTTCCAGCTAACATGCTCACAAAGGTGGTGCCGCAGAGTGAAGTGCCTCCCCAAAAGATCTTAGAGCACCCAGTCCTTCAAATAGCATGGGCCTGAGCTATATAGTGCTTTATAGATCTTAACCAGCACTTTGTGCTTAGAAACAAGTGGCAGACCTATTAATATGTTTGTAGTTTGTTAGACTAAGTTTCTGGAAGAATAGAATCCCTGCTCTTCTCGTTCTCTTGGTTGTTTTGCTTGCTGCTTGTCCTCAGATACCTAAATTGCATTCCTAAAGACTGAACTGAATTTTTCATTTATTGTTATTCTAAAAAAATACTTTCATTAGTAGAGGGAATTATTACTTGGAGGTAATGCTCTTATTTAGTTCCCTCACCACCGGTAGTCACTCTCCATTCCTCCTCCAGCAAAGAGCCATTCTGCTTAGGCAAAGTAAGGCACCTGCTTTTCACTAATTTCCACTGTACCTACTTCTACATCTCTTTCTGAAAAAATCAATTGAAAGTTGAGTCTTTCATGCCTTCCTGGTGCAGAAACTTCTTTTGGAAAGATTCCTTTATGTTTTTAGATGCAAATGCAAAGCATTAAAAAGCAAAGTGGGTGATTTCAAGAGTAATAAGATCCCAATTGATTTGATAACACACACACACACACACACACACACATATATATACGCCTTGATTTTCAAAATTTCATTGGTGGAGTAACTCTCACATAAATTCCAAGAGAAATAGCAAATGAATTGTAAGAAAAAAACGAGTGTGATGAAATAATACTTTTTCCAGATGATGATGTAACCCAGTAATTTTGAAATTGCATCCCATAGGACTGGATAAACCAAGGAAATATATTTAAAATGAAATACTTCTGCCTTTAATTATCATGGTTTGCTTCCAGCTCTTAAAGTAGGATCCTAATTAAATCTTGTTATCCCAGACAGAAACTGGGATTTTCCTCATTTTATTCCCTAATGCGTTGATTTCCCATATTTTTCCCTTTCCCTTAGATGTGGGCAGAAGAAGAAGCTTATGATCAACAATGGCAAAGGAGGCATCAGTGAGAAAAACACAGGGGGATTGAATGGAGAAGCCAGTAAATCTCAGGAAATGGTGAATTTGGTGCAGAAAGAGAAGCTGGATGATCAAACAGGCCCACGGGATGAGTTCCTGGCAATTGATGAGACACAGAACCAACAAGAGGTGGCCTTGAAAAGTGGGGTGTAAGCAAGCTATGCCCACCCAACTGAGTCAGAGTTGGGAAAACAAAAGAAAAGAAGTTGCATGGAACTGGGACTAGAACTCACAAATGCAATGAGCTACTGATGTCTTTGAAGCATAATTAAGCATACTTTTTTTCTTTTTCTGATTTTTAATGGTCAGGCTGTTTTTTGTTGTGTGCCTTTGAGTTAGGTACAAGATCTGAAATCCCACCTTCTCCCTCTGCCCCATGTTGCATAATTTTTCCCAGTCCAGATTGTGTTACCAACATCAACTGTTTCCTAGTTTCAGTATTTTATCTCATCAGGCCAACGGTGATGTTTCCCTGATCCTGTTTTGCACCACTTTCCCTTGTTCTCTCTTTATGCAGCCACCAAAATCTATAGTCCTTAAGGCATCGAGGCACCAAGTATGAGCCAACAAATTCGGAAAGGCAAGCTGCCAACAAAGCCAACATTTTATCAGAATAAAGACAACAGGATTGCTTTCTTGTTGTCACTTAGGAGTTTGCTGTACTTTTCACTCATTTTTTTAAAACATTGCAATTATGATCTGCAGTGATTGAGGAAAGAAAGACTTCTGTCCAAACATTCCACAATGTTCAGTAACATTTTAAAAACAAGAAATAGTAAGGATGGAAAGACAAGAAATAATTAAATTGATTTTATAGCAAATAAAATTTTATTCTCGACAATCTGAACTACCTGTGATGTTTATGTTTCAAAGTTAATTGCTTCCAGTACTTGCTATAGAGGTGAAGTATTCCTTATAACATTAAATTCATAAATATTGATGCACGGTAATCCTGAAACCAAGATTATGTGTAGCAGTGATTTCTCATATAGAGTTTTGTACATGGAATAGAAGACATAGCTGCCTATAATCATTCGATACCAAGCACGCAGAGCAGAGCACAAGCAAGATTTCCATTGTAGCCAGCAATATAATCCTCTTGTGCTTTAAGTGGGTCTTAAGTGCCCATATAACTCAGTGTTGGGGTCATTTCAGAGGTCAGAATACTTTCATTTGGGCAGCTTTGGGGCAATTTTCTGGCAAAAGATGCCTGGGATTCAGGGGTCACTCTTAGCGGTCTAAAGAACTGAAGGCGATGTGTGGGCTGCACTCTACCCATCTCAGCCATGCCTGAAAGCGCAGCAATAACATCCTCTGGAACCTGTGGTGGACCACTGGCAGAATGTTTGTCTCTGTCAGAAACATGACAGGATGTTTGTCTTCTGCTACCACCTTTTACCCACCAGATTATACATGGTACATGTATTTGAGGCCTTTAGTAGCTTAAAAGATGGGTAGAAAAAGAGACATGCCCACCTCTGTGTATATTGACATTATGGTGGGTCATCTATTGTCCTGGAAATATGGAAGTTAGGGAGACCCAACAGTGTTTGTTCACCTGTGAGTTGGACATCATTAGGAGAATGATGCCCTGAAGCACATGGCCACTAGGAGGCAAGGGAGAATTATTCCTTTTATGCCAGCAGGTGCTGAATGTCACCCATTACCTTTTCCTGAATTAAGCTGCTTGTCCCAGAGGAAAAAGATCCCCATCCAGACTTGCTTCTAGGGACTGTCCACATCAGATCTTCCAGCAGGGCCTGGCACACCTGTAAGCCAGGCTCATACCCAATGTGTATGTATAAATCAGATTGTGAATGTACAGTTGGGCTACCATTTCTCAGAGCCTGGCCTTGAGTCTTCAGTTTTGAAGATCAAGTCCAGATAGTAGACAAGCATTCAATGCTCCAGTTTTTGTAGGCAGGATGAAAGAGCTGTGTAAAACCTAACCTCTACTAGGAGGCAGCAGTTTTCTGCAATTTGCATGGCTTTATTCATATGTGTCACGCTAACACCCCTGTGTTGTTTGTTTTGCTGTCTGTGCCCATGTTCAGGAGATTTTACCTCACTTCCTGTCCTTGTGATCATTGGAATTTTTAAAAAATGGCTTGTTGTGGAAACAAGGATTGGAGATAAGGTTTCAGTGGAGACACCTTTTCCCCATGGTAACTCTTTCAGGAGTGAATTCCCCTTCCTAGGAGTAGATTTCTCTCACTTCCTGTTCTCTCACCCCTGTTCTTAGCTATGAGTCATTTGTAAATTGGATGTTTGTAACTCAAGTACTGCCTGTAAATCAATTTAAGCCAATAATTCAAACAACAAAGTGACATCATGGTTCACATCAGTTAGTAAAACAGCTTATAATTTTCCTAAATGTAGTCTGAAGTGGTTTAACACAGGAAGTGAAATATATTTGAAATGCTCTTGTGATTGTAACCCAGTGGGGAGTTTTGCTATTCTAGTTCCTGTAAAATGAACAGAAGCTACACTATGAAATAATATTGTACTCTTTTGTATGGTTGAATTCTCAAAGGGCTGTTGCTGGCATCCTTCTCCTCCCAGAGCAGTGGAACAGAGCAGATTCAGGGCACCTTCTGAGATGTAAAGCAATTCCTGCTTCACTCTGTAATATGAATATAGAGACACTATTAGGCTAAATGCCCCATTGTTTAAAGAACCATTCCTCTTAATTGTCTTTATAAATAATATCACTCAGACTGTTGCATAATTTTTTTTGGGAAGCCTAAGCAAAATGTAGCAATTTTAAGGATTCAGTGTATTAGCATTACAACATACTCTTTTTTTAAAAGATCAATTCCTATTACATAAAGTATATGCCCTTAACTATGGGCCAGAAGATTTAAACTGTTACTTCTGATATATTTTCTAGTTTGTGTGAAGGGTCACTTAGGCTGGATCTATGCTGCCAAATAATACCAGTTTCAGAGTGCAGTGTATATGGCAGTGTAGACTCATATAATTCAGTTCAATGCAGTCAATTGCATTCTGAAACTGTATTATATGGCAGTGTGGATGCGGCCTAAAATGCAAAATGCACCAGTATCAACAAAATGAATTTAAATAGCAGTAGAAGATAAATTGAAGCGTTCAAGTCTTCATTCATAACAAAGCAAACATTGACTGGCGTCCAGTTAGGAACATATGCATAGTATGCCACACTACACTGGTCATCATTGTGGAACAGATTTATTCTACCAATAGTGGTGGATGCAGAGACAACATGTTCTTTTGTTCTTTGTATACAAATTATGATTGTACTTTGTGTACAGTGTGGTGTGGTTCAGTTGCATTGTGCATTTCAGCTGCACTCATACACTGCATATGCTGATTACATATTGTGCATTCTGGTTGCTCATTAGATGTGTACTATGCATTGTGAAATAGTACCTGGTCACTGAATTGTGTTACATAATGTTGCTATCCTGTATGAAGGTTGTGTAGTGCACTGCTCAAATCATGTTTTCGCAGATATTTATGCTACACTGTGTGGAAATGGAATTGAAGCCTCAGTTTGTTGCTTACCTCTTTTTTATTGTGTCAGAGGCAAATTGAGAATGCAGTTATAATGTATAAAAAAAACACAAAGTTAAAAACTTGGCATTGTACTAAATGTCCTTTGACCAGCAGCCGGCCACTTGAAGTGCCTCTTACCTCTTGAAATGGTCGGATTCCAATGTGCAGAGTAAACATTTTGCTTTTCCCCTTTAAGTGGATACAAAGTGACTGAAGCTACCTGCCTAATCTGTGGATCCATGGCACAATGCACATGAATGTTACAGTGCCTGTTAGAAATAATATGGTAAATAACTGCTCTCTGTGGCCACAGACAAACACACCGAGCCTTAACTAAAGAATAAAAAAGATGTATATTTAAATAAATATTTGGCCTTCGGCATGCAATGGAACTTTTTCATTAGTTTGCTAGTAAGAGGAAGACGTGTGCATTCATTCTCTTTAACTTCCTGTCTTTCTAGAGTGGCTATGGGGAGCATGTGGCTCTCTCAGTTTTGAGATTCACATTAGTCCTACACTGCATAATAGTGACCTGGAATGATGCAAGCTGAAGTGTAACTACATTCAAAGAACACACTTGCCCCTTGTCATAAACATTTCACTTTCTTGTGTATTGCCACCAATGTTGTTTTTGTATGTCTTCAAGTGATTTCTGACTTATGATGACTCTAAGGCAAAACCTATTATCGATTTTTTAAAAATTAATATTTCTTCAGAGAATGATTTGCTTTTACCTCCCTGACTCATGAATTGGCCAAGGTTACCCAGTAGGTTTCCATGGCTGAGCATAGATTCAAACCCTGGTCCCCACATTTTAAGTTACACCACTACACCGTTCATACCACTGCACTGTGCTCGCACTCCCTCACACACAATTGGAGACAACTGATACTCTTGGTGTAGGGGCAACTCTGATAATGATAAAATCATTCATACATCACCCAAGGTTCAATGATGTCAGCAGAACAAATGCAGCCGTGTGGTGTACTTCTCCACATACTCTGTCTGGTCACTCATATCTGGATATTGCTTCTCTCTCCAAAAGTGGTAAATTGCTTTACAAATGCACCTTCAAATTGATGCTTGCAAATGTCTTTTCAAATCATTGGTACAGATAAATACCACTTTAAACCTGAAAATGCTGGGGAAGGAAGCTAAAATCATAGTATCATACAGCTGGCAGAGAACACAAAAGCCATGCAGATCCAGCCCCCTGCCATATAGGAACACAAACCAATGAACTTCCGGCTGATGACCATTAGACCATTCTCCAAGGCAGCATATTTCACTGCCAAACTGCTCTTACCATCAAGAAGTTATTCCTAATGTTCAGGTGGAAATTTTTTCCTGCAATTTGAATCCATTGCTCAATGTTCTAGTCTCCAGAGCAGTAGAAAAAAAGTTTGCCCTCTCCTCAATGTGACATCCTTTCAAATATTTAAACATGGCTATCACATCCCTTCTCAGCCTTCTTTTCTCCAAGCTAAACATAGCCAGCTGTCTCAGCTGTTCCTCATAGAGATTGGTTTCCAAACCTTTGCCATTTTGGTCACCTTCTTTGACACATTCTAACTTTACAATATCCTGCTTGAATTGTGTCCAGAACTGGACACAGTATTCCATGGGTCCGACTTCCCTCAGGCTACACACTGGACTCCTATTGATGCAGCCTAGAATTATATTGGTTTTTTTAGTTGCAGCATCAGACTGTTGATTCACGCTCAGCTTGTCTACTAAGACTCCTAGGTGCCTTTCACATGTACTATTTTCAGGCCAGGTGTCACCCATCCTAAATTTGCACATTTTTCTGCCTAAGTGTAACATCTTACATTTGTTTCTCTTGAAATTCATTGTGTTAGTTTCAGCCCAGCTCTCTAATCTGTTGAGGTCATTTTGAATTCTCCTCCTGTCCTCTGGGATGTTAGCTACCCTCTTAATTTTGTGTGAACTGTTAATTTGAAAAGGATGCTCCCTATTCCATTATCCAAGTCATTTATAAAAATGCCAAAAAGCACTGGGCTCAGGATCTGTGGCACCTGACTCTCTACTAATAAAAATAATTGGCCCAGAAAGCTATTTGCCTTGAAACAACAGCAAAGCCTTTAACATTATGGACTCCATAAATATGACAGAAATTATATTACCTTTACAGATAACATATTGATAATGCATTTGAGTGGTTGTCAATTCTTTTGACAGGGAGAGATTCTGACTGCATCTAAGGAATGATGCAGGAAAAAAAAATAGGGTATCTATGCATCCTATACACATACAGGACCCATGTCATAACATAAATCTGACTGGGAAGGTAAATAGAAATTTACATATGCTAAAGTGAAAACCTCTAATTTTTTTCTTTAACAGAAAAAAAAGATGTGGAATCATTTTTTAAAAAGTAATACACGCTTACACTCACACTGGTTCTAACCATGAAAATTATGAATTCACATTTATTTATGATATGTACATAAAAAGTACAACACTTAGTGAAATATTGTTTTCACTTATTATTTCCATTATATAAAGAATGTCCAGTTTTGTTTTATACATAAGTTACAGAAATCAGTTCACACAGTAAGAAATTATTAAAAGCAAATACTTGCTAAAGGTATAGATAAAGAATATTTCACCTATGAAAAATATGCTCAATAAAATGAGGCATTCCTACTACAGTATACAAGGAGGAAATCAGAGTTAATATAAAGTTTTAGTCCCTGCATTCATTAGTCTTTACACAAAGTGTAATACAGGTACTGTACATGACATCATTTCAGCTCCCCCGATGAACATTTTCAATCAAAGTCACAATAAAAGTTTATTTTTCTTTGAAACAAATTGTTAATGAGTGGATCTAGCCTCAAAGACATCACATAATTCCTAAGGTCAGACAAAGAATCGACATGGCCATATGTACATAAAGAGCTCTGTACAGCGGGCCACAATTCCAGGGTCCATGAGTACAACATTTTCCTTTGGATGCAGAACTTCGATCTCTGTTGATTTCTCTTTTCCTTTCCTGATTGTGGGGGAACTATGCACACCTGGTCTTTGGGAATAAATATACATATCAGCAATGTCTTGAGGCAATTCAAAATAGGAATGATAGAACGGAAGTTGGCAGTAGTTGGCAGTTGACTTTTAAAGCTAATAATTTCTCTCTGGGATAATTTATCCCTTGGAATACAACCCTAAAATTGTGATGTATTTCTTGAAAGAAAATTCTGCACACAACTACACTTTGCTTTATAAGATGTAGCCTTGTACAGTATTTTATATTTACTATAAAGTGAAATAATGTTGTTTGTCCAGATTATCTTATGCAAAATATCTATTAATTAATTTATGAAAATCTGGTTCTTCTCTTCCTTACATTTTACCAAGCATTTACATACTCTCAAAGAGATCTTTGTGTGTGTGTGTGCTTCTGTATGTATGCTGTATGTATAGACATTTGATTTCATTATAAGTATAAAAATGAATATGGAAACATTATGAGAAAAGGGTGTTTTATGTGAACAATACTAGTGTAAAGATTCCACAAAATATACCGTATTTTATATTTTCCCAAACTGATATGAATTTGAATTTCTCACTGCAGTCAGTGAACAAGTGAAAGTAAATGAACACCAGAGGAATCTTGAAATGTTGTCAGATGACTGAGGATTCCATGTTGCTAAGCAAAGGATATAATTGCAATTTCAAAAGAAAAACATGGCATCCAAACAGTACAGCATGGTTGCTTTTACTTGTGATCAGTGGCTAACTGATGCAGCAACTTACTAATTTCACATTTCTACATTTCCAACATATCAAGCATACAGAGGAAAATACATTAATATTATCATTTCAATAATTATCATGATATAACTACATTAATCCATTAATGTAGTGGTGATATTGCATTCACAGTGCAGCAAATCCAAACAGTCTGCCACATCCACTAAGTGCTTGGGGTTTACACACTTAACACCCACACTCACACCCACACTCATGCTGCTGGTTAGATATAGAAAAACAAAGACTAACATATTTACAATGAGTTGGCTGTGAGAAATTATTTTGACAGATATCCAAACACAACATGCATCAACACATTTATATTATTAACATATATAAAATGGTTATCAGACTAGGAAAAGTTTGCTGTTAACAGCTTGGGAATAGAAATACCAAGAGAGCAGCCTAACCCAGCCAACCCAACAAAAACAATTATTTCCAAAACACATTATAAACTTTCTAGTCCAGCTCAATTGATGTTAAATTAAATTCAAATCAAGTAACAACTATTAATACTGTATACACAATTTCACTGAAATTACACCAAGATAAACTACATTATCTACACAAAAGTGCGGAGAGGCACTGTTCTTCATGCGGTAAACAACGCATCAAAACTGGTATTTATAAGAGCTTCATGCTCTGACAGCAATTCTTAGTATTTTATCTGACTACTAGACCATGTACAGTTTTAATAACGAGAATACATGAAAATTCTGCTTTGAGATATAAGAGGATTACAAAATAAGATTACATTAACATACATCCTGTATCTACTGTACAAGTTACCCAAACGCAAGGCATGTAGAACAGGTTTCAAAAGTTAAATATACCTGTTTTGTGGATTGTTTCATGTGCCATAGCCTCTATTGCTTACTATGCAATTAGCATACAATTTAAATTGAATGTAATTTAAACCAAGTCTTCTGGACTCTAAAAATCTTTGTGTGCTCATTCAATATGCTTAAGTAAGAGGAGTGCAGTATTCTGCAATTAATGGCTAATAAAGAAAGGAAAACAAATCTCACTCACCCGTGGAAAAAATATACAGCTCAATTTGTTATAAATTATTTAGAGTAGGAGAAATAGGAGGTATTTTTAGGTGCTGGTCAATTGACTTGGTCCCTTAAGTATGTCATTTGGTCCTTTTGTAAAAAGGCAAAAATGTGGAAACAATCTGCAGTTCCTTGCACAATAAATTTTGATAACATTTCATTTCTCTTGGATTACATTTCATTGGGGATTTGCACCTTATTTTTCAACCCAAAGAGAGCTGGCTGCATTAAAAAAGTAAATGCATGTGTCTTATCAAAAGAAGATCCAATAAATGTATAACTTATCTGTTATACAAATTTCTCTTTAAAAGATTCATCATACAAATTAACATTGTTACTGTGCATTGGCTACTTAGGAAAATGTAACAATTATCTGCTGACTTGATCTCCCTCCCAACCTACCTTAAGAATCAGTAGCGAAACTGAGCAAAAAAGATGCTGAGTGGGAATGGCATTTCCAGTCCCATCCCCACCAGCAACCAAAGCTGCATCAATGAATGGTTGAACAAATCTTCACTCAATCTGATTTCTCGCTATCAAGATGTCTTGGGAGGGCACTTATGACCATGACAATAGGGCTACCATTATGCCCACACAGTCTTACTTAATATGGATTAGTTACAGTTTTCAGACTTGGTTATGAACTCTTAGCTGCAATAAAGAATGTCAGCCAGTGGATTTTTTTTTTAAAAAAACAACAACAAACAAACAAGGTGTCCATTGCATCCTTACTTAAGCAGCCAAAACTCATTTCAAAGTGAACTGCAAAGATACTGTAGGCTTGGTCCAAGAACACTTTCACTCTGATCCAGTGAAAAAGATCTGTGCACATAGCAAACACAAATGTTCAGCTCTGGCTACATTGTGGTTCTCATTCAAACCACAATGATGCGGTTGATACAAATTCTGTGCCATCTTTTGTTACACCTAATTACTACATAAGACCACTGCCTTGGAAAATTCCACTGAAAACAATGGAACATGCAAGTAGTAAAAATTACAGAGCAAAATAGACAGATGGATCAGAATGTTTGTACGTTGCCATTTGTATTTCCTGGTTAAAAGGCAACCAGGTTAAGGCTGCAGTTCTGACCAAATTTACTAGAAAGTAAATACCACTGTCTGCAATGGAACTTACTTTAGAGTAAACATTCACAGACATGCACTGTAAGTATCAAAAATAATAGATCAGCTATGTGTTTGTCTGATCAGTCTAAGATTTCTATATGATATAGTATTCATACTATTCAATGATGAACTGCAGCATTTTAAGACATCTTTCATTCCTATTTGTGCTTCACTGATAGGTTATAAATAAAAATTTATAAGGTTACATTAATTTAACACAATACAGGCCATTTTTAATATTATCTATATATGTTATAATAAAATCTTCCTCTTTTCCTTTAACATGGATTCCCCTTAGGGTTTGTAGGCTTTTTTTCTCTGTCTTATACGGTTGCATAAGAAAATATCTGCATGTCTGTAAATAGTATAAGAAAATATCTGTATATCTGTAAATTACAGATACTACATAAGTTAACTGAGTTTACACAGTAGTTTGCAGCTGCTGGACGAAGGTATTTTATACACATAGTAAGAATAAGTGGCAATATCAGTATTGAAAATATATTAAGAAGCAGAAATAAATCTCATGCATTCCATAAATTACAGTTCACACTAGGAAGGAAGGAAAGTAAGCAGGTAGCATGGCAGGCAGAAAGGATGTTTTTGTTGTAATACACCTAAGAAAGTTTTAAAAGGCTTGAAAGAAATATTTTAAAAGAATTGCTGGAATCTACAGCACTAATTGGGAGAAAATAGTTTTCAAAATTTGTTTTCAAGAAATGAAATTATATATGTGTATGTATTTTTAAAATATCTCAGTGAAATACTCTATGATGGACCAAGCACCATATTAATGAGAAAGATTCACAGTCTAGATCAAGTTTAATGATATAGAAGAATAGTAACCCTGATCCTATTAACATTGTATAGGGTTAGGGGTAGGGGAGGGAGGTCACTAAGTTCTTGTTCCAATAGTATTTCAGCTTTGAATGAATTAGCCAGCTTGTTTCATTCAAAAGCAGAAAAGAAATCTCAACATCCACAGGAGCTCCAAGTATAGAGACACCTGCCTTTTTGTTCTTATGTGTGTTTTTATTTTAAGAAACTAGCAGCAGGTGAGATGCAATATTAAAGCTGGGATGGAGGCAGATAGGTGAGGTAACACCAGAATCTATAGTCAGAAAGGGAGAATCCCATGGTCAAAAAGACAAAAGAGTTCCTTTTTTCTGTGTCATGCTAATCTTGTGTCAGCAGGGTACAAGATTAGAAAAAATTGCCTCCCCCTCCCCATTTCTCCTGTTTTCTTTTTCTTTCTTTAACAGCATCCTTTGGATTAAAAGTGAAATACATAAACCTTCCCAGCTCAAGGAAAAGTGTATCTTTCACTCATTCAAAGACCTTACAGCAATGGTTCTCAACCTGTGGGTCCCAGATGTTTTGGCCTTCAACTCCCAGAAATCCTAACAGCTGGTAAAATGCCTGGGATTTCTTGTACTTGAAGGCCAAAACACCTGGGGACCCACAGGTTGAGAACCGTTGCCTTACAGGAAACCAGGAGGTGTTGAGATACTATGAACCTCCAAGCTTCTCCTGCCTCACCTCCTTTTGACCCTCTCTTATATCAAAACTCCACAACCACAGAATCACAGGCTGTGGAGATTTCTGGAACCCTTTCAAGAACATTTATCATGCCAGATTTTCTACTCCAAGGGTTGTTTCCTCTCTTTGCCCTCAGACAGGGAAATCTGACATATGCTACAATCCCATTAATCACCTGTGGAGCCACAGGATCACATTCAAAATCCCTTTTATGATGTTCCAAAGCAATGTAATGATTGTGTAGCAGATTCTTACGTGTTTCCATTTAGTGAAAAATGATCCTTTTATTCCAATTCCTTACCAATATAATTATGGTCCATTTCAAGATTGAGTTGAAATATGGGTTTAATGGCTTGCATTATAACTCATTCTAGGAAAGACAGATCAGCTTGCAGTTATAGTAAATGTACAACACCTGAATCAATAATTATTTAATATTATTAGGCTGAGGCTAAGCTTTTTAAAGCCAAACAGACAGCAAATGTATGAAAATGCAACTCTAATAGCAAACTGTACATGCTGAATTCAGGTTCTAAAAGGGGAGGGGGATGAACTAGAGCTTCGAGGGCTATATTGCCCAAATGTCATCTCCTCCAGCACATCACGTCCAATTACCCATTGGCCATTGGGATCTTCCAGTTAGTTGTGGGATTTTTTTGGTGGCAGTTTTTGTTTTTAGCTGTTTCTAGGAAGGAGTCGACTTGTCTGGAACAGGATTGTACAGGTCCATATAGGATTTTAAATGTATTTCTGGTCATTTTCTACTTAAGATTTTTTTCTGACCATTGGAGCTAGATAATCTGGAATTGGCAGCCTACTGTTTTGTTCTATTTAGTATTCTTCAAACAACAAGGATATAAGAAATGGAGCAGCTCAATGCATTCAATCTGTAAAGTATTCTAGAGGAGGATCTTTCCTTGACTAAAGCATGAGGCAATTGATTTGCCTTTTGAAGTGCTCAAATTCTTTTTTAAATCAAGTTTTTTAAAAAGAGGACCTTTTCATTATTCAGATTAACAATCTGGACTTGGATGAAGACATTCTTGTGTCCAAAGTGCTAGTGCACTGGTACAGTAGGCAAGAGGATGGGATCCATTGGAAGCATCTTCTTACTTGTTTTTATAGCATTTATTGCAAGGAAGTAAATGAGACAGAAATGAAGGTATATGAATTTGGGGGAGCACTAGAACAAACACATCCTTTTACAGGAACAAAGCTTGCACTGGTGCTAAATTTTTACTGTCTTCAATATTACTTCCTACATGTGATAATGTTTCCTGCTACTGATTCTCTTGATAGCAGGAAGGAAGTGAATGATGGTTTTAGACATAATTACAATTGGTTTTATGTTCTTCTTGTTAAATGCCTAATAAGAGAGAAATTAAATTTGGAGCAGTGGGACATCTCAGATTTGAGGAATGGACAGCATGGAGTTTATAATTAGTATGCGTGCCTGGAAGTTTCATATTAAAAATGCTGTCCAACCAAATGCAAATGTTCCAACTCCAAAGCTCATCTGTCTTGTGTTGCATGTGTTCAGCAACCTAGATAATCAAATTCTGAGATAATAGCTAATGATTATCAGTTTTCCACAATAGAAAGAGTTTTGAATTGTCAGGTTGAAAAACCATCATGACAGAATTATATAGTAGATGAAAGTATCTAGCAAATATGTGCAAGTCTGCAGCAAAATTGTTGCTCTCTCCTTTCCCTGTTTTTATATTTTAGAAAGAGAAATATCATTGGAATGAAATTCCCTGAGATATGGAACATACAAACGTGTTCTCCAAATATTCTGCAAAGCATCTTCTGTCGATTCATGGAGTCTAATCCCACACACACATATTTTAAAACACGTTCCTGAATTAGTGGGAGAATTAATTTCCCATCTGGAATAATAATTTGGAACAAACAAAGTATAATTTCAAATTAATACTTCTCAAAGTGCTAACACAGAACATGGTAGTCAGATTTCTGGTTCAGCGGCTTCCATTTCTCAGCTTTATTTGTTCATTTGATTGATTGATGGGGGAGATGAAGCAGCAAATATTGTGCAATCACCTGATTTTTCATTTCTAGGAAGCTAGAATGAATGGGTGCAAAGTAGAGCTAGATGGTTGAACTCTAACATAATGTCAGTTATCCACCAAAAGTGTGCCAGATTGGAAAATCATGTTCCTTTCCTACAAGACAATGGCTGATAGTCCAGGAAGCAACTGAGCTCTGTTTCTCGTTTCTTTCCTATTGTGTACTCAAGCTATCTATTGGAGTAGTCTGGAAAAGAGATATTTGATCCTATCTTTCATATACATCTCATGCCTTTTCACTACATTGAATTAGACTTCCTCCGATGCACGGGAAAGTGAAAATCCCTCTGTTTGACTTTCTCTAATGTTCAAATTTTCAGTTCTCTCCCTTCTAATATTTATTATTTTTAATAAATTAACCCCAAAATGAAAGGGAACAAAAATTGTCATCAATTCAGAGCAGAAAAAATCAATTGGTTTCTAGCCTAAATAGGGACTTATTGGACCAGCATGCTTTTCAGAAGTCTCTTGAAAAAATATAGCAACCTTCATTCAGCACTAACATGCTAAATACAAGGGAATTAAGCCCAGACTTTGAAGACTTAAGCAATCAAAACCCTATGCCTAGATAGAAGAATCTATATCCCTTGTTCCAATTTTTGAAAACTCAAAAAACCTTTCAGTCCAAAAATGAAGAAATGTCTTCATTTTGGTAAAGACTTATTTTAAAATAGTGGGAATGAAGTTCTTGCCCATCCCTACACAGGAGCAATATCCAAAATGGCTGCTCTCACTACAGACTTGCCATGTTAGCTGGAAGCATAAAGGGAGAAGCATGGCTTTGCTGGGGGCAACGTGTATACCATCAAAATACTGACAAAAAACCCTATTGTTTTGCAAGCTAGAGGTAAGTGCAAAAGACCTACTAATGAGAAATAAATCTTCAGATAAATGGAGATATTTTGTGATGGGTTTTCTGCAAAGAAAATTCAAAATGGGTAAAATGGCAGTTAATAAAAAGTATTTTGTAATTCCAAATGTGTGTTATATATCTACAGTCATTTGTTGAAAGTTTGAAAAATATATCTAGTACTTTTAAATAAATTATCTACTTAATATTAAATAATATTAAATTTGCTAAACATACAAGTTTCTTTCTTTTTTTAAAAAAAGGAATGTTGCATCTTCCTGACAAACATCTTATCCTTAAAATATAGCACCTTATCCCTCCTCAGGTCTCAAGAAATACATTTGCTGAGAGCCGAGGGTTGTTCTTCTGTACTAGCTGCACAGGTATCAACAGTACTGGTAACAATACACATTTCTATGGGATCTTGCTGCTGCTGAATGCAGACAAATATATGCCTGTTTGTTTCCTATTGTGCAAAATTAGAATTGTGCCAATTGTTGTGCAGCTCTACTGATATGGAGAGCATAGTTCCTGAACTGGATTATAATCTGTGATGATCACATGGCATTTGTTTATCTCCACAATCCCAGATTCACATGAAATTCCATGGCAATCACCAGGGCAGAGAGCTATGGACCCAATAAATTCAAACTGGTTAAATATGCTGCCCAGGGTGTTCATTAATTTTGGAGAACTGTGTGAAAATAAGCACATTGTCCAAAATGGTAAGTGCTTTTTCATGTTTTGGCATTTTAAAAAAGCTTACATGTTTTTACATTTTAAAACATGGCTCATAGAAGTGTGGTCAAATTGGGAGCTTTTTGAGGAAAAAATTCTCTCCGTGTGTCTGTGTGTCCATATAAAAGTGGAATGCATGGGGCTTTGTATTGCAAGTCTATACATTTTACATTGGGAAGTGAGATCATCAGGCTGAAGTTAACTTGAACAGGGAAGCAAGAGGTGCATATGTCAAGGATTAATAAAGCGCATGTAAAACTTTTACAGTGAGCACACAGTATATTATTGTCTGAAGTGCTAACCGTATTAAAATGTGCCAAAGTGCTGGTTGGGTATATTCAGCATGAGAAGAGACAATGCAAACACTGCATGATTTTTACACAATACTTAATGCTTATTACTTAGCCTGAATCCCTGAAGCAAGCCATCAATATTATGGCACTTTGAGCTTTCCCCTTTGCAGAATCTACATTCTCTATGTCTGGAGTGAAAAGAGGAAGCCCAACAAAATATGTCTCTTGAACCAGCTGACTGCCTTCCAGTTACATCCACTCAAAGGGTAACACAAGTGAGATAGATGGTTATGATATATTTGGCTAGGATGCTAAAAGAACACTGACTTTATGAGAATGTTTCTAAGTTGTCGTTAACACAAGTAAGAAAGCAATTGGTTTTATCCTAAATGGAAACAGTTGGGAATTTTCTTGAATCTTGATACCAGCATTTACCATAAGACAACGTCTGGGGCTTATTAAAGATAGAGCTGGATTGTTCTTCCTTTATTTCTCCTGTTTCCAAGGTTCTTCTTCAGCAGCAGATTTGCCATTAGTTGCCAAGGTTACCTGCAAATAATTATCACCAACACCTAACTTTAACATCAAGGCACTTTTCCAAAAGAAAGATTTGAACAACAAACCGCAATATTTACAAGATTTACATTACAACATACATACATGTATTGAATCAATTCTTCCCTTTCAATTTTTTGCAATCTGTTAGAATTTAGATCTATAGTCTTAATAGAGATATACACATATATGTGAATCTACACACACATATATGGACATATACTGCAAGAAAGCTGAATAAGCTAAGTTGCAGAAATGATTCTTAAAGGGAATATCAAATAAAAATCATCATTCACTACTCTGACTCATTGTATATGTTACAGGCTTGTGCTTGGGAAAGTTAGATTTTGGAATACACCTTTCAAAATTCTTCAGGTACCACCATCTTTGGCTGGGGATTTTGGTATTTTAGCCAACAAAAAGGAAGTAATTTTCCTGAGGTTTGTTAAAGGTGCAGTTACAGTCAAGTCAAATGCTTCCAAACCAGACTGCAGTTAACATACAAATATCACAATCTCATATAAAGGACACCCTTCAATATGAGCTTGATTAAAATTGTGGATGAAGCAAGAATGATCAATCATTCCATTGGAAATACTGGCTAGTAAGCAACATCTCAGCAGTCAATAATAATTATAGAAAGGACACCAAGCCATGTATAATTTAATTTGAGCAGAGATGAGCTGTGCATGGCTGGAAGAGCCAAAAATGGCTAGTGCACCTATTTGACTGAACAGAAATGAACTGGACCTTTACATAGTAAGGGACCTTTCATCTAATTCTAAATGGAATCCCATTATTTCCTAGCTTACCTTCCATGTTACTGTCCTCAGCTTCACATGAAAACTTAAAGACAGGACTGATATTCCACATGATGGACAAACTGGGTGCATGGAAGCATTGTGACATGAAAACATGAAAAATGCATCCATGTTTGAAACAAAGTCAGCCTTTTTCTTAAATAATTAAAAGGGAGAGAGATGCATTATAAAGCATACAATATACAACATATTTGGAGCTGAAATTGTAAGTTAGTTTACAAACAACATTATGTGAAATATGAAATATGGTAACAGAAGATTTAAATAAAATCCATGCAGTGATAGTCAATGTAGCTTGCCAGTTAACTAACATTAGATGTGCAAATTAGGAAGCTATTTAGAACACAAAGAAGTAGAAATAACATGAGATTGTGTTACTAACAGGGACAAACAAGCAATAAAAAAGAAACATTTGCCATAATTTCAACAATATCTCTTCTGAAGCTATTTATTTGCTCTCAGTGTTATCTCTTGTGTTTAAAACCCATTGCAAGTGAGGTAGTCAATTGCAATCCATTTTAAAATCTTTCAGTTTTACTGAGAATGTTTCAAGTATATTAGTTTGAATCTGTGTTTATTGATTTAACTGATTTTTTTAAAAAAAACCCAATTATATTTCATTCTGTTTTAACATTTATATATTTGTAGGTTTTAAATTGTACTGAAATGCTTTTAATATAAGCTGCTTTGAGTCTCCTTGAGAGAAAAAGCAGGGCAGAAATAAACATAATAATAATAAAGTATATGTTTATCTCTTCTGTTAAGCCACTGGAATTTAAAGGTGAGTAAATCTGTTGGAGTCACAGGTATTATCTTTACATCATGGAATTGATGTGATGTGAGTAATATTTAATGCATGTATTGACATATGTGTTTTCAGTTACAGGCATAATTTCACTTGAGTGAGAGCCCTTTCATAAAGCCATATAACCCAGAATATCAAGGCAGAATAACCCACAATATCTGCTTTGAACTGGAATATCTGAGTCCACACTGCCATATATCCCAGTTCAAAACAGATAATGTGGGGATTTATTTAGCTCTGTAGAAGGGGCTGATTTAGAAAACTAACATGGGGAAGGGGTGTTGGTAGTCAATTTTGCAGTTCTCTCCACTTGGGTTTAGAAATAGTAGAATCACATAAAAGAGCTCAAACATCAAAATCAGAGCTGGCTGTGTCACTCATTTGATAACAGCACTAGATCTGCCTAAACAAAATACACATAAAGTCTTCATTCATATCCTACCCCAATCACTTCTTACATTTAGAAATAATAAGAGTTTATTCAACATACTTTATGGGGATGTGAACAAGCCAAAACAAGCTCCATGCTCATCCCTCCCCTCAGCTTCTCTAGTACTGTCATAAGGAATAAACTGAAATTGTCACTTTCATGGGTGTTGAGTTCAAACCATAAAATGTAGTTGAGATAAGATGGCTTTGTGGTTTCAAACTGGAATATGTGAAACAAACCATTGTGAAAGTTCATCAAAGTTTGCAGTAGCTGTTGAAACTCTACTGAAGGCAAACTGAGATTTACAACTACCTTCCTCTGTCTTTGAGGACTATGCATGTTGCTCTAGTGAATTGGTGATCTCCACAAAACTGCTTGGGTTTCCTGGACCCTTTCTCAGAGCCGTGTATTTGGCCAGGCCAGTTCTAAAAATCAGCAGTGCCAGGGATTCAAGTGTGTATGCATGTGTGACATTCTGACACTTAGTATCTCACCCTGATGATAAGAACCAGCCCTGAGAGTTTGTTGAGTTCAGTCAAAATAGCAATCTGTGTTTTTTTAAAAACAAAAAAGAAGCAAATGCTGAATTCACAGCTGTCCAGAGGAGAAAAGGGGGTGGGGGAGGGCACACCCTTGGTTGTGATGCCCAAACCAACCACAATTAACCAGGCAAATTTTAAATCCAAAATATCCAAGATAATTTCTTTCTCATTCATCCCATGGAGTTTTACTTCGTTGTATTCTTGGTAAAATCAATTCTTGTTACAACTATTTCCTAACCCAATTTACTGGTTTCAAACAGAATTAGACAGAATTTAGAAAGCATAAAACTAGCATAGCAATCATGACAATGAAAAGAAAAGATAGACATGCTGGGTGAGTGCAAGAATGCGCAGACGTTGAGGAAAAGTAATAGTTGTGAATGCACGGTGCATCATGGAAAGCACTGGTCTAGGAAATACATCCCTTAGATTTACATTTTACTTGGACTCTACCTGGGGGCAAGGGAAGGGGATGAGGGTGTTTTGTTCACTGCATATTTCTTTGCTCATTCCAGCCAAAGGAAATGCTCTGTATTTTTCCCATTGTCTCCTAAAGATATCTACTTGGAAGTATTTCTCACTGATTTCAAGAGGACCAATTTCTATTGAAGTGAATATGAACACAAGATTTCAGCCTATATACATAAACATATACATATTTTAGAAAAATAGTAAACTCCTTGAATTCATTAAGAAATTGCCTTGTATAGTGAGCTTGCACAATTTTTTTTTGTCTGTATTGTGCTCTTTTTGTTTGGAGGTTCTATCATACAAATATCTCTGGGTGTTCTTTCTTTCTTTCTTTCTTTCTTTCTTTCTTTCTTTCTTAGTGGGCTGGAGGGGGAAACAACTTCTCTTTCAGACTGAGTTTTGGGGAGAGAGCATCTGGAGGTAATTATAATTATTCCCTTTGCCACAAATTCTGCTTTTTTACTTAATGATGGATCCAACCTCATTTACACAGAGCTCCTTTGTCATAGGAAGCTAGATGAAAGCCAACATAAGATATAATACCACATTTTTCCTTCTTCATACTGCCTTCCATAACACACTGTGGAGCACAATGTTATATGCAAACATTGCATGCAGTTATGGTTTAAAAAAGTTTTCAAAAAGAAAGCAAATAAAATATGAACCCACATCTTTAAGCCGAGTAACATTCAGTATTGTCACCTTGTTATTAGAAATATATATATATTTAAAAATACATGCAAGTTAAAAAGAAAAACAAAGGAACATGAGGTATGTGGCTAGATGCAAGTCTCAATATCCATAAATGTGAAAGGTACCTTGCACTCATCTATTATGACAGAGTTGTGAGCTGTATAAACACATTGGTTTGAGTTGTTCTCCCTATGGTTTTTCAGGTCATCATAAATTGACTGAGTCTTTGTCATTTCAATATCTTCGTGTACTTTGTGATGGGCATCAATGTCAGCCAACTCTGCCTTGGAGAGGTGATACACAATGCCAGCTCCAAAGGAATCTCCCACTACATTCACAGACGTTCTCATTCTGTCTCTGTAAAACAAAGAAATAAACAGAATAAGAATAAAGGTTTTAAGCAATATGAAATCATTGTGAAATTGATGCTGAAATTTCCACTCTCCCCATGAGTGGAGATTTCCCAAAGGAAGCTATTGTTTTACATGATGAGGTCTGAACGTCTTATCCTTGAAACTGTTTTTCTGAATAGTAGGGTATGGAGCTGTATTTATACTAGTACCTTGTTACTTTGAAAATCTTTTCCAGAGACTGTGAAATAGGTGTCCATGTGGAAGGTGAGAACTATTATCTGTATCTACACTGACAAAGAGTCATGCATTGGGAATGGTACATTACTGTAGATTCCATGGGGGCACAATCTACACTGACTATTTAATGCAGTTTCAAACCTGTATTGAATAATGTGGTTTTTCTGTGCAGATGAGATTATTACATAGAACATCCTGGAAGCAGTTTGAGGCTTGGATGGTCATTACACAAACTACAGAGCACAGTTGTCTTTTATTTGCTTCTTGGAAGTGACATAGTGAAACCTTCTCCTTTATGAGTGCAGCACAATACACTGAAATTATGCCATATAGAGAAAGCTGCAACAAAGAGTAATTTGAAACCATCTTTATGAGATTCTCATTCCATATAAGTTGGTCCTCACATTACTCTAGATCTTAATGCCCCAGGTGATTTGGGATCCAAAATGTAAAACTTTACATTTGGACAACTTTAAATGGGAACTGAAAGCTGTTGCAAATCTGCAGAAATAGCAAAGCAGTTCAGCGAGCCTTTCAAAGCCTGAATCTGACCTGTTTGTCTAAGACTGTTCTTTCTACTTTCCTGTTTCTTAGGGCATTTCATCTGTGTACTGGAGACCTTTCTTTGACATTTGCTAAGCTTGTCAATTTCCCCCTTGGAAAGTTACAGTTTTTGGCTTTCACTAATGATACTGGATTAATTCCATCTGTGGACAAATAGCAATGTTCTGTAAAGGCCTTTTTGTTCAGGTGGAAGTAGAGTAAAGGCAGAGATTTGAAAATCTGAGAAGGCATGCCTTGGAAAATCCTTTCTTTACACCTCTTATCCTGCCATAAGTACCTAGGCATATTTTATATATTTTCACAGAACAACCCAGAGCAAATAATACTTTTCAATGATCTGTGCAGGATAATAATATAGTAAAAGGCTGTACCCTTACAAACTGTATTGTGCTTTTTTCAGGTTCTAATAAAAGACATCCCATTGATTTTGAAAAGTCACAAAACTTTTCTTCTTTCCAAATTTTATCTGCCTCAGTCCAAACTCCAATTTTTTCAGATTGTTTTAAAATTGTATGTTTGGTTTCTACTCAGTTACAAAATTAAATACTGGTAATTTAATGCTTTTCTTCACTTTTTTTTAAAAAAATGTGTTGCCATTATAATGGTAAGACACAATTCATTTAATCTTTGTGGATAGTGAAATGTTGACTTTATTGGTCCATTTTAAAGTGTTGTTTCTAGTTATGGGCTTACATTTAACATGTGCTCTTGCTATCAGAAATCTTTTCTATTTCAAGGTTTTCTAATTTTATCGAATTTGGCAAAGATGATTTAGATTAATCCTCTGTTGTCTCACTTCTTCAGCTGCTTTAAAAGTGTTCCAGGTTTCCTCCCCCCTCCCACATTCCCCCTTTGTCTTCAAGCTTTATTACTGGGACCATCTTGCATAGACCAAATGAGGCGGGGTAGGGATGAGTGGAATTTGGGGTGTCCACATGACCCATAAAATCGGTTTGCAATGCTCATACTGCATTACCCAAACTAAGATAATTGCCATTTTAAAAACTGGTAAAGACACCTCCAATGCCAGGAACTACCAGTCTATCTCACTCCTATGTCATCTATATAAAGTATATGAGAGGATACTACTAAATTGATTGGTATTGAACCACAGCTTATTGCACAACAAGCAGATTTCAGACCAGGGAAAAACTGTAAAGCCCAAATTCGTAATCTGACTGAGTACATCGAGGAAGTATATGAGAAAGGTTGCATTACTGGAACAGTTTTGTCGACCTTACAGCAGTCTATGACATGGTGCAACATAATAAAATGCTGCAGAAAGTCTACCTATTACCCAAGACTATGATTTTACAAAAACTATCCAGACTCTCCTAGAAAACCGTAGCTTCTATGTGGAGTTTCAAGGCAGGAAAAGTAGATGGAGGAGGCAAAATAATGGTTTACCCCAAGGCAGCGTTCTTGCATCGACCTTGTTTAATATTTTTATTAATGATCAACCACAACCACCACTCACAAAGAGCTTTATATATGCTGATGACCTTGGACTAACAACACAAGCAAAAGACTTTGAAACAGCTGAAATCCAACTTACTAATGCCTTGAAAGATCTCTCCAGCTATTGCAAAGATAACCACCTGAAGCCTAACCCTGCCAAGACACAAGTGTGTGCTTTCCACCTACTCAACTGTGAAGCGAACAGGAAATTGAAAGTCACCTGGGAAGGTCAAGAGCTCGAACATTGTTTCCATCCTAAATATCTCGGTGTCACCTTAGATCGAACACTAGCATATAGAAAACACTGCTTGAATACCAAGAACAAAGTAGCTGCACACAATAACATCCTGCGGAAACTTACTGGCAGCACGTGGGGTGCAGACCCAAAATTAATAAGAACATCAGCCCTAGCCTTGTCTTACTCAATTGCTGAGTATGTCTGCCCTGTTTGGCATAAGTCTGCCCATGCATAGCAGGTGAACATAACATTGAACGAAACATGCAGAATAATCACAGGATGTCTGAAACTTACATCTATTGATAAACTCTACAAGCTAGCTGGCATTGCCCCCCTAATGTGTGATGGAAAGTTGCTGCTAAATGTGAGAGAAAAAAGGTTGAATACTGTGAAAGCCATCCACTACATGGCTACCAACCTCCTCCCAGCAGACTCAAATCAAGGAAATGCTTTATGAGAACTACCACTCCTCTTGGTGTCCCCATAGCAACAGCAAAGGTATCCCTCTGGGCAACTAAACCAGGAAATCACAACTGGATGACCCCCACGAGGGTCTTCCTCCAGGGGCAAACCAAGAATGGGCAACTTGGAAGTCCCTGAACAGACTCAGAAGTGGAGTGGGCAGATCAAAAGACAACCTGGCAAACTGGCACTGCCGAAAAGAATCCCACACCTTGTGTGACTGTGGAGCAGAACAGACAACTCTGCATCTGTATGCTTGTCCATTATGCCCTGCCTCATGTACAGAGGAAGAATTATTGGAGGCTACAGACAATGCCATTGCCGTTGCCCGTTTTTGGTCAAAATATATTTAGCCATCTGCACTCCTATTTTTATCAGTTTTTATACTACTTTATGCAATGCTTTTGATACAAAATAAATAAATAAATTACCCAAACTCTGGAGCTCACCTACACTTTGGAGATGTATAAACAGTGTGTCTAGTACTGATTTAGAACAGGCTGTCACTGTGTACATGGCAATCTCTCCTTTCTGACCTCCCGACAAGCTACTCCAGTGCTCTAATCAATGTCAACACTTGCAACAAGCGGCAACTATCAGCAATTCCAGACTCCCTGGTAAGGGTTCATCACCGTGGGGCCATGGACACTCCTTCCTACTACCAGAGTGGTTTGAAGCATGATGGTTGGATACCTTCCTACCACTGGACCAGCTCAGAGGCAGGCTGCATGGACTTCCTGAAGGCTGGCTCAGGGTACCCCACTATGGATCAGATCTAGCATAAATGACATCTGTAGATGTGGCCTCAGTAGTTACAAATCAAGTTCAAAGTATAGAAATAATAATAATAATAATAATAATAATAATGAATTTTATTTCTACCCCACTACCATCTCCTGAGTCCCCCTTTTGGCCATCCTGAGTCCCCCTTTCGGGGTTGAGAAGGATGGGGTAGAAATACTGGAAATAAATAAATGAATGAATGAATCTCCCCAAAGGGACGTGAGGTGGCTCACAGAAGCACTTCAAGGTGCTGCATATAAAACAAATAATACATAAGTATATACAACAACACATAAGTCTATAGACATCTAACACACATAAAACTCAATCTAATAAAATTATAACATTCATAAAACGCAGTAAAACCTGTGAAGAAGACTGGCTGTCTACCATTAACAAACTAAAGTATCAGAGTGTGGCCATTGCTAAGTCTTCAAATCTGATCATAAATGACACAGGGTCAAAGGCCTATCTAAAAAACCATGTTTTTAAATTGGCTCGAAAGGCTTGGAGAGTGGGGGCTAACCTAATGTCTCTAGGGAAGGTATTCCAGAGTCGGGGGCTCACCACTGAAAAGGCCCTCTCATCCCCACCAACCATGTTTGAGATGGTGGTGGGACCGAGAGACGGGCCTCCCTGGCAGATCTCAGAGCCTGCACCGGTTCATAGAAGGAGATGCGGTTTTGAAGATAGATTGGACCCGAAGCATGTAGGACTTGCATTTTGAAGCGGGCCCGGAAACTTATCAGAAGCTAGTCAAGATTTATTTATTTATTTATTATTTAAACTTATATGCCGCCACTCCCCTGGGGCTCGGAGTGGCTTACAAGAATAGCTAAAGATGTTTTAATAGGTGTGTAGTGTGCTCCCTATAACTAGCCCCAGTTAGCAATCTAACAGGGAAAAGTTGTCTAGAAGTAGTAAGCTCACTTCCTGGTAGTGTAAGGCAAATTTTTGCAACCTTGTGTTTTTTTCTTCACTAATACAATTTACCACCTTGACCAAATTGTTTGGCTACACATGTTCCAATTTCATTTGTGAAATGTTGGAAAGTGTGTGATAAAGTTATTTAAAGCAGGGAGTATGTTATGGTTCAAATCTGATATTTACATATAGAATGTTTATATAACATTTTGTATTAAAGGGTCTATAATACAGGGGAAGGAAAACATTATATAACTATAACTAAACATTTTTATCATTTATTATTGTGTAGTTAACTAAATAAAATAGTAAAATTAGTTTCAAATAGGCTTTGAACAAGCTTTCATGTGGGCTGTTACACTTCCCCCTATATCCCAGGATCTGAACACAGATTATTTGTTTATCCCAGGTTATCTGCCATTGGGGACTCATATATTACAGTTTAAAGCAGATAAACTGGGATGGGATCCTGAGATAAAGGTCAGTGTGGAAAGACCCCGTGAATCAGCTTGAAGTCTTTCACGGTTACTCTTGAGGTGATATACCAGAACTTGTCTTTTCTTTAAGGTGATAACTTCCAGAATTCCCTAGCTGGCATTAGGTTATTATTCCAAATAAACAATTTCAAAGATGCACCATGATTCCTTAAATTTCCTCCTCTTTCCATTTAAGTAAGTAAATAAGTACTTTTTCTGAGATATCTCTCCAGTACCTCTCCTGTCTTTATTACAACCTCTATGGACTGTGTGGCTTTAAGACCTCCTTCTTCCATGTCTGACCTTTTCTACAGAAGCAATGTCATCACTGATGCTTGCCAGAGGAAATGCTTCAGGGAGTGGGATTTTTACCCAAACCTTTCACTGGAAAGGATCAAATAACACAATACTGAACCTGCCCAGCCTGCAGCTTGTTTCTGCCAGTGAATTATGGCTCTAAGCTAGGGCTTCTGTGTTAAGAGACATATTTTAAAATGACATTTCCCTGAAACAACAAACCACGACACAAACCAATTTAACATCCTCCTCCTGACTACAAGTCTTTGCTCATTTTTGCTCCAACATAAACATGTATTTAAAATATGAATATATTCCTGTGTTGACTCATGATTTTATATAAATAAGCTCACAGCCACAGATATAATCTTTTACTTTCTCTGGCTCTCTGCTCACTGTTGATCCACAGCCTGTTTTTTCCTCAATGCAATGATGTTTTCTATCTAAAATTCTGAGTTGCAACTAATTTTATATTAGAGAGATGACACAGGTCTGATAGATGTGTTGTAACAGCACCTGTCATGAAATCTGCCAAATTTCTCTACTTCATCAGAGGCTCACATTGGAACTGTTCTAACTTCTTAAATTCAGCAGTGAAAGTGTGAGAAGGGCCTTTTTCCATTAAGCATCTTGCATATGGAATGCTTTTCCAAGACAGGCTTTCCCGACATCAACTTCAATATTGTTTTATTGAAAAACACGCTTTTAATGTTATTTTTAAAAAGCGCGACTGGTGGAGACGAGAGTGGTGGCCCATCACCTGTGGAACTCTCTACCGAGTGACATTAGATTGGCCCCCTCCCTCTTGAAATTCAAAACCTGGATATGGGACCAAGCATTCGAACAGTAGAGGCAGCAATTTAGAATGAGACTCAATTTGTTTGAATGACAATGGACTGAGCTGGACTATGATATCAAACCTGCATTATCTAAATAATGTTTTAGTAATTTTAAAGCAGTAACAAATTGTTTTACTTGCTTTTATCACTTATTAGTGTTGTTGGCATTGAATGAATGCCTGTTGTGAAGCTGCTTTGAGTCCCCCTCCAGGGATGAGAAGTATGGGATAAAAATATGTGAAATAAATAAATTATATATCATGAGAAACACAGGACTTCATTGTGATACACTGGTGTGGACTGCACCAGCACATGTGCACATTTTAAAATCCTGAAACAGCTGATGAGGTCTGCAAATATATAGAGCCACGGACACACAGGTAGCTAAATGGAAGTACAAATGGAAAACAATTCTCAGCAATCATTCCTTTGTTCTTATATTTATGAATTAAGCAGAGCTTGAATTTACACAGTGGGCACCAGCATGACAGGCAAATGACCCCAAAGGGAAATGGGATTTAGGAGGGCAAACATAAAGGCAGCAGGAAGGTGAGGAGAGATAATAACAAGATTTGCTTGTGTGCACATTTGTATATCCACACCAGTGCTTATGAGGTACAGCACATCTCAGAGTCAATTAAAAAAAACCTTCAGTGGAAGTCCCACATCTGTTTTGTGAATTTCTAAAGTCCGCTATAAACAAACCCTTCAAGATGCCAGGGGACTATTTCTCAGGACTGAGAACTCTGTGTTTGGACTTGCTTTCGGCTACTGGGATTTTTTGCCCCACTTCTTTGTCCCAGATTATGAGGCTGTCTGGAAGGGCCCAAAGAAGGCAAGGGCAAACCCCCATGAACAAATCTTATCAAGAAAACCCTGCAATAAGTTTTTCTAGGATTGCAATAATTCAGAAATGATGCAGTCCTCAAACAGAGTGATGCTCATATTAAGCATCAGTCATATTGAAGGAAATGATACCTGACTGAGTAGTTAATTAGCAATTCAATAAGTATCTAATCACTGTTCTGGGAGATAATGCAAAATCAATGTCTTTGATGTTACTTACAAGAGCCAGTCTACAGCAACAAGCAAGCTGATGTCCTGGGTTGGAAGACCAACTGCTGTGAGGATGAGAAGCATGGTCACCAGTCCTGCGCTGGGTATACTCGCAGCTCCAACACTGGCAAGAGTAGCTGTTAGACTGCAAAATCAAATACATCTGCTTGGTCAAATAAAGCTTTTCTTAGTGCAGAAGTGGGCAAAGTATGGCCCATAGGTTGCATGCACCCCTTGAAACGCTAAAGAACACCCTCTGAAATGGTCCACCAATCTACCAGATTTTGCGTCAATGTGGGGAATTTATTTTTGCTGAAAATCAGCCACATTAATATAAGACTAGTTGCAAATGAAATAGTTTATTTCCCTATGAAGCCTCACCCCTTCCCAAAAAAGGAGGGGGGAAGCTTAAAATGGGCCAAAGCACCAGATTGAAGTTATGTACCATCACTTCTAGCATGCTGAAACACAAGGAAACCACCTCCCTTCCATAGTCACCCAACCTTATCCTAGTGTTTCTATTGAGAATATAAGAACCAAACAAATATATTCTTTGCCTGTGTTCTATACCAAGTTAACTTACTCCAAAACATTTTCATTCACTAATTTGACATAGCCTTTGTACCAAAGATGTATGTCTTCACTTATTTCATTCTTGCATGCAAACATTTCAAAAGATTTTGCCTCAGATCCTGGGGTTATGAAGAATTTTGCCCATTTTATTTCTTTCAGAGCAGGACTTTAAAAATATTTGCATAAAAATTGTGTGTGAATTGGCAGGTGTAGTGATGATGGTGGTGCCCCATTATCATAGCTATTTCTGTGAACACTACACTATAAACAAACCCTACCTTCTGAGGCACTATAAATTGTGAGGCTGGGAAATATTAATAACATATACATAACTTTTCCAGTTGGGGAAATCCCTGATATTTTGCTGTAGCTGGTTGCTTTAAAAATCCCAAAATGCATTTCATTGGAAATTCTGGTTCAGCTGATTCCTGGCATAAGAAGTAGGCCTTTTTGGAAGAGGGGGATGGGGATTTCAATAATTAACAAGTATAAACATGAGTTCAATGTGTTACAAAACCGTAAGTCTAACTTACGATTTCATAGATATTGAAAGGATGCCAAATTATTTTTACAGAAAAGTTATTTTGCGCCACAATTTCAGAACTGCACAAAGATCAGTGTTTAAAAGTTATTAAATGGCTCTGGGACACACAAAAAAACCCAAATCTACAACTATACTGCTGTCTTCTGCTGAAGAGATTCTTCATTGGTAGTGGGATATTGTCTAACCAAATGCATGAAGGGAAACCTAGTTGGGATTTACATACTTGAAGATGAATGATGGTTTATAATTATTTAGAAATATGATCTCCTATGGTACAGTCAGGCTCTGGGCTATCTGTGTTTTTGCCCTGTCATGTCAGAGAAAAAACATACCTGACAGTGACTATCTGTCCACCATCCAGCTGAATTCCATTCATTTGTGCTATGAAGATGGCTGCTACAGCTTCATAAAGGGCAGTCCCATCCATATTAATAGTGGCTCCAACAGGTAAGACAAATCTTGTCACACGCTTGTCAATGCCCAAATTTTCTTCAAGGCAGCGAAAGGTTACTGGCAATGTGCCCGCACTAGGAGGCAAGTGAAATAAAAGGAAGAATTGACAGGTTATGTATTCATTTCTGACTTAATGGGGCAATTAGCTAGCTCTGCGTATCCTATGTAATGTCAGGCAGTCACCTGAAACATCAATAAAAATTATTTCCCAGGCCACCATTGAATTTCTCTTTTTTCAGATGAAGTGGAAATGAAGACAGGTTATGAATTCAATAGTTTCAAAACTGAGATATATTGTTCTGTGTCAGGGGAAAAAATCTTTCACTGGACCTACATTTACTTTGATTTTTGCACAATACTAGATATGATACTCCTGCCAAATGGCATTAGCTTTACATGGTGGTGGGACTGCATGCTGTTTGTAGTGTCTCCGTAACAGGGCACTTCCAGACAGCAGGAAATTGTGGCCACCCACATTAGAGTCTGCACCACCCTTGCACACGATTATACTTATTGTCAGGGAAAACCTTTACCTTTACCTTTACCTTTAGAACCTGAAAACTGAGAAGACTGAGTGGATTGGCCACAGGAATTGTGTGATCTGATCCCTGGGCCCAATCCACACAGGGACCACATAGGGTGGCTGAGAAAGTGACATCTTTGCAAATCAGTCTCTGTGTATAAGTTGTATATAAAATAGAAATGAATTTTATGTATAGATTTTGGTCCCATGTCCAAGATACCTCATTGTGTACATGTATACAAATACAGTTATTCTCTTTTAAAAAACAAAACAAAAAACCTCAAAATCCAAAACAGCATTTCAGATAAGGAATACTCAACTTGTATAAAATAATCTACAGTAAAATCCAAGAAGATGTGACACATCTTTAGTTGATATCAGCATTTTATATCAAATACCTTGAAGCAGTGCCTAAAGCAGTAATCCATGCTTGGAAGATGCCAGCAAAGAACGAGAAGGGGTTTTTCCTTGTTATTATAAAGTACAACGAAGGCAAGAAGATCCCTCCATGGATGAGAAGGCCTATGATGACAGTCACCATGTACATGCCCAGTTGCCTAGCAACTACTTCTAAGTCCTTGATTGCAATGATTTTTCCACAGATAAGACAGGCAATGCCCAATGGAGAATACCTGGAAAACAACACAATTCTCTGGTCATAGATACTTCTATAAAGAAACAAACAAACAAACAAATCTGTAAAATAAACAAATAAATAAGTTCTGGCTTGAAACATAATTGCAATCAGTCCTTTGGATCCACAATTTCCAGCAAATCATCACGTCTCGTATCAGTAAATGAGAGCAATATGAATGCAAATGTGCTAGAGCATGTGCATTCGCATCAAATAGATTTAATAACATGGAGTGTGATCATTCTAGAACCAAACTCCTGCCAATATGGTGGGTCCACTGCAGAGCCATGTGGACCAATGCTTCTTTAAATCTTCTTTTATAAAACAGACCAAACACTGGGAGACACATGAAGCAGCAAGTATACCAAGGCACTCAGGATCTGAAGCTTTTTTCATGCTGCCAACAAATAGCAGATTGAGTGGGTGATGGTGGTTTCCATGCTATTTAGTTGGCAAATCATGTCTCCTCTCAAATCTTCTATTTTGCAGGCTAAACATCCCCAGGTTTTTAAGTCACTCCTTATAGAGCATGGTCTACAGACTTTTGATCATTTTAGTCACCTTCTTCTGGAGACCTTCCAGCTTGTCAATATCTCTTTTTAACTGTGGTGCCCAGAAATGGGCACAGTATTCTAGGTGAGATCTAACCAAAGCCAAATAGAGAGGCACCATGACTCCCCTCAATCTAGACACTATACACCTTTTGATGCAGCCCAAAATCCCATTGGCTGTTTTAGCTATTACATCACACTGTTGGCTCATATTGACTTGTTGACCACAAAGACTCCAAGATCTTTTGCACATGTACTGTTGTTGAGCCAGACATCACCCACCATGTGTGCATTTCATTTTTATTGCCTAAGGGTAGTACCATACATTGCTTCCTGATGGAATTCATTTTGTAAGTTTTGGCCCAGCTCTCTAATCTATGAAGGTCTTTTTGAATTCTGATCCTGTCTTCTGGAGTATTAGCCATCTTCCCAAATAAGTGTCATCTACACACTTGATAAGCATGCCCTCTAATCCTTCATCCAAGTTGCTAAATAACAGCAGTGGGCCCAGGACAGAACCCCGCGGAACGCCAGCAATCACTTCTTCCCTGTGTGGCATCTACTTAGGAGTCAGTGTAGAATTCAAACAGTGAATTCAAACTGCAGGACAAGAGATTCCATATAAATATTAGAAAGAACATTCTGATAGTAATGTAGAATACACTGCTATTGGCCAGGAGAGCTTTGATTTTATGTTCCTGTATAGCAAGGGGTTGGACTGGATGGATGTCTCTTGTGGTCTCTTCCAACTCTATGATAATGGTAACTGTCACCACGATGTCCTGGTTTACAGGACATAACTGGAACAACCTTACTGCAGTGCCCATGTCTGAAAATTGTTTTATTCAATAAGTGTCTTCAAACACTTAAGAGGTGGCCTTAGAGCAGTTATGGTATCTGCTGTGAATGATGATTATGTAGTCTTCCCAGTTACATTTACTCACTATTGCTCCAAAAGAAAGCAAACATGGGGTGTAAATCTGTTTTCTGTTTTGAAAGAGATGAGCACTTCAAATTCTTTCCATGCAATATAGAACCTGAGCAGTGGTGGCCCCTAGACTGTGGAATGCCTTTCCTATAGATATTAGATCAGTCACCTCCCTTTTAACATTCCGGGAAAAAGTCAAAATGTGGCTTTTTGAATAAGTGTTTGCAAATGCAGAGTAACTGACACAGGAAAATGGAACGACTAAACAATGAGTCCAGACTATGTTTTTAACAAGAAGACAATATGAATTTATATTTTATGGATTTGTTTAGTTTTTATTATATGTTATGTTTTTAATTGTATTTATGACATTGTAAGCATTGGATTTTGCCCTGTTAACTGCCTTGAGTTGCCTAAGGGCTGAGAAAGGCAGTATACAAAAACAGCAAATAAATAAATAAATAAATAAATAAATAAATAAACAAATAAATGGGGCAGGAAAGAAGCCTAGTATAGTCCCCTGTAACTGTATGCCAATGCTTTCTATCAGAATGATTGCCTATATGACACAGATTAACAGAGGTCCTCTCATGTCTATAATTATGGTATCATAATGGAATCTCCTCTCTTGCATAGTGTCTAGATCTAAGGAAGTAATGCTACCCCTCTATTCTGTTTTGGTTAGACCACATCTGGAATATTGTGTCCAATTCTGGGCACCACAATTCAAGAGAGATATTGACAAGCTGGAATGTGTCCAGAGGAGGGCGACTAAAATGATCAAGGGTCTGGAGAACAAGCCCTATGAGGAGCAGCTTAAGGAGCTGGGCATGTTTAGCCTGAAGAAGAGAAGGCTGAGAGGATATATGATATCCATGTATAAATATGTGAGAGGAAGTCACAGGGCGGAGGGAGCAAGCTTGTTTTCTGCTTCCTTGGAGACTAGGAAGCAGAACAATGGCTTCAAACTACAAGAGAGGAGATTCCATCTGAACATGAGGAAGAACTTCCTGACTGTGAGAGCCGTTCAGCAGTGGAACTCTCTGCCCCGGAGTGTGGTGGAGGCTCCTTCTTTGGAAGCTTTTAAACAGAGGCTGGATGGCCATCTGTCAGGGGTGATTTGAATGCAATATTCCTGCTTCTTGGCAGGGGGTTGGACTGGATGGCCCATGAGGTCTCTTCCAACTCTTTGATTCTATGATTCTATGATTCTATCATGAGTCTATTTTAACAACTGTAGGACCATCCTATGCAATCCTTGGAATTGAAGTTTACAGAGGAATATTTAGAATTATTTGCCATGCTCTGCAGTCATGACAGTACAAGTGGGATCACAGTGCTCTAATTGTGTGGTTTGGAAGAGCTTCCACTTTATACTTCCTAGATCAGTTGCAAGTCCAAGCATTTAAAAATACTTTCCCCAAAGGTTCCCTTCCTGAAAGACTGAATGAAGATAATTCTTCAATAAGGGTTAGAAAGCAACCTCAACAAATGTTCAGATTTGTTTTATGTTCTCATGGTGATCACAAGAGTTTCATAAATCAATGAAGCTGTTGGCAAGATGGATCTTTTTCTCAGAACACAATTATAAATATATGGACAAAATGTCCCTTTGGTTATGAAAGAAATAAGAGTATCTCCATAGACTACACATTCTCTTCCATGTAAATGAGCAAGTTATAGTTGGAGGGCAAGCCCTGGTAGAATTATGTTATTGGATGCTGAGGCACAAGTATTGGGAACTAGAAATGGATCCAAGCAGTTTGCAAAAACAGTGCTACGCATATATTGGGAAAGTAGAAAAATTGGTTGATTCATGTTTAATATGATTTTACACAATTTTACTCTTTTAAACCATACACTGACCAAACCTCAGCTGGCTTTCAAAACTCACATTTTCCAATTTTTTTTTTTTGCAATGATGTTTGATAATATAAAAATTTCTACAATATTTTCTATTGTTAGGAAAATGGTGCACAGAAAATGTGTATATAGTGACATCGACATGTATTGCATCAGAATGCAAGCAGAAGTATATATCAAAATGTGTAAACTATGGAAAAGGCAAATCAAATTTGCATTCTGTTCAGTAAGCCCAAGTTGGAAGCCCTATGTTCAACATCATAATTATACATAACCACTTTTAAAGTCATTGCACCATTGCCGTGAAAGTGTGCCAATAGGTATAGTGGTCATATTTTTAAATGCTTGGTTGGCTCCTGTATAAAAAAATGCAATAAACCAAACATATTTAGACCAGAACTGAAAAAAATATATAAGTATAATCTAAAGGGAAAATAGGATACAATAGCTCTTGGTATGTTTCATTGGGTAATGTCAACTTACCACATGATCATGATTACTAGCTTCATTACAATCTCATTCAAGATATTGAAGAAATCTACCATCATCTTGGCTTGTTCTCCCATTTTTCCCATTGCAATACCAAAAGCAATGAAGAACCCAATGAGACCTGTTGAATACATGTTAGAATATTAAATTGCTGGGTTAGAATATTGTTTCAGTTCATTTTAAAAACCAGAATATAAAAAATTGGAACTTGTAGGAAAGAAATTTGGACAGATTTATTCTAGATATAAAAAGCTGAAGATTAAAGGCAGAATGGTATAATTTCATTTCTAATCAAAATATCCTGGCAATCAGACTATAAGAGTCCTGGATTTGTTATACTGCAGTTGGCTCTCCTTGTTTGAACGATTTGTGGGTTTGATTAATATGTATATTATCTCTAGGAATCTCTAGCTCTTCCAGTGAGATTTTATGGCCAATTTCCAGCAAAGTTTGACTACAGGGTTATGCAGGGGTACACAATTTATGGCCCTCCAGGTGTTTTGAGACTCCAACTCCCAGAAGCCAGCCTGTCCAATGGTCATGAGTTCTGTGAGGCGAAGTCCACAACACCTGGAGGGGTGACAGGACACGCACCACTGCATTAGAGGACCCCTAGATTCAAAGAGATATTCTCTCACGCAAACAATTTTTATTCACATTTTTTTTTCATTTTTGTGGGGGTCTTTTGCCCCTAAATTCTGCCAATGTGGAGGGCTGGCTGTATTTATGAAATCAGCTTCCAAATAAACTATTTGAAGTGATCTTACATTGCAGGAAAACCAATACTTGTGCAAGTAAATTCCTCATCACTTCGAACCACCTTTCTCCCTGGAAAAGTTCTGAAATATGGGGATGTGGTTGGAACGTAAACAGGAGAAAAACAGAGATTGAATATAGAAGAAGGATTTATCTGGATTTCCTCCTCAGTTTGGCAAGTCAACTAGCAGTGGGTTTTTGGAGTGCTGACACTATATAATGGAAATTTCAGAAATAGTAAACAAACTTATTTCTAGGCACAGCAGTGCAGTATTATACAATACACTTTGAATTGGAGCATAGCAAACTAGACAGTTGTTAAAAATTACATTTAAAACATGCAAACAATTCCACAGACACAGAGGAAACAATTCTTAATCCTTTCCCTTTTATATACATTAATTTAAAAGCTTACATACCCCTTGATACTTTTTAATTTTTATTAGAGTTTATTTACAGTAGATGTTCTTGCAATATTGTTCTATTTCTAAAATAACTATACAACACATATAATAAAAATAAAAAATAAAATAAATACCTAAGACGTTCATTCCATCTTTAAACTCAAGTCCCTTCTTAATTACCATCTGCGGTTCTGGAGTCACTTCTGTTTCATTCAACATTGCAAAGATTGAGTCTGTGACATTGTCTGGTTCTTCGATCTCTTGAGGGACCATCACTTTCTTGGTAACTGTTTGGATCTAAGGAATCAAAAGAAGCTGCAAATGCAAGTTGCAATGTATCTTTTACACAAGTAACTAAATAAAGTTGAACTTCCCCTCTAAATATCTGTTCCTACAAGAAAAACCCATCAACTATTTATTTGATATCAAAGCAGAACTTGTAAAGAGTTAATTGTTGGATTTGTTGTTGTCATTGTTGTTTCCAAACAGAGATATATGCTTTTACCTTTCTCTGAAGGCGCTTCCAGACAGGCCCTATATCCCAGGTTTTCTGCTTTAAACTGGATTATATGAGACCACACTGCCAGGTAATCTAGGATAAACAGAAAACCCGGGATCAGATCCTGAGATATAGGGCCAGTCTGGAAGGGCCCTGAGAATGAAAGAGTGTGATTTGCCTAAGTTCATCCATGATTGAGTGATAATTTGAAGCATGGTCTCTAAGGCTGCATTCAGACAGTCCCGGAAAACTCTGGTTTGTGGTGAATTAATCTGTCAGTGGGTTTATTCCACACCTTCTTGGAAGGCATCGGATAAACTCACTACTTCTGCTGTCTGAACTGTTCTGGGCTTTTGAGGGGCAGTCCAGACAGTAGTCCTGTGGTTTTCTGGGATAAATTCGCCCGGAAATCTGTGAGGACACTAACCCCTCCCCAAAAGCTCCCCAACCACCCTTTAAAAGTAAAATAACTTACTTGGCCTCCATTAGAGTGGTGCCGGAGCTTTCCTGGCATGTAGAAATGATGCACCAGGTGAAGGGGGGGGGAGGAGCAATTTTCCTTCTCCCCCCTTCACCTGGTGCATCATTTCTACATGCTCTGGCACCACTCTAATGGAGGCCGGGTAAGTTCTTTTACTTTTAAAGGGGGTTTGGGGGGCTTTTGTGGAGGAGGTTGGTGTCCTCGCAGTTTTAGTTCAACATTCAAAATACTATTCTGAATTGAATCTACTTTTTTAAGGGTTAACAGAATCCCAAATACTCCAGCATTTCTAGTATCCCCAGAAAGGAAAATGTTTAAGCCCTACTTTGAAGTAGACATACTTTTTCTATCACTGATGTGCCCATAGGGTCTGTGGCAAAATTAAGATTGGGTTAAGATTTTTGGTTTAGTTTTAAAAGTTTAATATTTTGGATGGAAATGTCATTTTAAAAACTGAAGGAGAAGCTAAAATGGACAGATCTGACCCAGGTCAGGGATGAGCAACTGTGGGCCCTTCCACACAGCTATATAACCCAGAATATCAAGGCAGAAAATCCCACAATATCTGTTTTGAAATGGTTATCTGAGTCCACACTGCTATATATTCAAGTTCAAAGCAGAACATGTGGAAATTTATTCAGCTGCGTGAAAGGGGCCTGTGTGCGGCTGAGATGCTCCAGTTAAGCAGGCCACATCCCCAATGTTTCTCCCCAGGAAAAAAAGGCATTTCTTTATGTGTTTTCATTTGTTGCCCAATAACAGTCATTGGACAGCTTGTTGGAGTTCACCTAGCAGACTTTTATGGCTGTGGTGAGATTTGAACCCTGGTTTCCAGCAGTCGCACCACTAAAGCAGGCTGCAGTGCTCATTAAGGAGGTGAACGTACTTCAAGAAAGGTCAGGGAAAAGCTTGAAATAACTCCCTGAGTGCATGGCAGCACCATCACAATGTAGACCATATTTCATGGTTAAATGAACCCCTTGGAATGCAAAACATATTGTAAACATGAAACACATAATGTGCAGATGTGTGTTATAAAATTATAATGGAGGGCTGATGAAAATTCCCAAGGGTGGCTGGGTAGTAAGTGGCTAACTGATAGGTAACTGAATGCCTCAACTGCTTCCACTTTCTGCATCCTTTTTTTCACCTTATATGCCTTTGAATTACATATGCACATCTCGCCTGGAAATGGAAACAAGCTGTGATCCTCTGTGGCAAGCCACAGATAATGTAACTTCCAGAACCAGTCAAAAATCACCTTCTGTGGTCAACGTAATCATCATCCTGTACACAACACTTTTTAAGAAATGGCAATCTAATCATTGCACAGGAATTAGATCAAATCTGTTCCAGAAATGGCAATCTAATAATATGCATCACTTTCTGCCAAACTGGTTCTGAAGTTGCCTAAGTAGCCATTGTATATGAGCTTCTAGTCTAGCACTGAAATAATAGTGACTTTCTAACTAACCATTATTTTACTATTGCTAAACAGTGCATACAAAATATTTATACTGTTAGGAGAAACACACTCTCTACTTAAAGCTTAACAAAAACAGCTTGCAATGGTACAAAGCAAAAGTATTTAGATTTTTTTCATGAGCTAATACATATGTTTATTCTGTGTGAGATACATAAATATATAACCTAAAAATCCATTGAGAGGACAACACAGATGGCGATCGAATCCAGGCAGGATTTTTAAAGCCAATATATTTTAAGAGCAAAAAAGAAAACAAAGATGACCATTCCCAGAAAATGCCTTTTGCCTTCTATGAATGAAAATTGAAGTATGTTGATGTCTGCAGTAAATACATGCCTAAAGTATTTGTATAAATACATCTGACCTCAATGAAATCAAAGAGCCATTTTAATTAAGTTAAGGGAAGACTGAATTCTTTGCAAATAAAAATAGTTCCTAAATATATGTTTATGTGCTTCCTGCTAATCCAGCAACCATAACTGTATTATGGACAATGGGGAAATAAGGCATTTAACCACTGGCTGTGAATAGACTGAGAGTCTATTTAAGCCAGATCATAGTACCTTCAGAAGAAACATACATGAATTGACATCTTGACATTTCAGTACCTTCTGGACTAATCACAGACACCTGTGATCATAAATACTTTTGACTTTAACTCTGATATCACACTGCTCCTTGGCAGAGAAGTCTAAACACTTTGTAATACTACAATTTCCAAGACTGTCAACTACATTAATTCTACAGTGTAGATGCACTCTTACATAACCTTAAAATGTGTGATAAAAAAAATAGTTGAAGACTTTCTATGTCTTGCATCTATAATATATCAAAATGGAGAGAGTAGCCCAGAAATCAGAAAAGGACTATCACTTAGAAGGGCTAGTGGTGCTAGAAGAGAGATGTAGAGAGCAAAAAAAAAAAAAAGGTGGGGGGGCATATTAAATGTGTCCAAGAACAAATCCAGTTGGAACTCTCAGTAGAAGTCAAGCTGACTAAACAAAGTATCATACTTTGGACACATAATGAGATGACATAGCTAACTGGGGCTAACTATCCGGAGCATACCACACCCCTATTAAAGCAGTTCCACTGACTGCCAACAAGTTTCCAGGCCCATTTCAAAGTGCAGGTTATTACCTATAAAGCTCTATATGCTTAAGATTCAACCTATCTTTGAGATTGCATCTCCTTCTATGAACCAGCGTGGGCTCTGAAATCTGCTGGGGAGGCTCTCCTCTCAGTCCCACCTCCATCCCAAGAGCGATTGGTGGGGATGAGAGAGAGGGCCTTCTCAGTGGTGGTACCCCGGATCTGGAATCTCTCTCCCTAAAGATATTAGGTTAGATATTAGATATTAGGTCCCCAAGCTTTTCAATTTAGTCTGAAAGCTTGACTTTTAGACAGGCCTTTGACTCTGAGTAGATTTGAATGGTTAGGTATGAGGACTTAGTGACTGCTCCACTCTGGCACTTGGATTGTTAATTTTAAGACTACTACTTTTATCCACACACATCACTGCCAGGCCCATAGCCAGGATTTCGATTCAGGGGGGGGGGCTGAGTTTGTTTGGGGGGGGGGCTGAGTCTGAGTGAAAGAGGGTCTACCCTAGCAAACCTTTTGTATCGTTACCCCAATACCCCCATGCATATGGGATATATTGAGTATGGTGATCAGATCATGATATGAATAAACATAACAGTTTAAATAATGCAGTAAGGCCTTTTTGCGAACCACCATGAGAATTGGGGGGGGGGGTTAAGCCCCCCAACCCCCCCCCCCCCCCCGGCTACATGCCTGATCACTGCATTTTATGAATTTTATGAATTTTTTAAAATGTTATTATGTTTCATTTTATGTATGTTTGCTGTTGTAAATTTATGTTGTTTTAGTCTATATGTTTATGCATTCTTTATTTTATGTTCAGCACTTTTGCTTCTATGAGCTGCCCTGAGTCCCTTCAGGGAGATGGTGGTGGGGTATAAATAAAGTTTATTATTACTATTTATGATCAGAAAAGATGAAAATGTTTTGTAAAGTGGAAGGCAGATGCAGAACAGGCAGACTGCATTACAAACAGATTGTTGCAGAAAAGAAGCCGCAGCCCTGAGGTTGCAGAGCTGTTTATGACAAGTGCTGTAAGTCAAAGCTAACTTGATGACAAATATAATGGCAACAATCTGGAATGAGGCAAGTTCACCATTTCAGTTGCAAAGGCTCCCTTTGAGTACCCTATACAAATATATGGCTCTGAAAGACAGCAAACAACAATAATAAAAAGATCAAAGGAGCCAGATCAGAAGTTCTGAAGCAGGCCAACATTCCTGAAATTTTTTCCTCAGAGTTAGATATTATCTCAAGAACTTTGTCATCTATTAAGCATTATGAGGACCCTGAGAACATCATGAAGTTATCTCTCACTGAGGAACATTTGCTGCCATTCTTAATGAATACAAAACAACAAGCCTAAATTCTGGCATTCTTGATGAGACTGGGCTATCATTACCAGGAAATGTCAACTGGGGATTATTCTTATAACTAAATCCATGTGTGATGCTTCTTGGAAAAACTGAGGGTGTGCTGACTTACAGGAATTTTAGTATGTTCTGAGCCAGTCACAGATCTTGGGAAATTTACTTTTGTTGCACTACATGCCTGAGAAGGCAGCTCCCAAAAGTAATTTGGTAAGCTTGAAACACCTGCAGATGGAACTGCTTCAACCAGTGGAATCAGGAGGGGCAATTTTCCCATATTTTCAGTAATCAACAATAACTGTAGGAAGCATTTGATGTTTGCATGCAATCAATAAACCATTGTGCCTTCTGACAGCATTTCAGTTTGGCAGGCCCTCAGATCTGGTTTGGTCAGGAAACAGAAATGGAGCCCCCGGTGGTGCAGTGGGGTAAACCCTTGTGGCAGCAGGACTGCTGACCGACAGCAGGCCTGCTGGCACATTTTAACTATATGTTGTTGACATTTTAATTCTATTTTATTCCCCATCTTTTCTGTGTTTTCCCTATATTGTATTAGTGGAGTTGCTAAACATTTATAATGAAGTAACTCAAGTGAATTGCTTGCCAGAATACATAACACAGTAACTTGTATTTCGTCCTTTAGTCTTTATTGCAGCAAGTCAACTGGATGGTCCTAGCAGCCCTTTCCAACTCTTAAAATTCTTTGATTCTAAGATGCACAAAAGATGGGGGTTTTAAAATTTATATTTTTAAAAATTTGCATATCAGTTTGTATCAAGTAAATGGTTTGAGAATTCAAAGACTAGTTTTTTTTTTTGGACTATGATTCTAAATAGCTCTGAAGAAGAGTATACAAAAGCTGAAACACATCGGGCTTTTGATTAAGAAAACAATAATCTTTTCAACATGTTCAGACATAGCTCTGCTCATTCTGTGACTTTGGTGAAACATGACACATCCTAAATTATTTATCCACTGAGTAACAGCACAACAATCATCAGCAGGAACATTTCCTTTCCCTCCAGTATCTCATCCAAAGACATGTTATGGCCATAATGAAGTGGATATGCCCACAAAAACTGCCAAGTTATCTGGAGCCGGTTAACACTTTCGTTGTAGATTTCCAATTGATATGATTCATACAGGAGTAGTCATGGCAGCATTTCCACATTACTCTACACACATGGGACTGTAGGAAAGGAATAGACGAAGGTTTGGTTTTCCAAATACTGTCATAAAGAAGAACTTAAATATATTTCAAGTCAAAGTAGCAAATGAACAAGCAAAGAAAAAAAAACCCCAAATGACCTTGTGGTCATGAAATATCAAGCCTAATTGTTTCCCATTGGAACTGGGCATATGCTTTGATTGTTTTAATATTTTTGTAAAATCTGCATGTCAATTTTGAGCATTTTCCCATCAAATAGCTAAAAAAAGTATGACAACAGAATGTGTTTATTTTGTCCAGTCTCTCAAGGCCATATCCACCGATGGCCACCTCTCTAGAACAAAAGAAACCAAGAAGGAGTTCATCTTCTGGGCTTGGAAGGAAAAAGAAGAGGATGAATTATTTTATTGTTACCCTCCTCTCCTCATGAAAGGATGAGAAGGAAGCATTTCTCATTCACTATTTAATGGTAGTGCTATGTATATATGTGTGAGAGAACAGATTCCATATATATATATATAGTGTTCACACTGTGGGAAGATAAAGGGATATTATTCACCTGCTGAAAGCATGCTTGCACAAGGTTTTCAGGGAACAGGTTTCTGATAAGATCCAAGAAAGCATCCAGACTGGATACTTCATCATTCTTCTTTCCTTCTCCAAGCTGCTTCTTCAGCTTTGGATTGCCTGGATGAATGGCCAAGACCAGAATAACTCCCAATACAGCAGCAATGATTGTCGTGGACATATAGTACACCATAGCTCTTGTACCTAATCGGCCACTAGCTTTGGCATCCAAGCCAGACAAACCTGAATGAAAAAGCATGGGAGGAGTTAGTACACACACAGCTCCTTATTCAGCATCACAACTCTCTATGACCTGCCAAGAACCATAATTATCCTTCCCATTAAAAAATATCTACTTACCTACTGGGTTTGTATTATATTGGTTTTCAACCTTTTACAGTTCATTTCATAGTGGTTTATTTTTGTATGTTCATTATTAGTATCCCACACAAATTAAATATCATTTTGCACATACACTGAAACTACATCTGTATTTTTAATAAAGAAAATCTCCTGAACTAAAATGAGCCAAAATGATTCTGGCCAATCTAGTTCGAATATCCCTAATTCAAAATGCATGGAACCAGAAGTGATATAGAGCTGGGGTGTTTTTTCCGATTTTGGAAAACCTGTATTTATCTATATATACATAGTGAAGTATTTTCGTGACCGTAACTCTCTCCATGAACCAACCTGGGCCCTTCGATCTTCGGGGGAGGCCCTCCTTTCGCCCCTGCCAATCTCACAAGCTCGTCTGGTGGGCACAAGGGAGAGAGCCTTCTCCTCTGTGGCTCCATGACTACCTGGAGAGATCAGGAAAACCCCTACACTAGAAACGTTCAAAAAGAACCTTAAAACCTGGCTCTTCTGCTGCGCCTTTGACGAGTAGGTGCACAACATGACACTATTGCTCACCTCAACGCTTCTGTCACTGGAGTACACGCCCCCCAAATGGGAAGTTTATTTTCACAACCCTGTGTGTCTTTATGAGCTCCCTGTAAATAACTTGCTCCTATTTTTATCTCATTAGAGTTTTTTAAACATTTTATCCTGTACATGTGGCCCGCCCACTGTTACTGTGACTGTGTTTATTGTAATGTTATTTTGTTATTATATTAATATGTTTTTAATGTATTTTTTGATGACGTTGTTTGTTGTTTACATTTTGGTTTTCTTTTGATGTAATATGTTGTCCAGGCTTGGCCCCGAGTCCCCATTGGGGAGATGGTGGTGGGATATAAATTAAGTTTATTATTTATTATTATTGTCTTCAAGATGAGACCCAAGTCTAAACACAAAATTCTTTTATGTTTCATATACACCTTATCCATATAGCCTGAAGGTGATTTTATACAACATTTAAAAATAATTTGCTGAAAGAAGGACTGTGTACATTGTACCATCAGAAAACAAATGTGCTATTATCTCAGCTACCCATGTGGACGGTTTTGGGATATGTCAAATTTCCAGATAATGGATGCTCAATCTCTATCACTAACTGGAAGAATACCAAAGGCATCAAGTTCAACCCTATTTTGACGTGTAGAAATACAAAATCCAAGCACTTCTGACATCCACAGACTTTATTTAAAAAACAGCTCTAACAATTAGAAAGTTGTCTTTAATGTTTATGTGGAATCTCTTTCGCTGCAGTTTGAATTCACTGTTCCTTGTCAATGTCTCTGGAATCGGAGAAAACAAATTGGCTCCATCTTTAATAAGGCATCATTTCTAATATTTTAACATCTTGCAACTATTCTGTTTGGCAACAGCCACTCTTATTCTAAAAAGGGGGTCTTTGGTGAGATGATGTTTCACTTGGGATGAATGTTGGTAAAACAATAGTGCTAGAGTTGCTTATATGTTTTGAGGTTTTTGGCCACTAAAGAAACTCAAGTTTGGGGCCAGCACTTTCCTTGCTTTATGGGGAATGCATCCGTCTCGTTTTCTCAGATTTACCATGACAAATAGTATAGGAAAACATCGGACGTGTCCCTGCTCTCTGATATACACTCCGACACCATCGTGTCGAGATCCCTCAATGGGAAGTGTTACATATGTGACATTTGGCTTTTAAGTCCTGATTCTTCCCCTCAAAAATCACCCATTCCCCCAGGTTTTCTCTTTTAAGATACAATACAAGAGGCAATTTTCACTTTGGGCATCATCAGCTGTAGGCAGGAAAAGCATGAAACAACTAAAGGCAGCTCTAGCAGAATGAGTGGGTGTCTCTGGAGCATAGAGGAATTGGGTAATGGCTGGCATGGCTTGGAGAGTAAGCCTGACAAAAAGGGGGAAGAGGCTGTAGTAGCCTATAGATTTGACCTGCCTGCATTTTTCTTGAATGGGAGAGGAGCTAGGATTCTGGGTGGCACAGTTTCTGTGGTCTGGTTGCAGGGAAATGGTGGCATACAGGCAGCCGGTCAGCTTTGCCTGGGAGTGAATGGGATGTCAATGCTAAACTCACAGCTTTCTGTCCCTGAAAAGACAGTAGACACCCTTTGCATCTGAATATCTCTTAGAGGTAGGCTGGTTGATGGGTGGCACATCGCACAGCATTTAATCATGCTGGTAAAACTGACCCCTGTTGACTTGGTGAGCCAAAAGGAAGTGAGAGGAAATCTATCTTTCAGAAGGGAAATTCACTCTTGAAAAAATTATCATGGAAAAAAGTGCCTCCACTGAAACTATCACCAATCTTTGTTTCCAAAATGTTCAAAATCCCATTGTCCCAAGGATAGAAAGCAAGGTGAAATCGTTTAAATAGGGGCGAAGATAGCAAAACTGATTTTACAGTGTTGTTAACATTGCCCTATGTTATCCAAAACTTGAGTTACACTTAAAAATATGTACCGGTTTCAACTTACATGCTAATTCAACTTAAGAACAAACCATACAGAACCTATCTTGTTTGTAACTCAGAAACGGTCTGTAAAGAATGGAAGGGAAAAACATAAATACCATCCAACATTATTATTGACCCGAAGAGCTGCCAGCATAGCTCTTTAGGTCTTCCTCTCTCACAAAAAATTGTTTCTAATTGTATATAATACATCTTACCTGTGATTAAACTTGAGATAATTAAAGGGAGAATCAACATTTTCAGCATCCGCATCAGGATATCTCCTGGGAAGGCTATCAACATTACGATATCAGGATTAATAGGTGTTGCCATGCGAAGGAGAGCGCCACATACTGCACCCATAATGACTCCTGGATAAATAAGAAAGAAAACAAAAACAAAACCCCTTTTAAAAGATAGGATTGTGATTGAGGGAGGAAAAGAAATAAATAAAATTGATTGTGTGTGTGTGTGTGTGTGTTTATATGTAGCCCTAATCTTTTGGTTGGATCTCCAGCACTTTACTCCCAGCTCCAGCCTTACAGTTTGCATTTGCACAAGCTCTTGTTCTGCCCTGTTAGTCTCAAATCTGCACATGCCCACTTTTCTTGGCTACTGGTTGTTTGGTATTTGGTTTATGTCTTATGATGTCTTACATTTTATTGGTTTTACTGTTTCAATATATTTTACTGTTATAGGTTTTTAATTGTGTTACTATGTAACCTTTGTTTATATTGGGCTTGGTTCCCATGTAAACCACACCAAGTGCCTTCGGGGAGATGGAGACGGAATATCAGAATGAAGTTGTTGTTGTTGTTGTTGTTGTTATTATTATTATTATTAATGACACAAAAGCAGAGTATGTCACAGCAAATGAGATCTATATGCTGGATTTCGTATCACAAAATCACAAGTCGAACACTTCCCAAGCGTCTAGGACTGTGTGATGTATTTTCGAATGATGCGCACAGATCCAAGTAAGATGGCCTTTTGCAGTTGACAGATCGTAATTTTGTTGATGCTTATTGTTTCCAAAAGCGGGCAGAGATCTTTTGGCATGGCACCCAGTGCGCCAATGACCACTGGGACCACCTGTACTGGTTTCTGCCAGAGCCCTTGCAGTTCGATTTTGAGGTCTTGATAGCGGTTGAATTTTTCCTGTTGTTTTCCTCAATGCGACTGTCACCGGTATGGTGACATCAATAATCCAGACTTGTTTCTTTTCCACAATCATGATGTCTGGTGTATTGTGTTCCAAAACTTTGTCAGTCTGGATTCGAAAGTCCCACAGTATTTCTGCATGTTCATTTTCCACAACCTTTGAGGGTTTATGATCCCACCAATTCTTTGCTACTGGCAGGTGGTACTTGTGACATAAGTTCCAGTGAATCATCTGGGCCACAGAGTTGTGTCTTTGTTTGTAGTCCGTCTGTGCGATTTTCTTGAAACAGATGGTCCATGGTTTCATCTACTTCCTTGCACAGTCTGCATTTTGGGTCATCTGCTGATTTTTCAATCCTGGCCTTAATGGCATTGGTTCTGATGGCTTGCTCCTGGGCTGCAAGAATCAGGCCTTCTGTCTCCTTCTTCAGGGTTCCATTCATGAGCCATAATCAGGTCTTCTCCTTGTCAACTTTTCCTTCAATCTTCTCAAGGAACTGCCCATGTAAGGCTTTGTTGTGCCAGCTGTCAGCTTTGGTTTGGAGTGCAGTTTTCTTGTACTGACTCTTTGTCTGCTGTGCTTTGAGAAGTTTCCAGTTATTGACTTCAATTAAAGCAGGTTCTTGGCTTTCCTTGACATATTCTGCCAGGGCATGTTTTTCCTCTTCAACTGCTTGTTTGACTTGTAAAAATCCTCTGCCACCAGACTTTCTAGGTCAACATCACTGCGAGGATGTAGTTAATTGTGAATAGTCATGAGTTTTCTAGATTTTCTGTCCAAATTGTCCAGTTCTGCCTGCATCCAGTTTGTGATGCCAGCAGTATATCTTATGACAGGTATGGCCCAGGTGTTTATGGCCTCGATGGTATTGCCTCCATTGAGCTTGCTTTTGAGAATTTTTCTGTCCCTTTGAATGTATTCTTTGCTGACCACAGTTTTCACATGTTCATGTCTGATGTTGTCCAGCTGTAGTATGCCCAGATATTTATAGGCCTCTGGCTCATGACACTTGATTGCTTAGCCATTGGGCATATTTATGCGCTCACTTTCAATGATTTTTCCCTTCTTCAGTGCCACTGTCGAACATTTGTCCAAACCAAACTCCATGTTGATGTCTGTGCTAAAGATTCGGACAGTGTTAGTCAGAGACTGGATTTCAATTTCAGTTTTTCCATACAGCTTGAGGTCATCCATGTACAGCAAATGTGAAATTTTGTGAGATCTCTGAGAAGTTTGATAGCTGAGGTTTGTTTTTTGTAAGATTGTTGACAGAGGGATCATGGCAATGATGAAAAGCAGTGGGGACAATGACTCTCCACATTATTATTATTATTAGTAGTAGTAGTAATAGTAGTAGTAGTAGTCTAACAGAAGAATCTTGGAAAAGCAACTTTTGGAACAGACATCAATATGCTATATTAAACATATAACGTAGACATAACTATGTTATATCAGATAGTCTTCTTGCAAAAGCTTCCTCAGAAACAGAACAACTGCTGGAGCTACAGTTTTGCCCTAAATGGCTAGTGACTCACAATGTTCACCAGAAGCAAAAAATCAGAAAAGTTACATTTTTGAACTACACCTCCCAGAACTATGTAGTCTTTCTGGCTGGGGGATTCTGGAGGTTGTAGACAAAAATTAAGTTTTTCTGTGATACGAAGAACCAAATGTGGGTTTCTGACAAACTATAAGCCATGAAAAGTGAAACAAATAAAGAAAAATGCCCTTCAACAGCCATTTCTTTTCTAAAGAAGAAAAGTGGACAGAGACGTTTAGCCACTGCCATTTAAATACCCCCAAAATGAACTTGGCATAGCCATGTGGGGCAGCTTCTAGACTTTGTGGTGAATTGGGGGAGTGGTGTATGGCTGTGTAATGTGTATGTCCACATTATGAAATGCTGAGGTGATGCTAAATTCAGGTTCATGTGTGGAAAGATTCATAGGACACTGGATGAAGCAGGGGAAATTGAATGTACTCATACATTTATTTTAGTCTTATAATGGCTTTGGAGATTTGGCTCTCTCTGGGTGAAGCCGGATGACACATTTACATATATTTATATATCCTGAAAATTCACTTTTTTAGAACCACATATTGTCTTTATGCTACTACTGTTTCATAGACTTAGAATGCAACATCTTCTGCATCTAAGGTTGAATTTTTCTGGGTGCTCCTTTAATGTACCTGAAAACCAATGCTGTGAAGCTCTCTTGGGAACTCAGAGCTTTCCAATATTACATTTGGGGGACTACAGTTACCAGAATGCCTAAACTACATAGCCAAGCTAATGGAGGGATTCGGGCACTTGTAGTTCAAAAGAATACAACTGTGGAGAGAAAAAAACTAATTTTACCAAGTGCTGAAGAAAAACTTGGTCATTTATGAATGATTCACTCTGAGCCAACACTCTATGTCCACATACATTCAAAATATTTCAGAATGTATGGATATATTCAGCAAAGACTATGTGTATAGTTTTCACCACCCACCAGAAGTGCAGCTGTCCATTCAAACTCAAGTGAAGAAAGACAGGCTGTGTGAAGGCCACACATTTGGCTCTTAGGTTCACAGTACTGTAACAGTGTAAAAAAAGAACATAAACTAAACTAGTAAGCCTGGGCAGGAAGCCAGCGAACCACAGTAAAATGTCAAACTGCTCCATATTTGGAAGCTGGTATACCCAAAGGCAATTGAGAAAAGTAGATCACTGTATCATTGGCTTAGTGTTCAGTGAGGGAGAGAGTGGAAAAATATCAGCAGCTTGTGAGGAAAGACAAGGGAAACACATCTTTCACTGCCCTGCCTTCCAGTCTCCCAATGAGAGATTTTAAAAAATTATTTTTAATGTTGACAAAATGAAACAGATTTTCTTTCACTCTCATGAATTTGGGTCCTATGCCCACACTGCACTTGTAAATGGGAAAAAAACCCAAAGTCTATATACAAAATGTATACCCAACATTGTAGACTGATACTCTGTAAGAGGGTTGAGCAATGTCACAAGTCACTTTCATAATGCACAATTAAAGTACTTTGGTACTATTTTAAGTTTTGTGAGATATTTAGAACTCTCTGCCAAAGAGGTTTAGGGTTCTGTCAAACTACAGTACTGGAATTCTACAGGAAATACCTCTTGTTGTATAAATGCTATTGAAATGCAATAATTGGGCAGTGTGGAAGGGAACCTAGTCATCAGGACCCAACTCTCAGCCTCTAATTGCTTCTGGCAAAACATTAATACCCAAATACAGCAGCCAACCACGACAGGGCTTCCTATGGCTGCCACAGTTGCCACCCAATTTTGGCTGCAACTGCAGCAGTGCAAGATGGTCGCAGAACACTCTCATCCACAATACGGTCATGCGCTCTTCCCTAAAACACCTCCTCACTTTTTAGAAAAAAATGAAATGATGATGGAAGGATTCTTTTGTGTCACTGCTGAACTCCAACATCCCATATCTAGCAATGGCAGTGGAAACACTGCAGATTTTTGGTGGCCATAGCAACAACCGATGGAGGAGGATCTACAATATTTACAAAGAACCAGATCTAAACCTTCAGTCTATAGTTCCAGATTGCCCCTCTACTCTGTGATGTCAAGGAGATGGTTTCTTCCCATGAGGATATAGACCACTGTTATGATTTAGGGAGCAGTGTGGAATAGATGGATTGTGGTGTGATTTAGATAAGTGCCCTATATTTTCAGCCATATGTGTCTGTCGCTTAAAAACAACCATATCTATTATTGTTATGGGAGATTTTAGAAAAGAATGATCACTGCTTTTAAAAGGTGTTGCTTTTTCCAATTTTAATCTTCAACATGTCAAATAACAGATCTGTGAAACTTGGTCGCCCACTGAAATCTGTTCCCTCCTATTGACTGACTGACATTGATACCCTGTCCTGCTCCTCATTTTCTACATTATTGACCCTGAACTAAGTGGAGATTATACATGACTGGGAGGACCAACAGTTAGAAATAAATCCAATTTTAAATAAATTCCTTGAGTCGACTGAGGGCTGAGAAGGGTGGTACACAAATATAATAAATAAATAAATAAATAAATAAATAAATAAATAAATAAATAGTATTGAGAACGAGGTTGTGACCCAAGGTAAGCAGGCTTTTATTTGCTGAGAAGTGGAGATCCACTTCTGAAACAGGGCAAACTGTAGTAATTGCAACAAAAATCTGCACAAGCTGACAGAATTAGCTATTTTGCCTGGTTGTATCAAATTGACAACATCATAACTATTGTAGTTAGTTCTTTGTGGTTGGTGAAAAACAACAGTACAATTAGAATACAAAATTCAGGTTACAAACAAACAGTCTTCTTTTCAGAGATGCTCATGAACTACCACATTTCAGAATGAAACAATATGTGAAAGAAAGAAAAACGGAAACAGGGAAACAATCGAGTATAAGCCGACCCAAATATAACCTGAGGCAACAACTAATTAATAATAATAATAATAATAATAATAATAATAATAATAATTGCTCGAATTCTGATTTTGTGATATGAAATCCAGCATATATATCTCATTTACTGTGACATAAATAATAATAAAACTTCATTTGCATCCCACCCTATTTCCCCATGGGGACTCAGCCTGGCTTCCAACATAGTAACAGGCAAACATTCAATGCCTATATAAACAATGCAGAGCTAGATATAGATCTTATATATACTAATTTCATATATGCATTTTCCCCTGAAACGTTTGTAAATCCTCTCTCTATATATGTGCATTTCCCTCCTGCAATATTTGCAAGCCCTATAAATCTATGTTTATATCTAAACATCTCTCTCTCTATATATGTATGTGTGTGTGTGCATTTCTCCTGCAATATTTGCAAGCCCTATATATCTATATTCATATCTATCTAGACATGTCTATATATTTATTTGTGGGTGCAATTCCCCTTTGTAATATTTGGAAGCTCTATATTTCTATATTCATACCTATTTATCTAGACAACTCTCTATATATAGATAATTATATCTATATAGGGTTTGCAAAGACTTGCAAACATGTGGGAGGAAAATTCATATATAAAATTTATATATATATACACACACAAACATCGACATATACATACACACAAAAATATATACTAGGCACCACTATATATTTATCAATATCAATATCTATATATAGGATTTGCAGAGACCTGCAAACATATGAGGGGAAAATTCATATATAAAAAATTAATGTATATAGATAGATACAGATATTTAGGTACATAGGGCTTGCAAAGATTTCTAGGGGGGAAATCTATATATTATTTACAAACTTTGGAGCATGCATTTACTCAAGGAAGAAATGCAAGCAAAGCCCCCCTTTAAAAAACCTTTGGCCTCGTTTCTCTTCCTCTTTCCCACCTCTTTTATTTCTCCTTTCTTCAAACTCTAAAAGTAGTAGAAAGGGGTTTTTAACCCCCCTCAAAAACCCACCATTTCTGTTTCCTTAGGGAAAAAAATACACATCTCCTGTTGCTGACTTTTGCAAATGTAGAGCTTTATTTTCTTTTGTAAGCAGATATGGGGGAAGAGTGGAATAGATATTGCTTCTTCGCCACCAGAAAGATCACTTCTGGGGTTTTTTGGTTTTTTTAAAAAAAAAAAGCTAGGCAATTGGGTTGGTTTGAAAGAGAGCCATACAAACAAGGAGGAAATGAAATATATTTCCTTTCCTTCCCTCCCTTTTGACTCAAATGGGTAACTCCAGCCTGGGAGAAGTGGAAGAGCAAGGGAGGCTTTGTAAATGAAAACGCACTGAGAAATAGATTATATATTGCAAGCAATGACCTCCAGGCTCTGTTGCCTGGTTTGATCCCATTATAAGGCAAGGGAGGCTTTTTCAGCCCATAAAAAAGGCTGAAAAACTCAGCTTATTTTGGAGTATTACGGTATTTCATTTGCACATAATTAGGAGTTGTGATAGGCTGGGTTACAAGTGAGCATGGACACTCAAGGCTGTGGATTTTAGACAATAGAGGAAGCTAGAAAAATTGAAGTTATGGGCAGGAATATTTTACAATATAGGAGCATATGTTCCAAATGTAGTGTTATTATGTTTGTGAACCAGACTGATGAAACATTTGTCACTTTTACATACCGAAAACAGTCAGTGAAAGGAGGAGGTTTTTTCTGAGGGGTGCAAAGAGCCTTACACATAGATGCTTTGGCCGAGGCTCCACCGGACTCAGGTGGCTTTCATGCATCCGCACTTCTACCTGCTTTGGCATGTTGTTGGCACTAGAAGAAAGAAAAAGGGAAGGCATGACATTATATGGTTGGACACACCTCATACAACTAGGTTCTACACAGAAAGATAAAAGCAAGGCTCATCATTAAAATTTAAGGATAAAAGAATTCAAGACTTAAGGAGATGCCAGGAAAAAACATGCCTGCTATTTATTCAGAAAGGTGAAAAGCCCCTCACAAAAATCCAGCCAGGCTCATAAAATGGCAAAAAGTAATGCAGAAAGCTAATGTTTCTTTTCCAGGTTTATTCCATCTTTCTGTTAGTTTCAGTGTCACCATTGCTTTGAAGCTTAGGGCATTCTGTCTGATGTGGAAGCAGTCTGCCTTGATTCAAAGCAATGTTTTAACTACTGTCCTGGTAATCCAAGTACATCCTCCCTTTTCTTCTTCTTCTTTCAGTGCCATCTGCCTCATTGCAGCTGCTACCCCAAAATGTTAACTTTTTAATGAGGCTGGAATATTTAATGAGAGAAAAACTTTTTAATTAGTCACAAAATAAAGACAGTTTGCAGTCCATAACATAGTGTTTGCCTTAATTTCACACACAAGCTCAGTGACTGAGCACTCTGAAACAGAGCACTGTCCTATAGTATTGTGACACTGTTCTAGCAAACAGAAAAGTCCTGTCCCAGAAATTGAGACCTAGCAGTGCACTGGAAGAACTCAGAAATGTTAGATTTTTGTACTAGAACTCCCAGAATTCTGAAGCTCACAATTATAGAATGTAACTTTTCCAAGCTCTGTAGGGAAAGGGGCTAAGAGCCATTTCATATTTTATTATGAAATGCATATCTAAATAAAGAAGGATTGCCTTTCCTTGATATAAGGTGTTTGCACACATGTATTGCTTTTCACTATATGAGTTACTGCATGAAATTGACACTTAACACAGATACTTATGTCTATAGATACAAAAAACTCTTTTAAAAATCTTATTCCTTTCATTATTTTTTTTAATAATTGTATTTATTTCAAAGCATTTCTACATCACTTCAATATTTAAAAAGCCTCAGGGGGTGTTATTGCTGCTAGAAGTATTATCAACCATGTATCTCATCTTTTCTTCAAAAAGGTCAAAGTGGATTGCATGGACCTCCTCTCTGTCCTTCCTAGAAGTCAAGATAACTAAAGTGAAGTTGAGATACTTTGGACATATCATGAGAAAGCATCTCATTAGAAAATAATGCTTTATAAGAGGAAAGACAATAGGAAAAAAGGGGGAACCACTTTGCAGATAGATAGATTCAAACAAAGAAACCACAGATCAGAGTCTGCAAGACCTGAGCAGGGCTGCTGCTGATAGGGTAACTTGAAAGTCCCTCTCGATGGACTGTCACCTTGTCGTGATGAGGGGGCTTGTTCCGATGAACCTGTGGGCACAACAACTGGAGTCGTGCACTCCCAGGAGTGGCCGTGGGGGAGGTTCCAGACCAAGCACAGTCTGAAGACCCAAAGATCTCAACGGCGGAGCAGGCGGAGGATAACATGGTACATGTTACAACAGCTATGAAGGCAGAAGAAGGCTGCAACAGATTGAGAAGCCACGGTCATCTTGGTAAACTATGCCACCTGAGGAGCCTCACTCTGTGAAGACTGTGTGTTGATCAGTGTGCACTGACCTCCACACATTAAAAAAAACTCACACACAGGCGTCTTCCAAAGAAAATAAAAACAAACCAACCAAAGTGCCATGGCGATCAGCGAGTGGCGACGGGGGCAGGGCTGTGAAATCTGGAAGCCCCTAGTCACAGACTGGCACATGGGTGGTGGGTATGGACTCAGTCATTCTACCTCAAGGTCCGAGGCAGTTGAGTAGTTCGGCAGCTGTATCCATGACTGAGCAGCCCTTTTTAGGACCCACTCTGCTCACCACACATGGGGAGGGGGCTAGAAAAGGTGCCCTAAACATAGTCTATCTCTCTTATCCCTGACTGGACTGCCGCGTCCAGTGGGGTCACCACCCTGCGGCCAAAAAAGAAAAATGAACTTCGGTACATGGAACGTACGGACATTGATGGACAACACTGACAGTGAACGGCCCGAACACAGAACTGCTATCATTGCAAGGGGGTTGGGACGTTTTAACATCAACATAACAGCACTTCAGGAGACCCAGAGAGCAGGAAAGGGACAGCTGAAGGAAGAAAAAGGTAGGCAAAACAAAAGCCTGACAGGACAGCAGGAGTTTCAGAGAGGCAATCAAGAATGTTGAAAGAGGAAGCTTGCTAAGGTTATGGAGACACTAGAAGAAGCACAGGATTTGCATGCTTGCCATTTTCTCCTGAATATTTTTAATATCTTCAAATACTTGCTATACATCCCCAACCCCTAAAGTGATAATGGCGGCAGAAAGGAATTGATTCTGCCCATCTCGGCTCCTCCTTCCATGATGATGTCATCACTAATGTTACAAGCAGGCAAGGAGTAATTCCCATAACATGGTAAATTGGGCGTTTTTACAAGGCTCTTCACAGGGAATTGAAAAAGAGCTCAGTTACCAATCAACTTAGAAATCATGGGGAAAACCTGCACTTTAGAAATGGCAAGATACCTCTACCCCACATTTGAAGCTTGTGTCATGTGAAGGACAAATTCAAGTATGATAACAGTCTGGGAGACAGCTCTACTGACACCATACACTTTCTAATATGTTTTTAAATAGAATATTTATTTTAACACCACAGTTCCATATCTACAACTGCACAAAAAATACAGGTTTTTCTCCCTGAACAGTCACTTTCTTTCAATGAAAGCCTACATATTCATTAATATATTTGATTATATTTTGCCTTTCTCGAAGAAGAGATTTTCCAAGATAATTCACAGTAAGATTGATTCTGCCTTCATTTTTGATACAATTAAAAACACACAATTTAAAACATAGCTATAAAAAGGAAAGCAACGAAGAAAATGCAAGCATTTACAGTAAACAACAATAACAAATCTCCACTGGAACCTATCAGTTGTCACCTCATTCAGAGAAGCACGATGGATCTGTCAAGTCAGACTGAGTCCTGATTTGACACTGTCAACAGCTGTTTGAAGAACTGTAGCACAAAGATATCACCCCCAACAAAGAATTCTGCACTTCACACCCCAGATTTATAGCGCTACAGAAAATTGAAATTTATTCCTACCTAAAACTCTTCTATTGTTTGTGTCAGCGTTACCTTGGTAATTTTGCTTTCTCCCTCTTCTTCTGAAGGTTTGAGGTACTGTAGTGCTAGAAATTGGAGGACAGGAGAACATTTTTATTGGAGGTGAGCTATTTCTATTTGGGGCAATGTCATAATTTTGCATCCCCTGTAGCTATATGGCTTCCCTAATGTCGGAAGTGATTGCCCCACTAAGTCATATTTGACTGAACTGAGCTTGCAAAGAAGGTGCAATCCTGCAGCACCGATAATAATAATAATAATAATAATAATAATAATAATAATAATAACAACAACAACAACAACAACAACAACAACTTTATTTGTACTCTGCCTCCATCTTCCCAAGGGGACTTGAGGCAGCTAACATGGGACCAAGACCAAATAATTACATTAAAGCAAAATAAAATACATACAAGACACACAACAACATTAAGTAAAAGTGCTTATACAATAACATAATAAAACAACAAGTGCGAAGAGTGAAAATATTTGGGTGAGGTAGATAAATAAAGTGCTGTATTTAGATATTCAGGTGGGATAAACAATGAGGTTATTCTCAACTGAGGGATGGGATAAAGAGCATCAGAAAACCAATTGACACTGAGAAAGGACCTGACATGGGAATTAATTATTCATTCTTCTAAAGCACACCAGAAAAGCTGAGTTTTAAACTTTTCCTAAAGGCTGCCAGGGTGGGTGCTTGCCTAATTTCCCTGTGGAGTGAGTTCCAGAGCTGAGGGGCTACCAAGGAGAAGGCCCTTGTCCCTGCAAGCCATGCTTGTGACAGAGGTGGGAGTGAGAGGAGGGCCTCCCCTCATGATCGAAGGGATCACGCAGGTTCATAGGGGGAAATACAATCACAAAGGTAGGCTTGTCCCAAACTATTTAGGACTTTGTAGGTAATAGCCTGCACCTTGAATTGGGACCAGATAATGACCAGCAGCCAATTGTGTTCCTTAAACAGGGGAATTGACCGCTCCCTTTAATCTAAAGCTGCAAACCATAATGGATGGACTGGAAGATCACATAGAATAGGACTTGTGCTTTGTTTGTTTGTTCTGCCATGGATTACACTAACACTGCTGTTTCATGTAATTTCAGAAGCAGCAGGACTTCAGTTCCCATTCAGCATGTTCAATGATCTGTCTGGGAATTGTAGCCTGTCAGAATTAGAGCTCTGTATTTGGAAACAAATGTCCTAGTCTGAAGTCAACTATATAAACCACACCAATTTATTATACTTCCAAACTCTGTTCTGCCAAAAGCTTGTTAGCTACAGAAAGTAAACATGCTTTCTTTCTCTTGAGAGCACTGCTACTCAAAGTCCTCCCTAGACACTAGGACAAAATTGTTATCTGAATCCAAACATCTAGCCATAAAAATAATGTAAGCTAATGTAAGCTGATAAACCCATATGTTCAGCAATGATTTCTACTGAGTCCTGTGCTGACTGAAATGACAAAAGTTTTTAGTGTAGTAGATCCCACAGAACCATCTGGATAGTGGCTCCATCAATTCATTAAATACCTTCTGGATTTGATCACCAGTCTTAATCGCAAAAGGAAACATGGACAGGTTTTTTATACACAGATTGCACACACAAGTTCCTCTTTACTGAGAAAAAGAAATATTTTAATTTACACAAACAACATTCAAAATCACCTTCAGATACCATCTTAGTTTAAGTGTAGTTTCAGTCAGCTGTATACACTGCTTTGATCAATTTTGCCAGTGAGTCCTTTCCATTCATCACCATCTGTCATTCCAGGAAGAGCTGTTATATTTCTATTGGGTAGACTTATGAACTGTACATTTGGCAGTGCACAATCATGT